AAAGTGTTATGTTTTATTTAAGAGCCTAAAGTGTAAGCTGCATCTAATATTCCTTTAACACATTTAAGTAGTGTTATTAGAAATGCATTAGTGTAGAAAGAGTAGTGTAGTAGGGTCTTAGCAAAAGTAAGCAACTTAGGTGTGTAAGCAACTTGCCTATAAAGTACGTTAACACTTTCTAGCGCTTAAAAAGTTATAACTTATGCTTTACATAATATCCTAGCTAATCTGCGCTTAATTTAATGCTAGAACACTATATATTATCTTAGTTAATCTTAAAGGTAATTTTAATGTTATAGTAGGCATTATTTAAGTGCTTTTTAGCCTAGGTATTTTACATATGCTTTAAAGAAGTTGCTTCACATAAGGACAGTGTAGATAGGCTAGGTAAAGCTATGCAGGCCTTCTCTAAGTGTTAGGATAAGGCAGTATAATATATCTAGGTAGCAGAACAGCTAGATAAGGCATGTAAGAATAAAGCATGTAAGAATAAAGCTTATAAGGATAAAGCTTATAAAAATAAGGCCTGTAAAGTAGTAACACGCTAAGATAACTATGTTATTAATTAAAATAGAAATTAAGATATTATAATAAGTAAAAGAATAATGTAGATAGCATAGTTACTAAATTTATTAAAAAATTACTAACAAAACAAGTAATAATAGTATTCTCTGCATTAATCTCTAAACATAAGCTCTCTAGCCCTTAGTAACCTGCCTTTAACTGCCTAAAACTACTAAAAATTCTATATAACTACTATAAACAGTTAGTACAGCAGCCTCACGTATAGTACAGTATACTAAGTAGATGCCCTGTACGTACGTACGTGACTAAAATCAGTGTACTGCAGTACTGTACTATTAGGTGTACTAACGGTTGGACACACTGGCTGCATTGAGAAGAGAGGAAGTAGTCGTTAAGCTATTTCTGAAGAGTGGCAAAGTCGACGCCTACTCGGAGGGTAATTCTGGCCTGATATGGCTGGCGTATGCCCCTGAGAGAGATTCTGTCCTCAATCCGGAGAGTGGCGACTTCTCTGGGCCATGATGGCCCCCCGTTTGGGTCAGTGAGCTATGGTATATCTACTTTGTATAGATAGTAATTCTATATTGGGAATATGCGGAGTGGTGGACTCCACTCTCGTCGAACGGCTGCGTGAAGGCGATTTTTTGGGATATAATAAGGAGTGAAGTTATATATACACGGCTCTAAGTTCTTATATCCGTTCGTTAAGCTACGCTATACAGAGGAAAATGCTTAATCATTCGACATTAAGGATTCAAGTCAGATACCTGTAAGCGAGTTCAGGTTTTCTGGGACAATAAATATTCATTGTGGAGAATACCTCGTTACTCTGCAACATCTTTCTTCCGGTTGACGCATAGTTTCGGCGACTCATCCTCCAGCTAAATTGCACTCTTCTTTTCTACTGCGAGCGTTCTCTCTAGGTCTTCGGCCCGCTGCTCGGCAGTGACGCTCTAAACAATACACCTATATCCTTAAGTGCGCGATTCTTTGTCTACTTAATGAAGAAGAAGGCGAAGAAGCCTATAGATATGCACTTTCTTATTTAGTTACCAATGCTCAAATGCTAACACAAGAATACTCACGAATATGTCAAACATAATGAATGTCCTCCACCTGATATGGTTCACAGCCCCCGGCGTGATTTTCGTAATCACGAAATTGAAGAGCCATTGTGTCGCAGCCCCCATGCCAACGCCATACGCTTGTAGCCTAGTAGGGAAAATCTCTAAGAAATATAGCTCTCTATAAGAATCCTAGGGTAATTTAGGGCTAGTTTAGCCTTATAGAGAATATAAAAGCTAAGTATAGCATCTAGAATAATAACACATACAACTTTAACAAAACAGGCTTTATAATAGACTAAATATTTACTAACTATACTTACGCTTAAAACTTTACTTTAAGCTTTAAATAACACTTTATAAACATACTAGTCTAGTTTATGCTAATATAGCCTAGATTACACTTAGCGTACAAAGAATTAGCTATATTAGCTATAGTTCCTAGCTAAGAGGAAAATTCTTACGCATATAGCTTAAGTATATGCTTAATAATTACTTACTTTTTATTATTATTTAGCCTTTATAAGTTAGGTATAGAATTAGCTTATAAAAGGTGTTTACTATATTAGTTATTTATTATTTTATAAAAGACCTTATACATAGCTGCAGCATGTTACTTTAAAAGTGTTATGTTTTATTTAAAAGCTTAAAGTGTAAGCTATATCTAACTTTTTTTTTAGCACATCTAAGTAGTGTTGTTAGGAATGCATTAGTGTAAGAGTATTTTAGTAGAGTTTTAGTAAAAGTAAGTAACTTAGGTGTATAAGTAACTTGCCTGTAGTATATGTTACTATTTAAAAAGGTTTTTTTTACTTTTAATAGTACACTAATTAAAAAGCCTTTTTTTATTTATAGTATAGTTATTAATTTTTTATAACAGCTTAAAATAAAGCTTATATTTAAAAGCTAAGTTAGATTTTTTTTTTAACTAGAATTTATCCTAGGCGTTTATTAAAATATAAGCTTAATGTTCTACTACTTAATAAAGTAATTAACTTATCTTTTATTAGCCTATTTTCTAGCTATTTAAAAAAATAATTATGTATTCTAAGTCTTATAAGTAGTAGCTTTTTATATAAAGCTTATTAAAGTATTTAAAAAGATTTTTTTTCTTATACATTATTAAAGAGTTACTAATTTTTATGCTTTATTACATAATTGTCTTACACTCTGCAGTAGCGCTTTAATAGTATAAAGTAATAATAACTATATTTTCTTGCTGTTGCATTATAATTAGGTTTTTCTTAAAGTGTTAGCAATTTAAACAACGCTAGCGTAGCCTTATTTAGGTCTATATTAGTAGAGATAAGCTTAACATAGTCTACAAGCGAATGTTTAACACAAGCAAGTGTTCTGCCCTACTACTAAATTTAACTTTAAAAACTATTAATTTAACAATATAAAAATATACTATATAAAATAAACTACTATAGAATTATTTAATATTCTTATATATATAAGAGTTATGCCTAGGCTTGTTGCAGTGCTTGCAGCGCTGTACACGCGCTGCGCTGCTTTTAGCAGTTAACTTTTTCTAAGGCATTTTACTACTTTCTACTATACTAGTAAGCTTCTAAGTACTTAACTTAAAGCCTTAATAACTTATTAGAGTTTTTTTTTTAAATTTACTTTTTTTTACACTGCTTACGCTTTATAGCTGCCTTATAGGCCCTCTCTAGAGTAGCTGCTTAATTATGCTGTAGAACAGCAACATAAGCTATTTTAGTAGCGCCTTTACTTAGCTACTTTACTAGATTAAGTATAGTAAAAAAAAAAATTTCTAATGCCTTTAAATTTAATTATATAGTAAAGTTAACTAAGCCTTAACTTTATAAGAATTACTAAGTGTTTAAGCCTTTTAAGTAGTATTTAGTAGTAGAGTAGCTAGCTAATTAGGTAGCTGTATATTAAGCTTTAAAAGCACTAGCTTTAGGTTAAATAAAACTAGTTCTATAGCTCTAAAGCCTACGCAAATATTATCTATTATAGTTAAGTAACTAAATGCTGCCTTTAAGGCTAGTAGGAAAGTTAGCTTATTAATATAGTTAATTTAGTAGTAGATTAACTAGCTAATTTTAGTACTATACACGCGCTTTAATAGCAAAAAGCAGCTAATGTTAAGCAGCTATAGAATATGTAACGCGTGTGCTAGCATACAGAGTGCTATAATACGCCTCTGCTTACAGAGCTTTAGGAATTTAATAAAGTAATAGCTTTTATAGCTATTAAAAATAAGCAGCTACTATAAGCCTACTAAGTAATTTTTTATATGCAGATTAAAGTGCTTTAGCTATATAATTTTATATTTATTAGTTATCTAGCTATTATTACTAATACTAATAGCTTAGTTTTTTAGTATATCCTTATTCTTATACTAGGCAGATAGGTAATGCTTACCTTTAAAGATTATATATAAAAGTATTGCCTACTTATCTGTGTTAATGCCTATAATAACTGTTACCTATTTATAGTTACTTAGCTATATAGCCTTTAGCTAATTATGTCTATCTATGCCTATAATAACTATTTAGCTTAATATAACCTCTATTTAAAAGCCTATTTTGTTAAAATTATACATGTTCTAATTTATAATACTATACTTTAATTATGTAGCCTTTATAAGCTTAAACTACTTACTTATAATTACTAGATCTTTACATTTTGCTTATTAATAATTATATAGTTAGCTAAAGTAAGTTTTAACTGCTAGTGTACACGCAACAAAGTTAGATAGCTAGTTAATACCTGCTAGTAGAGCGCTGTGCTTAGTAAGAAGCTTGTTAGCTATCTCTTATACAGCACCTAAAGTAGGCGCAAATTCTTAGAAATCTAGATTAAGTATATGCTTAATAATTACTTTCTTTTCTAGCTTTGTAAGCTTCTTATTGTTAGCTATATAGTTATGTTGCATAGTTATCCTTACATGTTGTTAGCAGAGAGCTATTTAATTAACATTATAAAGTGCTGCAGCGCGCCTCTTAGTTAAAAACATGTTTTTATTAAGAGCTTAAATAGCTAGGTTAATTCTAGCCTTTTTTAAAGATAATTAATTATATAGTTGTTAATGCATTGTAGTTAGTAGTAGGTTAGCTGCGTTTTAGTGGTGGGGCGGAACACTCGCTTGTGTTGAACATTCGCTTGTGGACCATGTTAATTAAAAAGTTAATAGATTTTAGTTGTGTGTGTTACGAGGGGCTGTGCGTTAAGCGATGAAATACGGTAGTTGCTTGGCGATGCAGAAAATCAGAACACCAGGGTTCTACATGAATTATTATTGGAAGCGTCTTACCCCACTTCCAAATCCCCAATACCTGCGAGTCGCATATTCACTTCAGGATGAGAAATCAAGCAAAACGCCTAAAATACATATAGCCCGACTAGTGTCAATTTGCCACTCGTTCATAACCTAACTCAGAATTTTCTCCTTATCCTATATGATATTTTACCCATCGGATGCAGAGCACCTGCTCCATATTTGGTCTCATCAAGCCGAAGAGCCTTCTCATCGGCGAGGACGTCAATATCAAAGAGAAGTACCATTGCAACCAGCACTGTAATCATGTGGTGCTTTGCTAACTTCTGACCTGGGCAACCCCTCGGCCCACCACCAAATGGAATCCAACACCCTTCGAGGCCCTCAAGAGAAAAGTAAACCCCGCTATTATCTGTACTAAGCGTTTGCGTTGAATCGAAGTCTGAAGACACTGGGATGGATCCCGGATGGAAAAGAAATCTATGCGGCCAGAATTCATCTAAAGGACGTTTACCCTCCGCGGTATTCCATTCTTTCCCATGTCTATGAGCTGGATGGGATGACACGAGGCAGAGTTTGTCCTGTGGAATCTCCCAACCGCCCAAGTCGATACTATTGTGGATGAATCGCCGCGCGGTGTAGACATGGACCTTCAGTCGAAGGGTTTCGGCGAAGATGGATTGCAGCAAAGGATCAGCACAAAATGCCGCTCTGTGCTCTGGCTGGGAGATGACGTGGAGCAAATCTGATGTCGAACTTATGCGCGGAAGCCTGCTCCGCACTTCAGCAAGCAGTTTTGGTCGTTGGAAGACTTCGAGAACAGTCCAGAAGGCAGACGGGATAACATTCGAGTTCACTGCCCATGAAAAAGCCAGATTTACAGACGCCATGCCGTCGTCATCGGAATCGTCCATATCACGAAACATTTTCTGCCACTTTCGCATCGTCGGGGAACCCCAATATTGGACATCATATCCCTTTTGTTCCCAGGGAGGAGTCTGGTTGTCCGTCCCATGGTGTTGCCACTGCTTCATCGCAGCCAAAAGCCGATCTCTCCGTGCGTGCAAATTTGGGATCAGCCATTGTGGAAAGCGATATGATAAATACTGAAGACGACTAGTGAATGCCCAGAAATCGGAGCAGTACGACGTGTTTTCGGTTAGGTGGAGACCCCACAGCGATTCAGTGTTTGCAGGCGTCATATGCTCCTGGAAAAACTCGACGAGATCTGGCATTCTTGTCCACGTATCAGCGATCTCAAGACCGGTGATTCTTTGGGAGAACCGCACAGCAAAATTCTGGCAAATGGACGGTGCATCAGGGCCGGCTAAGGACTCCTTGAATACGATGTGGCTAATTCGATCTGTTCGGTTATTCGGCTTCACATTGCTCCCTGGATGAGGCTTAGGACCGAAACCGGAGTTGTCTGCTGCGTATCGCCTGATAGTCTTCTGAGGCATGGCAAACCAGTATTGGAGTGTAAAGATGTGCAATGCTGTTGAGCTGGACTTTGCGGATGCCTTCCATAGACTCTGGATGTGTCGTTTCCCTTGGACGATATAGACGCTCCCAGCCAGCAGAGGCATACAGATGGGGCGTTGGACCTCACCATATGTACTAAGAAAGTTAGTTTCAGAAAGGTTGAAATAGTTCTCACAACTAACGTAGCAGTGTATAGAAGATTCTTGGGGAAAGCTACAAAAGCGAATGTCCTCCCGAAAATTGAAAGAATAGATGGGTATGTTGGCGGGGTTGTCGTCAATTCTGGTTCAATTTGAAAGCGACGAAATTCGGCGTATCTAGTAACATATCCGAGTATCATGCGAACCAAAAGTATCGTCACAACGAGGAATAACAGCGCTTTGCGGTCCGGAAGCGTGACAAAGCCATGAGCAGGAGGTGAAGATATGGATTCACCTTTCAGAGAATGGTCGAGAGCCAGCAATAACGAGGGAGATTGTATAGGATGATGAAGGGTCTGCTCTGTGTGATGTTTGAGAACCATGCAAAATGAAGACAAAGTAGAGTTCTCAAGAGCAAACATACTGACTCCTTATGATGCAGGCTAGCTGGAGCGGCCCTACCATCGAACTATCAATTTTTATATTCCCTCCTTAGACTTTCACATGTCTCAATTTGAGGCTTTTCACCCCCACAATGTCTTCATCTCGTTCGATCCTTTAGCTTCACTCTCCGGAAATGGAGTATCACGCAAGGCAACTTTTTGAAGCCGTAATCAATATTGTGGCGAGGTACGCGCAACTCTCCAAGAGTTTCATATTTGGTGGGTTGTTCGACCTTTTTTCCTAACACAGATATGCAGGCACGGGGCATCTCCGTACCAGTTACCAGGTTTAGCCTTGTAGGATCTAAGCCCCTGTCATCCCAGCGGGCCTTTTCTTCGTGTAAGAGGTTTTAAAGTCCGGATAACCATCTTCTTGTACATAAGCCGCGTCTTCATATCGGTAAGCTTATTCGAAATAAATTAACATTGGTTTCTTCGGGGAGTACAAAATCCTTCGCCGCACGGTGTGCACCGGCTTCGAGAACGGTGCCGCCGAGCGAACCGAGGCTGGCCTATCCGCAGCATGGGAACTCGCAACTCTATCGACTCTCAGGTTCCATATTCCAGAAACCATTTGGAGACATCTCTTGGTGATTCAATATGGCTAACGAATCTTCCAATTGTTTGACGGGGGCTTCTCCAGTCGATCTGGCTAAGGTAGTTGCATGCAACCACGGTTTCTACTGTAAGTAGCCCTGTCGGGAAGGACAATCATTTAAACTAAAGTTTGAGGCCCCAACAACACAAACGAGCATCCGCCTCAGTACTGCGCTCCAACGAGATCATGTCAAGCGATAAGACTGCTTCCATTTCAGAATAATTGTCCCGAGCCGCAAGGAATCTATGAACCCATTGTTTGCCCGAAAGGCAGTTACTGTCCTGCAGGTGGAAAAGTTGTGATCCCTTGCTCAAAAGGCCATTATTGTCCACTTGGAACCGAGACGCCATTCCGCTGTGGTCGACTATCCATCTGTCCTCCTCGATCCAGCCGAGAACTCGCGTTAGACGGATTTCTTGTAGCCCTCATCTTTGACCTGCTGATCCTGGCACTCGTGTTTGTTCCTACGTCGAAGCTTTTTGTTCGGGTGATTCCCAGGAAAGCCCACAAAGGCCTCAAAAGCGACGAGTCGACTTGCGAGTCTCAATTGAAGACAATTGAAGGCGATATCGCAGGTAACCCAGATAACGACCCAGCAAACCCAGACTCGGATGGTGCCGAATCTGCCGCAGATTTGCAAGATTTCGTCTCCACCGTCGCTGAATATAATGATGGTGGGGAGAACGGGCTCTCCATTGGATTTAACGCTATCGGATTCACGGTAGAGAAACATAGCAAACGCCTTATTTCTGCTATCAGCGGGAAATTCGAGAAAGGAACGTTATGCGGTATTCTGGGACCTTCCGGGGCGGGAAAATGTAAGAGACTCTCAAGCTTCCCTTTCAGCTCTAATTGATTTCAAACCGTAGCGACCTTCATGAAAGTGATGATGGGAAAGCTGGAACCAACAGAGGGGTTCATCAATATCAATGGTCACGCAACCAAACTTGCACAGTGAGTGGAAACTTAATCGCATCAAATCGAGCTACGACAAGCTAATTATGCTCAGATACAAAAAGCTGATCGGTTTCGTACCAGCAGAGGACGTATTGCTTCCAGAGCTCACAGTGCGGGAAAACATTCTCCATTCCGCCCGAGTTCGGCTTCCCCGCAACCAGTCTGACACGGCGTGCCAAAAGCTAGTTGACAATTTAATATCTTGTCTTGGACTCTCGCACGTTCAACATCAAGTTGTAGGGAGTCAAATTACGTCGTCCATCTCGTCCGGCCAAAAGCGTCGAGTCAGCATTGGCATGGAACTCGTTGCTGCGCCGGTCGCACTCTTTCTAGACGAACCTACTTCTGGCCTTGATTCTGCAACGGCCCTTTCTATCATGAGACTTCTGAAAGCCATATCTAGGACAGGGGTGACCGTGATTTGCATCCTCCATCAACCTCGGGAGGAGATATTTGAAGCTTTGGACCAGGTGCTACTCCTCGCTCAAGGCCGCCAACTGTATCAGGGCCCTGTTTCGGATGCTTCAAACTACTTCTGCGGTCATGGATTCAGAATTCCTGCGAGGTCCAATCCAGCAGATGTTTTGTTGGATATCGCCGCCGGGCGAATGAAGATTAAGACGTCGTTCATCGCCTCTCAAGATTTACCGAAGATATTAGCAGAGACGTGGGAGCAGCGTCGGGACGAGCTTGCACGGGCCAGTGTCATGGCGCGAGAAATCCCCACCTCCGAATGCTTGAAGCCGATCGAACTTGCCCGTATCGCATCTGTGCGCGGGGCGTTGTGGCACCGCCAGACATACCTCTGCTTTGTCCGTGCCATGAAGCAGCAATTTCGGCAACCAAGTGGCCTACTCCTCGAGATCGGGGTGGGAGGAATAGCAGGCTTACTCATTGGGTTAGGTCTTTATCCCTATAAAGGGATGCATTTTCAAGGTACCTATCTTGCACCATTTGAGCTGCTTTCGAGCGCTGTGGATTATTCCACAGTGCCCAAGATTGGCCAAATGATTGCATTAGCAATCGGTAAGTATGATAAACGATGATAGCAGAATGAAATTCTGACCTCATTAGCTCTTGCGGCAGCTGCCCCAGGAGTCAGCACGTTTGGCGAAGAAAGTAAGCTTCACAAACTCATCTCTGAGTGAAAATCGATCTAATATCACCTCGAAATAGAGAGTCTCTATTGGCGAGAGGCCAGCGTTGGTCACAGCCGCTCAGCATATTTCGTCGGAAAGGTTCTATCCACAATTCCACGAACCGCGCTCTCTGCCTTACATTTCACATCTTTCTATGCTATCTTGTCAACTCCATTGATGGCGTTCTGGATAACGTTCCTCCTTAATATGCTTTACTTCTACTGTGAGTAAGCTACCAACCCGGTTCAGTCGCAAAGATTCCTCATCATTTTCAGGCGTCTATGGGCTAGCATCATTTGTCTCCACCGCTGTAAAGCGCGAGAACGGAACGCTATTGGCCATGATTTTGTGCCTAATTATTGGTGCATTCGGAGGTTATGCACCCCCTCTGTCTACTATCCAAACCTGGAGGCTGGAGTGGCTGTGGAGAATGTGTCCTGGGGTGAGTGCCGAGAAGCATGCGACCTCGTTTCCTCACACCGGAAACTAATTACAGACCAGACGTGGCTCTCAGAAGCGTACGTAGACCAGACCCTCAAACAGGTAGCATATCTGTACGATACGAACACAGCTGCGCGGTGGACCGGATACACTTTAGGGAGAACCCCACTCGACATTGCGTAAGTGCTTTCTTCACCTTGATTGGTTTTGCACCACTAAACAATTTCACAGCATGATATTTCTCATTGGAACGGCGTACCGTGTAGCAGCCTTTCTCGGACTTCTATTTTTTGACAGAAATAAGCAGCGGTAAGGCTGCAACAGGCGCAACTATCGCCTAATCTCGTTAGAAATTATAGCATATGGCAACACACAACCCTATGGCAGCTAGTGTAGAATCTATCTCTTAAATTTCTAGACGGCTTCTAGGAGGGCACCAATAGGATACAATTTTTTGCCTGACATTTTCTCATCATCATATTCTACACCAGGCGATAAGATGGTGTATCTCTTTGTGGAGTCGGAATGGGAAGAGTACGTTGCCGCGATGCTCGCCTGCGCCCTGTGTTTTAACCGCTGGGACTGTTGACTAGGGTATGGTACCACATTACTAGATTCTGCGGCCTCTGCTCTGCTTACCTTGCTTACCTCGGTTATATAATGCAATATCAAAAATATTGGAAGGATTCCACCCTAACCATTTTCATGATAACCTTGGAATTTGGGATTCTCGCCACGTTCCACGCAACCGCTCACCAGGAAAAAAAAAGTATTCAACGTGGAACAAGGATAGTAAGGCAGACTTGAAACACTCAAGAATCCCAAAGGATTGGCCCACTTTCTTGTCGGACTCCGAGACCAGGCCTACCGATATCTGTCCTACTGCTTATGACTTGAAGGGTATATTGTGTTCATCGTTTGTGGCATCAGCTACTCTTGCGAGAAATCCTAGTGCAATGGGAATATACGCCCCGGAGTCAGAACTGAGGGGGCGGGTTTGCGTCGTTGCGGCCGTTTAATTCCTTCCCACGTCCTTAATGTCTCGTGGATCCGACTCTGAATCGCCATTACAATCTCTTTGTCGGCTCAATCTGCTATACCCACTATTGTGGCAGTGTACGCATCGACTTGATTGTGTTCAAGTCAAACTTTTTCTACCATGGATTCTCTTCTCCCAACATCCTACGACCTTACGACACTATACAAGATCGAGCATGCTGGAAAAGTAAACCAGCCAGTCTTCCAAGTAAGAACCCACTAGTGAAAGCATTCGCAGGAACTGACAATTTAGGTGGTCTCTGGTTTCTTCTGCGCTCTAGCTATTCTCGCATTCATTGGTCGTCTCGCAGTGCGCCTCACCATTCGACAACGTTTGTACGCAGATGATTACCTGCTCATCTTCAGTGTTGCAGCGTTGATTGCTGCGACAATTATTCTCTATAAATTCAATCATCTCATATACATCCTAAATGCTCTAAAATTTGATTTCTTCCTTCCGACAAAGGATGATTTCAAGGCCATTGGGGGTGCACAAGGGATCAATTACTCCCTCATTGCGATGATGTGGACGGCGACGTGCGCAGTTAAGCTTTGCTTCCTAGTCTCATCAAAGGCTCTAATTGCAAATGTCTCGACAAAGATCACATTATGGTACTGGGTTACGGTCGTCTTAGTAGTGATCTCTTGGGGGCTCGCTGTCACCATAGCGTTCATTATCTGTCCATATACTGGGAATGCCATAAGTAGGTCATTTTATTCGGAACTTCAAGTGTGCATTACTGACAATTTCATAGTAACCCATTGCTCACCTGAGACTCCGTTTGTTAAAACCATGGTTCTCAAAATCGTGGTCACGTCCTTAGATGCCATTACCGACATTATGAGTAGGTTCCATTCTTTCTCCAAAGATTAGCTCTTCTAATGCAAATTTAGTCGTTGCCATTCCAATCTGGATTCTCCACAATGTGAGGATAAAGTTGACGCAAAAGTTCGCCATTGGGGTTTTCTTATGCCTTTCCGTTGTCATGGTCGCTATTACCATCACTCGCACTGCCGTCGCGTACCATAATAACAGATGGGACATGACCTGGGAGTACCTGATTTTGTACCTTGAAAGCTGCATTGCTATCATCATGGCGTCGGCGACGGCGTTTCGCACTGTCTTTGTCGAACACCGTCGTCGCCGCGAGCAGGATCGGCTCCCTCTGCGGGACCTGCCGCAGCAACCCCAGAATCTTCGTGGCCGAATTGGCCGAATGAGAGCTCGTGCTAAAGAAAACGAAGACTTCGATGAAACCGTGGAGGGTGACGCGACGTATCTCCCGCGTTCCAGATCAGAGGGTGGGAAGATAAATGGTCTTTTAACATTCATCAATTCATATGGGAGTCGGAGTCGGACTGAGAACTCTCATAGTGAGATGAATTCAAGTGGATTCCAAGGCTTGGGTAGCATCAACACTGCAGAGGGAACGACGCATTCGCCACAGAAGAGCTTCGATGCAGGAACACATGCAAGCTCAGACCGTGTGTAGAGTAGTGTGACCTCATGTACGACCTCCGGAATATTTAGCACGTTGTAGACTCCCTGGCACACGCAAGTAGCAGAATCCTACAATTACGCCGCCTGCACCATAGGCTGACTGCATGAACGCCGACGGAAGCCTCGGCTCGTTCCACAGGATTGCATGCTATTCATTCCACGCTCGATATGAAATAGGATTGCGGCGTACGACCACTCGCATTCCCGACCGCTAGCGTTTCCCGGCGCACGGTTCAACCGCCCTTGCTTCACCCCAGCCCCAGCCCCCACCTCTTTCGCTGTGGCACAAGCTCATAAACCTCTAACCGACACTGCGTCATCAGAAATTTTCGAGACCGTTCGTTGAGTCTTCTTCCATTCTTTTGCTACGAATTTCTCTTGCCACATTCCTCTATGGCAGATGCGAACCTGAGTTTGGCGTCCAATGAGGGCGCAGACCTTCGCTCGAGGGGCACAGCCAAAGACAAGTCAGAACGCGCTCCGGGGGGGTATTCTCGGCATTGGGAGCAGGAAGGACAACCAATTGAGGATGATGACAAGGCGAGAGATCAACGCAAAGCGCAGTATACAGATCTGGTGAATGAGTAAAACCACCTTGCACCTACCCTTCTTAAGTATCACGTGCTAATACCTTTTATTCAGCTACTACGATGCGACGACCGACATCTATCTCGAAGCGTGGGGTGAATCATTCCATTTTTGTCGCTTCCCACGGGGCCCAGAACCAAAAGCCACGGCAATCTCGCGACATGAGCATTACATTGCTCATATGATGGGCCTGCAACCGGGCATGAGAGTTCTGGATGTTGGATGCGGGGTTGGCGGGCCAGCAAAGGAGATTGCGTCGTATGCGAATTGCAGCATTGTTGGTCTTAATAACAATGCATATCAAGTCAAGAAGGCGCAAGAGCTAGCAAAGAAAGAGGGAATGGACAAGTCGGTGGAGTTCGTGAAAGGCGATTTCATGGTAAGCGAATCCCAGCCGCTCGAGCCTTTGGAATCCAGATGGCGTGAAATTTACTCTAATCCAGACCATACCATTCCCGTCCAATAGTTTCGATGCAGTTTATGTTATCGAAGCGACCGTCCATGCGCCATCGCTTGAAGACGTATATTCGGAAATCTTCCGCGTTCTAAAACCGGGAGGGACGTTCGGTGTCTTTGAATGGGTCATGACCGACAAGTTCGACTCCAGCAACAGGAAGCACATGGCTATAAGACTTGGCATTGAACGAGGCAACGGAATTCCAACAATTCAGACAAAGAACGCCGCACGTGAAGCTATGAGAACAGCCGGATTCGAATTGACTGTGGCCGAAGATCTGGCGGAGAGAGATGATCCTGTGGGTTGGTGGTACGTTATTGCGGGTGATGTCAAACATGCCCAGAGCCTTCAAGACTGGTCGGTTATTGTAAGGAATACGAAGTTAGGGAGAGTGGCAGTGAGATTGCTTGTCCGCGGCCTCGAGTTTGTGAGATATGCTCCAAAGGGAACGGCGAAGATTACGGAAGAACTTATCATTGCAGGAGATGCACTGGTGTTGGGTGGAACGAGTGGAGTATTCACCCCGATGTATTTGATGGTTGGGAAGAAACCAGAAGCATAATGTGAAGCTCTGAGGGGCACAGAGATCATGGATTACTAGATTGACTGCTGAAGAAGCGCATCTGAGTTTTCGTGTGCTCAAGGGAGCGAGCCAGGCAACATGGTTCTAGGCAAGCAGCATATAACTATCACAGGCAGCAAGTAGCTATACCAGGTATAAAATGTAGCTGAAATACGTAAACTTTACACACCTTGTTGAACAAAGTTCCAATCTTACTTCGCTAGCGCAACATAATCCAGGAATATCCTAACCCACCTAGCCACCTAGCGTGGAAAATTACTGGGGTAGTTTAGGCCATAACGTTGCATCATATTAAACTTACAACGTATTCACATAAATGCTTATAAATAAACTAATTGCGTTCTATGTTATGTGATAGCATGCTAATAGTTTATCTCGTGCCTCCCGTCTTCCAACGTGACAGTAATATCTTAGCAAGCGTTTCCTGCAGTCCAACAAAAAGCTTCCCGCTCGGTCTGGAAGTATCACCTCGCGGCAACTGTACAGTCCCGGCTTTGGCGCTAAAGCTTACAGTACGTGTATCAATTCAGAAGACCAGTGGAATTGAACCGAGTCCGCCTGACGCTGAAGCTGTTCTTATTGTGCGGAGAATGAACCTTAATCTGGCCGAGGAGTAGCTTAACACAAGCCTCAGCTCATAAACGAGCAGTGGGAGCATGCAAAGCTCCGAAAGACTAGGGTTTTTCTGGTTCAGATATCTCATATTTCCAAGGGTATATTATGCGAAGACAAGATACAACAAGATACAACAAGATTAAAGCAAGTTTCTAGTTTTACAGTACAGATTAAATGAAGACAAGAACAGAACAGCATGCTAGAACCAAAAAAAAAAAAAAAAAAAAAAGCTGATAATACAAATCAGGGTGAAAAGGAAGGAAATGCAAAATACTCTACATGTGAAGATCAGCGGCCTGGATTATAAACAGGGGGATATCTGAAAGCAGACAGTGGACTCAGCCAAAAGGAAAGAAAGCCCGGTAACTTACATCCCAAGTTGAAACAGCTTATACCACTCTATCCCAATTACATCGCTCTCCCAGTCGGCTTCCACGTATTCTCCGCGCATCTCCCCGAATTACATATCTGACCTGCGTCGCACTCACCATTATTCCCACATTTCGCTCCAACAGCTATCGTAGGTGCGGAAGGAAGTGCGCTCGTCGTTGACATTGCGCTCGCCGGCATCGCCACCCCAGCATCCACCTCGCAGCCCTTATCATCCGTGTACATCCATCCTTTCGTTGAATCTTTGAGATCAGGCTCGAACTGTTGCGTATATACCGGTGCCTGCTTTACCCCACATAGCTTCTTATGTGTCACACAATTCTTCTTTACAAACACAGTCTCGCCGACCGGATTCCCAGACGTATCGAACACCGGCTTGTAATTATACACCTTCTTCGTCACAGCATCGCGGTTGCAATGGGTTGTCGGCACCATTCCTGTGAATGGGAGTGCTGCGGAGGTAAAGAGACTCGCGTGCGTTAACGATCCATACGAGGCCCAATACATTGGGATGAATGTCCAGTATCCACAGTATCCATCCGGCGCTGTCTGACTTAGGCCCTGGGCTTTGGCCGACGCGACGGAATACGAATAACTGAATCCGACTTTCAGCGCGCTGAGGAGTCCGGTTTTCGCGTCACCTGCTGAACCATCCAGCCCGACATTCACCGTATACGAATTCGTCACAGTAATAGTGTCGGTGGTGGTGAGTGTGCATTTGCTGTTGGATTGACATTGCAATGGGAATTCTATCTCGCGGCCGTAGAACCAAGCTGTCTTTTCTTCGCAGTAGGCAGCGCAGTCTGGGGTCTTGAGGGGGCCACAGGAGCCAGCAGCGTCTTTCTTGAGCTTGTCTGGCGGTGGGCATTCAGATGCGGAGGCCCATGTGGTGTTTGTGCTTCCGAAGAGAGGCGATATAGTTCCAGAGCGAATTACGCATGGGAGGGAGACTTTGGGGAGGTCATGACTGCGTTTGGGGAGGTGCAGGATGCGGGGGTCGGTGCAGAGGACTGAGGAAATGAAGACGGTGAAGAGAATTGAGTACATGACGTATATAGGAACGAATGACGAAAATTCTTACAAAGGGTATTTTGTGCAGGAAAACGACAAAAAGATGATTTGAGCGAACTTATGAAGAATGGAAAGACCATGGACTGTTTCTGGATCCACACTGTCAACAGCATTTTCCTTCCCTTAAATACAACAGGAACCATTGTCGAGGCTCTCTTACAATGCTATAATTATCCCATTCCCATCGCCAAAATACTCCAAAGAGTCGTGTGATTCCAAGGATCATCTGAACTTGCAGCACCTTGAAGAGGCTCGCACAGCCCGTGTCACCGGCGTTGAAGGAGATTCATGAGTGGTACAAGTCTGGATGGGGGAATTCGGTCACCCTTGCCACGCGAATCACTCAACAAATGCGTAACATGTCCTGCAGCCTCGACCGTTATAGAAGCTCTCCAACACCAGCTAGCGTGTACACTGGCTCAGCTGAGTGGTTGTGGTACTATAGACCAGGAGATTTCGTTCACGCTTAGACGACTGATCCTTTCACCTCAGCTCGATCTTTCCCAAACAGTAGCAAGAAAGAGCATTAGCAATGATGGGTTGCTGAGGTGGTCCTGGATATTGGACGGCGGGGTGCGAATTGATAAGCTGGCTTCATGTCGATGATGTTTTCGAAAGGGATAGCTTGAGGTGTGCCAGCGGATGTGTGGAGTGATAATGGAGTCGGGACTGGTGGGTCATTTATGGTCGTAGTATTAAACGAGATTTGGTACAGCTGAGATAACCTAGTAGATTCTGTTATTCAGCTTTTCTTACATTCCTTTTTGAGAGTGACTGTGGACTGTCGAGTCGGTGCTCACAACATTTTCACGTAGTGATCGCGGTGCGGTCAAGATTCATATTGCAAATGTCAGGTAAATTTCAGATGTAGCTCCGCTGGCTGCTGGTGAAAGCTAGTGGAAGCACGTGGAAATTGTCCTTTCATTCTGCAGCCTCCTAAGATACCTTGTCATGTGTTAAAAAACTAATCTCGACTATTCTCATCCACTCACAGTCCCACGTCCCGATTACCTCCTATTTCTTGCTTTAACTCTAGTACATTCTATTAATCTTGCATAAAATACTTATCTCTTTAGTGCTGTCTACCTTGTCCTCTCTTCTAGCTAGCCCTACCTTAACGGGTAGGTTAGGCCACTGTTGCACACTCAATTGATGGATCAACTTCGATATATACATAGCGGCCCATCGGTCATAGTATCTTTCGCGTTAGTTTGAGAGTGAGTAGGACGTGCGTGCCAGGAAATGCGTATGTATGTACTACCCATGTTTAAAGCCCACCACTGGAATAATGACCCGGTGAACGGCCTGGAACTGCAAGAGGATGGGAGTGTTGGCGCGAGGAATGCCTTTTCCACTGCTTTGTAGAAACGGTTCAACTCAGAACTCAGTTCTCAATATTCAGACTGCGCTGAGCTACAGAGTATCGAGATGATGTATGTGATAAGACACCGTACAAGCAGTAGCAGAGTCGCGGATTGTCCCTTGTCTGTTAGCCCTTATTAATATGTCTTGATGTTGAAGGGGCCAGTAGATACGCTGCTCCTAGGCATGCCGAACGAACAGGGTGCTCACCCCGATGTATTTGATCTGTGGGAATAAACCGGGGTCATAGACGAAATCCTACCCCTCACTAACGAACTCTCCGGTCCTATTTCCCCCCGGCACAAAATCCAGGAAAATCCAGGAAACCCCTGACCCACCGAACCTACGACATCTAGTCGCCTAAATTAGCACATTGTTTAGGAAATTTAGGACAAAACTTGCGTCCTGGTAACCTACTTCCTTACTTAGCCAGGCGTTTAAACGCTGCCTTGATTATGTTCTACTTGATGAGCTAGCATGCTGTAAGTTCATCTCGTGTCTCTCTCCTTCCCACGTGAGAGCGATATTTTAGCAAGCGTTTCCTGCAGTCCAGCAATAAGATTCCAGCTCTTTCTTGGAGCATCGGTCTGTGGCAACTGTACAGTCCTGGTTTCGGCACTAGAGCTTACAGTTGATGGATCAATTGAAGGTGAAACCTGTAGACTTGAACCGAGTCCACTGTCGCGGAATCTGTCCACTGTGTGCGCCGCTGATATCAGGGAAGAGTCCAGCTTTTTAGGGTCTAGGACACTGCTCCTTCCAAACAAGACGGCGCCATGTATTTCCCCAAAGGCGTCAGCCTTTCCCAAGTGATTTTCGCCCCAGTTCAGTGGAGATGGACGAATCTGCTGGACGCGGGCAAAGACGTGCTTGCAGCCTAGTCCACACCTATTAAACACCTCCTTTGATGGATCCCAGTGGAGACCCCTTGCAATTTCTCGAGATGTTTTGTCGACTTCGCCTTTTTTACGGCTGGACTGCTTGATTTCTTGGAGCAATGACATTGGGACCGCAAGGAAATCATGGCCACGTGGAACAGTTTTCCAGTTCGCACATATCAAGCTGCTTGTAGTCACTGTCGGCTTGTATATATCTCCGAAATTCTGGCCGAAAAGGGTCACGGCGTGAATATGCTTCGTCAATTCTATCCAAGCCGCCCCATTCGCCTGGAGATTGACTGTGCGTCGAGTCAAGATGTGTTCTGCCGATACAATATCCATAAACTCGTAACCTTCTAATGCTGCCCCAGATGGAATTATTAATTGCTTGGTCTCATGCGTCGTCTCAATATCCACTTGGCGGTCGTAAATCTGCTCTAGAATGTTCCAAGTCTGTGAGACCAATTCTTTCAAGCATGTAGTCGTATAGATTTCCTTTCTCTCCTCACTTGAGCCACGGGCCTCTCTCCCTGGACGATTTTTCACACCAGTGGTATCGTCTCTGCTCATTGGTGACACTTGTTGAGGCCGAGGCGACACAATTGTTTCGGGAGCGAATGAGTCGAACTCTTCAAAGATCACATGTTTCATGTTGCAATCGTCCTTCAGAACCTGCACAGCTATATCCGGTCCACCATTGACTTCTGGATGCCTGAATTTTGAGTGATTGAAAGCGGGATCGTTGAAAAGGCAACCGGCGCGCCTGTAAGGTTCTCGGACAACCTGCGTTCGCACAAGGTGTAACAAGGCACTCGCCCCATCCGTTAACCACCCTTTTTGAGCTTCATTGTCGTAAAGCAGGACGTAAATCTTGCGGGCATTTTCAATCTGTAAAGAGTAGGTGGATCGCTTGACAAATTCTGGCTTGTCCCTGTTACCTCGGACCACACTCCCACTAACCCCAACTATCTTGCTGACGGAGATGGTCAGCTTCTGCTCCATAGAGAATCCTGCAGAGCATTTTCTGGCTCCAGCCCAGTCAATCTTGTCATACTCCATATCATCTGTTCCTATTTCCACCATTAGTGTCCAAAGAAGCTGTGAAGGAAACTACAGCTTCTTATCGCATTACATGGAAAATAATCAAGGGGGACAATATCCGCTAAACTCCCCGCTAGAATTAAAGATAACTCAAAAGGGTGCAGATCTCTGGCATGGATTACCCCCTTGTGATGTTCTACGTTACGCGATAAGATGTAGAAGAAAGTATCTTACCGAGATGCCTAGTGATATTTGATGCCCATCCAACGAAGTTGCGAGCGTTTCCAACTTCGACGGTATCAGTGCGAATCCATCCCGGGCAGCGCTCTCGAAACGAATAGTACGGAATACGTTCCCCATCTTCGTTGACTAGAAAATGCCAAGCGATAGAACGTTCTGTCCGGCGCGTAGGTACAAGCATAGTACAAGGTCCTTTGAGAATCAGCGTTTCATCATAGCGCGTGGCAAATTGAGCTTCAGCCAGAACACTCATTATGTCCAGCGGCAGTTCTAGTCCACTACATTCCTCGTCCCGAGCAAGTATTGGGAAACCGTTGACAACCACTGGATTGCGGAACATTTTGTGCCAGCAAGTGCCCTCTATGGCAGTTGACAGATGATGATCTGGACATGGAGTATCATGGAAATCAAGGTGCACCATGATAGAATGTGAAAGGCTCCTAGAGCGGGTGTCTTGGGAAACTGTGATGATTGGAGTGGTGAGACATATTCCAAATGATACTGGAGAGGCTCGAAGAGCAGCACCAAGCCAAGCAAGCTGTTCGCAAAGCTCTGTTAGCGCAGCTTGACCTCCACGCGCTATGATAGATGCTTTCGGTGATTTTAGCTTGATGTCGAGCTCCGTTCCATCAACAAGGCGACCTAAAAGATCAGAGATTGAAGAGAGATTTCTAAGGGTCTACTTACCTGAGCATGATAGATTTGTTGCCATCAGTGCCTTTTGCAGCACGCGCAAAATCTCTTGGCCACTGGATGGCCACGTTTGGCGCATATATCCCAAGCAGCTCAGTGCCTGGGCATCGCGGGTGGATCCTGTGATGGTGATGGCACGTTCGACTGCAATTTCCAATGTGGTGTCGTATTCTTGACCTCTTAGAAAAGTTGGAAGATCCCAGTTTATTTCGAAATCAATCTGAAATACTTGAGATTGTCGTGATTTTGGAGTTTTGATAAATGAGAGTATGGTATCAATCTCGCGTGTGACGCCATCTAGCACTGTTCCCTTTCTCTCAGTTAATAATGCCGATGACCGAATGTTCTCAAGTAACCATTGATACTCTGGACCGTCCAGGAGAAATGAACGGACTTCTTGATATCTTGGGGGGGCTTGGATCTCGTCCACCCTTTGGTCGACCGGTTCTGACTCCGGTGCTAGATCGGCATGCTCGACGGTTTTCCATCGAGAGATCTTCTCAGCAAACGACATGCCATCCTCCAGGATAGGAGGCACATATTCATCTTCGGATATCTCTGCTGGCATCTGGCTCTTACGAAATTGGCAGGCAATATGGCTACCAATCAAGACCGTTAGTCAGCGCTCAGGATGGTACTCGTATGCAGAGCTGTAACCAGGTTTGATTCCAAACAAGCTTGCATTAACACACGTACCTGCGTTGCTGCCTCACGAATTCCTTCGCATCACGCTCTGCCTTTGAATTGACACGCCCTTCTAATCTTAATGTGAAAGCCTTTAGGAGGTTGGGGAGACAAGCTGATATCCGCTCGCGCGCGTCATCGACGATGTCTCCGCGGAGGCCAATATCCTGACACAGATCGCCTGCAAATGCCGAAATAAGGTGCTCCTTTTCAGAAGACGGAAGGTGCACTCGCGAGGCATTGGTCAAGATGGAAGTGACTGACCTTTCGTCGTCGTCAACTTCGTTGCCCTTATGGAAGGAATCCGGCATCGAACCAAGACCCGAATCGAACTTGACATTGTCAGGTTTGAAATTACTTTCGTCCAGTTTAAGATTCGTTCCAGCATCGTTTGTTGTGTCTCGCGAATAGTTGAGTTCATGAGGACGGATTACTTCAACAGAGTCGCCTGCTTGGGCTTTTATAGATACCTCCGTTTCGCTAAAAGCTATGGAGTCGATTACACAATAAGAACACCTCGGATGCTGACACCTGACGCAAAGATCTTGCCAATAGCCTATAGGCCCATCTTGGCATTCGGAACAGTACCAGGGGGATTCGTGGCTGTAGTCCATGTCTATTTCTACGTTTTTCTTGGAATATCGATGTCTAAAGCCTACTACTCTAACATTGACTCGTTGAGCAGCCAGGAACTGCAACGGGATGGAAGCGCGGGGAATGATTTTTCCAACGCTTTCTAGAGAATTTTCAACACAGAGCTCAGTCCTCGATTCAGATCGCGCTGAACAGCGGAGTTTCGAGATGATGTAGGTGATAAGACACTCTACGGGCACTAGCAGAGTGGCGGATTGACCCTTATCTGTTACTCTTTCCTACTATACCTTGATGTTAAATGGGCCTGCTGCTAATTTTCCCTTGATGGCTGCTATATTCCCGTTAAGAGTAAATTCATTCCTGAGGGAGGCGGATTTCAGGAGAAAGCAGAATCCTAAGACCGGGTGTTCTCAATAAGTGAGCGGGTTGGAAAGGAAGTCGCCGACTGAGATATCAAACAACATGGTGGCCGATGGAAAGAAGTAAACCGTGAAGAAAAAAGGGTTGTGAAAGATGTTCTGTAAGAAGGCTACAAGGCAGCAATGAGAAGGCTGAAGGTTCGGAGAGTTGTGGCTGTGCCCCAACCGCCACATAGTGCGGCTCTGCCGATATCAACAGCTGCCTCACTCCTTCCATCTTTCTGCTCGATTTTGCTCAGAGTCTGGGACACCCATGAGCTGTGCAGCTTACAAATACCTGTCTTAGAATGTCATAGTTCCCACCAACCTCCTACTACACCTGTCTCGAGGCCTACAAGACGATCCTCAAGACAAAAAGAGCCAACAAAACTCATGAGGCACATTAGCCAGGATCCCAGGCATGGGAGAATATACTACTTATTAGGAGATATATGTTGCCATCTATTATGAGCACTGTAGAGTTTTTGATGGGTATCTGGAGTAGACATTTTGCAGTAGAAATGGAATCTATTCTGAAAGGGGCTTGCACAATCATAAACACACCCAGCGAAGCAAGAGAAAGTGAAAGAATTTTATAGCAAAAAGCCGCCCGACCCAAAGAAACAGAACCATTTTGTTGTCTAAGTGCGCCCAGTCTATGCGCACTCAGTCTATGCTCGCAGGCATGCAGGGTATACTATAAATACAGCTTCCAAACCAGACCAAACCCACGATTTACACATGCACACCGATGAATGTATGCAGACAGGTACATCGCGCAGGGACCAGTCAACAAACCTAATTCAGGCCACTCTCTCCCGTCTCAGCCATATGCTTCTGACAGTCTACCATCATCTCGACCATCTTCGCCACCTCTTCCAATCTACTCAACACAACCTTATTCCCCTTAACAAAGCCGTAGCAATTATACTGAATATTTGTTTTCTCGCAAAACTCCCTTACCAAAAACTGACCCTCCCTCAAATTATGTCGCGGCAATCTCGGAAATAAATGATGCACAGCTTGGAACTGCAGACCGCCGTGTAGGAAATCCAACCAGGCGGGACAGTCGACGTCCATAGTTGTGCGAAGCTGGCGCTGGGGAAAGGATTCCATGGGGCCGAGGTCGGACGTCGGCATGCCCCAGTGAGAGAGAGTGATTTGCACGTGTAGGATCATGGTCATCATGTGCGAGATCATGACGAAGCCGATGCGGGTGGGCCAGTCGGGGAGCGTGCACCAGACGAGCGCGTACCCGAAGATGGCCCAGTAGAAGAGCATGAAAACGAGTTCGACGTGGCGGGTCCACCATGCGGAACCGAGTTGGGTAGCCCGCGGGGAGAGCAGGTGGAGCCAGGAGAGCATGTAGAGGTTAAATCGGGCGAGAGCCATGACTGGGTAATAGGTGTATTTTTGGTAGGGGACGAGGAAGTCGGCAGCGCCGTCCCAGACGAATTCGAAGTTGTAGAAGGTGCTAAAGACCGATTTCATGAATGTAGGGGAGTTTGAGAAGAGGGGAATGTTTTGGATGTCAGGGTCGTGCTCAGGCATGTTGGTTATCAAGTGGTGGACGTTGTGGGATGACTTCCACCATCCTATAGACAGACCGCAGCAGAAGTCGGCGATGAAAGCTCCGATCAAGGTGTCGATGACGAAGTTGCCAGTGATACCACGATGGCCAGCGTCGTGAGCAGTGAACATGATTTGTTGCTGAACCGTTCATTAGTCATGTGGATCAGGAGAGCACGTGCAAGGAAGAATACACACCCAAAAGAGGCCCAGGAATATGGCCGATGTCAAGTACCATCCAGTGAGGAGCAGGTAGAGAAAGGCGCAGAACAAGACCGCATATCTAATCGACTCCTTGCCGTACTCAGAGTAGCGGCATTGGTATAGTCCCCTATTTATGATTTCCTGGTGAAGGGCCCGGTAGTGCAGCCGGATTGACTGCTGCGTCTCTTCGTCCAGAGACGGATAGTCAAGTATACCCTCTGCGATCTCCTTTTGCTCCATGGTCGTGGCATATGCAATCCTTGAGCCCTCGGATGAAATTTTATCCGGCGTGTCCAAGAGCGCCTGCTTCTCTGGGTCGGCACTTTGCACCGAGCCGATCCTGCGGCTGCAAGAGCCACCGGGGATGAGGTCTGGCTGCGGGTTCACCCCCGTGCATGACGGCGGGGTCAAGAAACCCAGCGGACCGATGTCGATGCTCGGCCTGGACCGATGTCCGGGGACAGGTGCCGTCGTCCCCTTGGTCACGGGTGCCGCGATGCAAGAATCCTTCGGCTGACTGATCTGGTCGCGGTAGTTGGGGGAGCGGATCGGAGGCTCGAGGTTCTTCCATGGTTCCTGGATGCGGCCAAGACGATGCTGCTTCATCATCTGCAGCGAGCGGGCCGAGTGGTACCTGTGGCGGAGTTAGCCTGAGACGGCCCCGAGCAAACTAGAGGCGGTAGACACCATACCAGATGCGGAGGTTAGTTCTTGCTTACACGTTGATTTCATCGGAGGCATCTCTGCCGACCATGTGCAAAATGGCGAGGCGGCCGCCAGGATGCCTGTCGATCCACTGCGTCAGTTGCAGGGCATACCCCTCGTGGATGACGATTGGCTGGCCCTGGGCGATGAGCAGCTCGACTTCCTTCGCCGATACGATGGGTTTGCGATCCATGGCCATGGTGACAGGCGCGGAGAAAGTTGCCGGAGGAGTTGCGACGTCGAGAATCTGCCCGGCTGCAGGCCTCGAGTATATAGTGTGACGGGGCCCCTTTCTGAGAGGCGGGTCAGAGCTTTGGCGGGCGTTGCGACTGCGACTGCGGCCCGCCCCCCAAGCCCACCAAGCCCACCAAGTTTTTGGCGACCGGGGCGCATGAGAAGTAGCTTGGCGCCTTCCAGAACTCGCCCCGCGCGCGCAGCTTTGCGCTGTGAGAGGCCGTGTGAGACCAAACATTTCCAGCCTCTCCGGATCTTGGCGCGCGGTCTGGGCCCACGGTGATGTGAAGGTGACCCTACAGTGAGCCTATCGTGAGGCGATCTCTTGGTTGCTTTCATTGGATTCGATAGTCCGGGCCCGGAAGATGCAGCAAAGTATGGGCATTGCCAGTTGTAAAACTGGTGCCCGTCGCAGATCGCTATGAAACAGATCGACGGGCATGTCCCAGATGCATCTCCATTCGCGCGGACGTTGCGAGGGCGGAGCTGAATCGGTGCGTCACTGCGTGCGCGTCACTGAACAAATCCAAGGGGTTCGACAATTTGCACTGCCCGCTTCTGCTTTCGGCCGGTGGAGCGAATCTGCGTGTAAGAGGAGGTTGACGCGAAGCTCGCCTTCGACCGCTCTTGGCTGCAATTGATCCAACCTGATACTATTACTGGCGATTGCCCACTATTCCATTGGAAGTAATCCTTGCAGTTGCAGATGTAAAGCACCGATTCATCTTCGTGAAGCACCACAAGAGCTAGAAGTGAATTGAAAAAGGAAGGAAATAATCCTCAGCCGCAGCTGCTCTGCGTAACTTCCTCATGAGATTGCTTGGCACCCGACGTCTCGGATAGCCAGCCAATGGGAGTGGATCCAGTACGGGGGTACTCCCGATCCATACCCCACGCCAATCCTCACTTCCCCAGCATCGAAGACACAATATTCAAACTTGAACATTCAAACTTGAATATTCAACCCACTATATGCCATCGCTACACAATTGCCTCTTTGAATTACCCTCTTCCTCCACAAACCTCCAACCATTAGTCCGCTTCCGTGTGCATGGCATTCACCTTCACCATGGGATTCTGTATTTTCAGACCAGAACGCCGCTCCAAATGCTATTTCTTCCTCAGGTACAAGGTATCAACGGCCGATGCCAGACATATTCGTGTACCTTAGACCGAACTCGGCATCGGCATGATACAAAGCCCGGTCGGAGCTTGGAATACTTGACGCTGGCGAGGGATCGAACATCTCTGAATCGCTCGCCCCCCTAGACTTCAAGTTCCGGATGGTCCGGCGCAGCGACTCCATTTCAGAATCCTGCTTCTCTTTCTGCATCGACAGCTCCTTGTACTTATCCTGCTGTGCCTGGGACTCCATTGGCATCTGGCGATTCTGAAGCACGCTGATGGATAGATCGTACAGGAAGTCTTTTGGCACGTCGCCGTATGTCCCAGAGAGAGCCGTTCCATCGTCGTGGTCGGAATAGAAGTCAACGAGCATGTTGCGAGCTGGGCTTTCCTCGGGGGTGCCGCCGTAGATGATCTTAACGCATTTGATGCTTGGGAGATACTGCTTTCCATCTTTCCCCACCTGCTTGAATCGAGCGGAGATGGCTAGAAGAACGAGGTCTTGTGATTTATGGTCAATGAGGTACTCGCAGAGGACATAGAGCTTGCATAGGGGGATGTATTCGTCTTCTGGCGAAGCATGCTTGAGATCTTTAACTGGAAGATTACCAGAGTAGAGGAGCTCATTATATAAGGCGAAGGTAGCTGGCTCAGCGGTGCAGAGTGTGATTTCCTTCTTGTCGGACTCGTGCCACTTGCCGCTCATGGCCTTCTCGAAGCACTGGGACCGTGGGCAGATGAGACCCTCGTGGACGAAGAACTCTTGCTGTTCGTTTTCCGCCCCAACGACAACTTTGATGGCGGCCGTCTGAGCGAATCTGTGCCTGGTCAGCAAGTCGGGTTCGAATCGCCGTGTGGCGTTGTATACCCTGTCTCCTTTCCACTGGAGACGCGGACGTCCCAGTTCCCCGTCACGACTGCGGTCCGCGGAAACTTCCATGAAGCCATCTTGTCGTATAAAGAAGTCTCAAGCTTTGAGTTAGAGAAAAGAGAAGAACCTAAAGTGGAAGTTCAAATTTATGAGCCACGTTGGAGATCACCTGTTGTTGGGATGGACAAGCGCGAGGCTAAGACACTGATAGGACGAATGTCTACTTCAACAGAAATTAGGAGTCTCATAACATCCTCCTCTTTCCCAGGAAACGGTTTGAAAGACCAAATACATCTTAATTTATTTACGTGGCACGCAATAACATGCTGTGGATGCATCTGTAGACCGGGGAGAAGCATAGGAGGCGATTTCGATACAATTTTGTCGTGTATTGCTTACTACCCCCGGTAGCTACAAATATTCCGTGGGTTTATTGGGAGATAACTAAGATTTTATCATCGAGATTCATGACATACGGTCCACCTGCAAAGACGCCCAAGAGCTAACTATACATATGCCTAGGCCTTATCCCCACTGGAGTGGCCATGAGTCCCCTCCTCACCAAAGGTGAATACATGGTAATTGGCGCTTTAATCACCGAGGGACTCATGAATAGCCCTCTTTCTCATCTTTGGCTTCTTGGCTGACAATCGAAAAGGGACACTAGAACCATCAATCTTCCCATCTAGGGCGGGATTCTCTTTATTCTCCTTTTCGGAATGGTCACGTAGTAAGCTACTCGAAGTAGACATTTCTCGCCCTTCCTCAGAGAATGACCCTATCCTTCCTTTCGTGGCAACTATTTCGGAAGTCAGGTTTGAAATTTGAATGTCCTTCGCTTGAACCTCGCCCTCTAGTGACCGAATAATTCTGTCCTTTTCTTCAAGTTGCTTTTTTCTCTCTGCCAACGACTTGAGTCCTGTCCGGTTCCTTACACGGAGTGTATGCGTCAATTCTTTATATGGGCGTTGCACCTGATTTTCGAGCATGTGAAGTGAAAGGTCATATAGGAACTCCTTCGGTACGCTATCAACCGCCCCAGAGAGGCATGTTTTGTCCTGGTAAGAAACGTAGAGCTCGATCAGGAGGCGGCGCGCCGGGTCGCCTGAGGGTGTTCCTTCGTAGACGATCTTGATGCAACAAGGAGGCGGGCAAGCCACAGGACCGTCCATATCTACCAGGGTGGTAAACTGCTGAATTCTATCCGAAATCATTTCCTTACTCTCGATGTCTTCTAGTTTCTCTACAAGAACGTAGAGCTTGAAAAGTGAAATATACCCATCTGTGTCGGAATCGCCACCTAGGTCCGTCTTTTTCGGCGCCATAGTCAAGAGGGTGTCTCCATAGAGCATCTTCACGAACATCGTGAAAATCTCCGGACTCTCGTTTTGCAATTTCACTGCTCGCTCGCCCGATCCGTGGTACTGTTCGCTCATGACGGTGGCGAAATACTTGGATCGAGAGCAGATGAGCGCCTGGTGGACGATGAACTCGCGACGGTTGGAAACCGGGCCGACCAGGACTTTTACTGCTGGTGAGGTCACAAAGCTGAGTTGTTAGTGCCGGCTTGGACCTTTTGTATGGTTCGGGGAATACGTACTTAAAATCTGTGGGCGTTGAGACGCTTGAAACTTTGGTCAATTCCATGCTGGGAAGGTGAGAGGTTGGTTGTAGGATGGGAGAAAAGAGGCGGGATGAAAATAAGGCGGAGCCATGCCGTAGCAACTGCTGGTCATTTTCAATCACTGGAATTGCTCAATTGTTACCATGGTGATTGTTTCCAACCTTGCCACTTTGCGACTTGATAATTCTGGTTTGCAGATCCATTTCCATTACCTTCCATTAGCCGTGTTTGTCTTTTATTTCTTTGTTCTTCTCCCCCATCTGTGCATTCACATGCCTCTGTGGTGGTCGCTTCTTCAGCGCACCGAGCAAAACCTGATGGAGGATCTCTTCTACACTCTTGGACAGCTAAGACACGTCTGCATGATTGGTGTAAAGTTAAACGAGCAGACCGCACACAGAGCCGAATCACGGGGTCTTTCGTAGATTATTCGCACATATGTGAACCCAAGATAGCACAAAGAACCGTTCATAGCCCTCACTCAGTAGAGCGCGCTTCAATTTTCGTAAGCGCAAGATATTTAGCTCTGACATCTAATAGTTTCTCGAAAACGACATGGCTTACTCAGGGTAGGGTATTCGTAAGATACAAGTAGTGGCCAAGAGTATGAGTATCATTCGCGGATGGCGTGTCGTGGGACGGTGGGACCTTGTTTTGCACTTATTTGGTTTCTGATCGGAAGGGGGTTGAGGTAAAGTCACTTCAGTTAGAGCGCGAATGTGGCTAGGCCATATTCAGAGAGGCCCACTTCTTCTACTCAGACTGGGCTAAGTGGCTTTGTCCTTCTGCCACGATTTCAGGACTACCACGCTGAGCCTTCTCTGCTTCGTTCCTCCCGCATAGGTCCACCGCATATCCTCACGAAACGATGCCCCTTTTGACATACAGTGATGATGGCAGGCTCGGTTTTAGTCGACGAGGAAATAATGCCCCCCCTTATGCAATACTTTCTCATATGTGGGGCCTGACGAGGATGAGGTGACTTTCGAAGACCTTGCAAGTAGCGCTGACAAGGACAAGCCTGGCTATAAGGTCCTCTTCTGCGAAGAAAAAGCACGCTAAGATGGATTGCAATACTTCTGGATCGACACGTGTTGCATTAATATGGCGGACAAGGCTGAGTTCTCCCACGCTATCCGGTCTATGTTTCGCTGGTACCAAAACGCGACCAAATGCTATGTCTATCTATCAGATTTCTCTACAAGGAAGAGGAAAGCCGACGCTATGCTTACCGAGTGCACTTGGGAGCCTGCTTTTAGGTCTAGTCCATGATTCACCCGCAGTTGGACCTCCAAGAGCTTCTTGCACCTAGCTCAGTAAAGATCTTCTCTCGAGAATGGAAGAAGCTTAGTAACAAGATATCGCTAAAGTTATGGATCTATAAAATCACAAGCATCCTATGTGCTGTACTTGAAGGGGCCCCTCTTTCCTAGTTCCGCGTCAACGAGCGGCTGCGCTGGAAAGAACACCGGGAGACTAAAGGCCAAGAAGATGGAGCGTACTAGCTGCTCGGAATATCTGAGGTTGACCTAGTGCTGGTGTATGGCGAAGGGGCAGCGGGCGTGTTTAGGCGTCTTATAGACAGGATCCATAAGCTGGAAAGATGCTTTTAAGACATTCACAGTACTGATCTGCGTGACAACAAGAAGCGCACTAAAGATACAAAGGGGGGACTGCTAAAAGACTTGTATTGCTGAGTCCTTAACAACATCCACTTCCAGCAATGGTACAATGACCCGCAGAGCCAGCTGCTATAGATTAACGGTGATCCTAGCAAGGGCAAGACAATACTGTTCTACGGCATTATTGACAAGCTACAGAAGTTAATAGCTAAGACAGGACTTGTGTCCTACTTCTCCTGCTAGACCACTGGCTCACGCATTAACGCTGCAACAACTGTACTAAAAGGGCTGTTGTTCTTGCTGGTTAGCCAGCAGCTGTCACTTGTCTCTTGTGTTTGGAGGAAGCATGATCACGCAGGCAAAACCACGTTTAAGAATGCAAATGCTTAGGTTGCTCTGACTAAGATCTTTACAGACATGCTGCGGGACCTAAGCTTAACTGCTACATACCTGATTATTAACGCGCTAGACAAAACTTACTAAAACTACTTAACTTTGTTGCAAAGAATTCATCTGTGTTTTCTTGCGTCAAGTGGGCTGTCTCAAGCGGCAACTGGCCAAACATTGAAGAACAGCTAGAGCGGGCAAACCACAAGGTAAGGCTGAGCCTGAAGGTGAATGCAGAGTCTGTGTCAACAGCTGTACAGACATTTATTAAGCAAAAGGTGTCTTAGCTGGTGCAACAGAAGAAGTACAACAAGCAAACCTAAGGCTTTGCGTTAGAGCATTTGGCGTTAAATGTAAACAACACCTTTCGTTGGGTAGCAGTGGTGTGTCAAAAGCTCGAAATGACGGCGAAACAAAACGTGCTTAAGAGGCTCAACTTGTTACCGCCTGGACTGGACTCTCTGTATGAGCAGATGATGCAGTAGATTAGCAAGTCAGACAATGCAAACCTCTGCAAGCAGGTGTTGGTGTCGATCGGGCTCGTGTACCGGCTAATCACGCTGAAGGAGCTCGTGACGCTTATCAAACAGCTGGGAGAAATAACTAACAACAAAGAGTTGCACGAGATTATTGGCCTCTGGGGCTCGTTACTCATCCTGCGAGAAGATACCATATACTTTGTACATCAATCAGCCAAGGACTTCCTCCTTGCTCAGGCGGCTAAAGAAGTGTTCCCATCTAGAAGGGAGGATGTTTATAGCGCTATTGTTGCTAGGTCACTCGAAATAATGTCTAGAACCCTGCAGTAAGACATGTACAACTTAAAAGCGCCAAGGTATCCTGTCAATGACTTTAAACAGCCATATTCTGATCTAATAGCAACGTCGCGCTACTCATGTATCTACTGGGTCGATTATTTTTGTGACTCAAATGCTGTGTCTTTAGCGAGCCATGCCAAAGATCTGCTAGACAGAGGCGTTATTGATGTGTTTCTAAGAGATAAGTATATTTTCTAGCTAGAAGCTCTTAGTCTTTGCAAAAGTGTGCTAAAAGGCGTAGCCTCAATGGCGAAACTACGGTCGCTGGTTCAGGCATGTCCGCAACAAGCATTTTAGTTAGATTGATTCTATACTGACGAAACTAAGGGAAGAGGAGACGCAACTTTATTCACTGAGCTTGTTCATGATGCCTATTAATTCATCATGTACCACAAAGCAGCAATGGAGAGTAGCCTTCTCCCACGACTCGACCTGGCTAGCGTCGGCGTCGTACGACAAGACGGTCAAGATCTGGGATGCGAGCAGTGGCAAGTACCTTCAAACACTCATCATTAGCGAGGCACTCTTCCGCATCTCATATGACATCACTGACTCATATATTCGAACGCATATTAGTACTATTAAAACCAGCACTCTATTAGGTTCGAGACACCTATCCCATTCGAAACTTCAGAGTCCTTAATATCATGACCTAGACTTAAGTGTAGATGGCGTGTGGATAACATATAATTCAGAAAACCTAGTACGGTTACCCTCAGAGTATCGACCATTATGCCCGGGGGTATCAGAGAAAATGATTGGTTGTAGTGTTGGAACTAGAAGGGTATGGATATGCAGAGTTAAGCTTAACAAGCTTAACACATTCTAAGGCTAGAACATTTATATCATGATCAGTTACTTAGTATATTATATTTTTCTCTATATTTCATACAGGGCCGAGGATCAGCACGAATATACAGTTTGCAGATTTGCCACAGTGAAGCTTTGAATCAAGTCACAAGATGTCAACGTGCAGGATTAGAGCTCCACTGTACGTGTTAAATATTTGCTACTTGAGTTTGGCCAAATGCAGACGAACGCCTAGATCACGCTGGCACGGAGGACGATTAATCCACTCTTGATAGGCCCTTGCAGTGAATAGTTTGCTCTGCTTGCTAAAGGATAGAGACTGCGTATTTAGTTATCACTGTGGCTAATGAGTGTGGCTAACTATTTACTGCCACGCTACTGCTGCTTCGGAGTCGATCCTTATATTCTAAGCGTAAGCATAGCCATAACGCCTAACAGCTATAATCTTAGCGTTACTAATGATAAAAGTAAATTACACCGTGATGACTACGTAGGATAAGCGGGTCGCTTTGAATTAGCTAGGATTAGTAATATCTTTAACTAGAGCTACCGACTAGGGTGGCGGCCTTATATGAACCCACGCGCGATAGCAGGCACAAAGCTGATAATAACTCCCTATTATTATTAACGCTATAAGGGTCTAAGGCTTGGATAAACCCTTTATACCTGTATTGTAAGTGTTAAAAGCTTGATGTTAGTGCTTAGTGCATGGAGATTGTATTGCCAGAAAAGAAGTCTCTAAGCGAATTAGCGAGAAAGCGACGATGCGAATGGAATTTATAGGTTAGAAAGGTCTTAAACGTCCGAAGGTAGCAACATCACATAATTTAATTTAAAGCTTAAAGTGTTCGTAGAGTTCGAGTCACTTAAAGTCAAAGCACCCCTTACATTTTCCGGCACCATAGATTTTCCGTCATTTCATGGATTTAGTGGGTACGAGTTCAGAGAAGATAATTATTTTTTGCTTTTAATTATGATCGGTGTAGTTGTTTGTAGTTTCAAGTCGGGAGAAAACCTCGACGCTAATTCATGTCAATGTACGCTCCAGTGATATACACAGGAATCGACAAGGAGTCGAGAGCAGCCTTACTAGCAGGAGGCACATCGCGTATATTCCATTGTCTGTTAGGTTTCCCTGATCTGTCATGATATTTTATCAACGTACGATTAAGTTCTCTTCATAGTTGTTAGGTTGTACGTTATCGTAAATTGAATCTTGAGTATGGGTTGATTCTACGATGACGTTCTACTTTCTGATGTAGCCGCGGAAGTCACTGGAGAGTGAATTGCAATCATAATCACCATTACGCATTCAACTTAAGCTCTGTCGGAATTCTTCTCTATGTATCGCTTGCTGGTGCCTTCACGACCTGAGGCACAACCTCAACCCAATAACCCTACGCATCATTAGCGTCTTCTTCATTCTCCAAGGTCAACCTCAATCAGAAGGACACTTACATCGGGATCCTGCACAAACGCCAGCTGCCGAAACACATGTTGATACCCCTGCACCACTTCTTCCTCCTTAATTTCCTCTGGCAAACCCATCTGTCCCACCTTGGCCTCATCGAGCGGCTTAATAATCTTGTACCCAAAATCCTCAACTCTATTCAGCGTCTCTGCGACATCAGGTACTGTGAATCCGATATGGCCGAATCCAATCCCACCTTTCAAGTAATCGTTCCCGTTGTTGTATGGCGTGTTCGAGTCGGCAGGTATGTGGTAGAGCTCCAGAAGCCCTTTGCTTGTACCGAGATTTGCCATTCCTAGGGAACTATCAACATCATCGCTTATCCCAAGGGTGTGATAGAGGAGAACTCACCAACCTCCCTCGGTCCCAAGTAATAAATTGTCCACGGCCCCGCATTAAATACAAACACAGTATGCAATCCAAAACAATCGTTATAAAACCTCAGACTCTTTTCCGGGTCCTTTATCCTCAGCATAAGGTGATTGAGCCGGTATTCCGCCGTGGCTGGAGAAACAGAACGAGGTGGTGGGATAATGTGTTTGCCGGGGGCAAAAGGACCAGATACGGAATTAGGTTTCAACATGCTGGTGGCCCGATTCCCGGGATATGGGTTAATTGGAGCGGGATATGTGGTAGTTCAGAGGGTAGGGAAGGGCGTCGAGAGCTCGATCTTCGGGTTGATTAGTGCTTGTGCAAGGATAGATCTAAATTCGTTTAGTTTAAAACCTGGAAAATAGTGGTGGGGTTGTGATGCCTTAGATAGAGAAGATTTCCGTCGCAGCATCGACAGTGTAAGGCGATTTGGAGAAGAGTTTCATGCAGGAACAGTCGAAGTTGGGGTAAGTTTGAGAATGTGGGGCATGATAGTGGGGTTGCTAGATGATCGACGCCTCGGAGAAAGTGTTCCGATTCGCTTTCATTGGATCGGGGATCCATCAATTGTCACAGAAAGGGAAGCCCTGTGAGGAAGCCTTGAGAAATTACAAATAAGGGTATGAATAGGCACGAAACCAGGAGAGGCTTAAGATGCGAAATAAAGAAACAGGATTAAAAGGTCACCGTCCCCACTAGGTTACCCCGTGATAGTCCGACTGCTTGCCAAAATTCCAGAGTTTGGAGTGTTGCTGGCTTCCCAATATTAGAATCCATATCTAACGGTAACTTTTACGCTTGCCGCATCATTCGACCACCCAGGGTACTGGAATTCGTCAGCATAAATTCAGAAGCTAAGCTTAAGGATAAACAAGAGGTGAAAGGACTCATTTAGCGCTGAATGGTCTTGTCGAGTTGCTGCTAATGGACCCACTGAATAAATTGTCGCAAACTCACCTTAGCCCTTGCAATGACAGCGATCCAGTCACCCTCCTTCAATGACTCCAAGAAGCCCTCGCCTCCTCCAGCCCCTTCATTTCCTTCGAATCTTGACTCCCCCCATACGACCTTGTAGGTCGTTCGATGGTGGTGCGCAACACGGTTGCCTTGAAGGTACCACGTTAGTCCACCGTCATCGTCTTGCGCGGGGCCACCTGGCACTGTGGAAGGGCGTGGGATGATATCCCATCCTGTTCCTTCTAAGGAACGCTGGAATTCAGTTGATCTGCAGTTGCTCATCGGCACGGGTGGCGTGGCCCCAGCTACTCCCGCCCCATCCCGAAGAATCAAAGTCTCAAACCAGGAAGACGTGTTAAAAGTTCCTTAGACCTATGTCAACACACACTGGTCTATGAAGACCAAAGGTAAACTTACCTGCTGTGCCCGCACTTGTCCAGCCTTGATCATGACTCTGCATCTCGAACTCCACTTCTCTAATCTTCACATTCTCTTCTTTCTCCCCGCCAAGCATCTTCTTCATGTTCTCACCGAAGACGTGAGCAAGAACGCATATTTTCGCATCGTACACTCTTGAACCCCAACGCCCTTCCACTGTGACCGCACGCTCTGAGTGAAACGACTCTTCTGGCCAATAGCGGGCTCGCTCTAAGATGTCCAGCACGAGCTCTAGTGGAAGGTACAAACGAGCTAGCATCGCGCGGACAACTCGCACGTCTGCATAAGAAGGCACAAAAGGGTCCTCGGTCATTGGGGAAGTATTTTTTCCTATTGTCTGCTGATCTTCTGTGACTTGTGGCGGGTTTAATGCTGGGGAAGGGGTAGTTGGAGGAATAGAACGCAGGCGAAGAGCACGCAATCTTTCCGCCGCCATGACGGCTATATCTTTAGGTATGATAATGAGGTGTAAGGCCTGAGTTGTGGAGTAGTTGGTTCGTTCAATGCAGCCTGACTACGCCATACTTGTGTTACGTCAGTGAGCGAGGTGGCCACACGCTAAGCCGTATTCGGTTTTACCCGCACGTGATCTGACCTCCCCAAGGTTACTCCGCCTCAAGTTAGAACGGCTGCTGAAACGAAAAGACATGAAGTGCTGACTCTGCTGCTTACTATCCTTAATACGTATGGTAGGTTGTATTGCCGTTTAGATGTTGATCCCACAACGGCTTTTCTTTACCCCCCAACTTTGATGAAGCTTAATTCCATCAAGGGTCCCAAAATCCCATGCCTAATGTACAATTACGTATCATCAAAAAGAGAAGTTGAATTCATAACTCCGCATCCATGCTAATGCTACCTGTCGTTAGTTGCTTTGGTATTTACCTGTGCAACGGCATCATACATCCTGTCTCACAGGCAAAATTTCCTCATCCCCAGGTGTTGGCCCTCGACTGCCCTCTGGCCTCGAGAAGCTCTCACCCCTCTCCCTACTCCTTCGCGGATCAAACTGCACACTCCATTCCACCCCTTTCTTAATAATCATCATCTGGGAATCATCACTGGCTTGATCGCTCTTCCGATCCTTCTCCTCTTTATTATCTACGGCACTAGCTCTGGCTTCGTACCCGGTAATCTCCGGCCTTAATCTGCCCAATCTCAGCGTTGATCTCCGGCGTCCGTTGTCTCCTGGGCTTCGATTTTCCTTGAGAAACCCGGGATCATCTTCGATATCCACAGTGGCCAGCGTAGTGGTAGCCGTTCCAGAGCTTTTAGATGTCAGAGCCGAGAGTTTGAAGTTTGAAGAGCCACCGGAGCGGCCAGAGGGGTAGTGCGACGCACGCGAGGTTTCTGGGCGTTCGTACGCCATCATGAACGGTTTTAGGTACGGGATAATGGAGGCTATGATGCTATAGCCGATGGCGAGTTGGGTGGCAGATACGACCCGGGAATCCCAGAGGTGGGATGTGGCGGGTTCGAAGGGGCGATTGAGGAATACGAGACGGGTGAGGGAGAAGGCGATGTTTCTGGATTTGTTAAAAGAGGTGCAGACAGGGGGTATTTGTTAAGGGGTTGCTTACGGTATTCGACACGAAAATGCCCCTACTACGATCATTTTGCTTCCGAAAGACATCTGGAGTCCCCAGACTATGTATACTGAAAGCGATACAATGCCGATTTCAATCAGCGTGTCGAAGCTCGCAATAAACGCCCATCTGGCAAAAGAGTTTGTGCAAGTCGCCATATCGTCTGTCCACGGTCGATTTGGGTGACACCGAATCGCCTCAAGCATGATAGATGATACAAGCCACGTCACTGAAGCTGCAATTGCAAGCCATATGGCACGCATGTGCGCTCGGCCAGGGGTTAAGTAGAGGAAGAGGAAAGAGGTCGAGCATTTCGAGAGGAATAAAGTGGTGATGTAGAAGAGATCTGCGACGAACGAAAGCTGTAGAGCCTTAGTATCGCAACTACTGCCATTACCAGAGTAGAGGATCGTACCTTCTCAATCGTGGGAATATGCGATGGATTGATGTTCTCTTCGAGTTTCCCCAACCCTTGTTGCAGCTCCCGGAACACCAGCGATGCTTGCACGATGGCGAATATCTACCATGGGTTAGGCTTGTACGGCTTTAGGTCTAAGAGCACAGGAGCGGACTCACCGATGCAGCAAAGAAGGTATAATCATCGACTCGATACACGCCAAGACCACGCCTTACGAATATCCTCACAGCAATCGAAAGCAACACCAATCCCAACGCAAACCCCGTCAAAATCGCAATGAGTCCGCTTTGATCTGTACTGCTGATACCCGCCAGAGGTTTCGATATGCCCGGAGGCAGTCCGGTCGGCGTTGGAGTAGCCTCAGCATCTGCCATGAACACTCATCTACAACTGTCCTCTCGAGGCTAGTCAGTGCGGGAAGGGCGGAGCGACGGGAGGGATCGAATTAAAGAGGGCACGACATCGGCGGTTTGAACAGTGGGCTAAGAATGGAGAAATAGGGCTAATGCGAAACCATGTCTTTTTAACAGTGCTTCACAAGAAATTCGTGTTCCCTCGACACGTTGTTGCACACCGATAATTCTTGTGCGCCCGGCAAGTCAGTTGGATTGGAGCCCTCAGATCGCGCTCCTGTTTGTCGGAGCACAGAAGGATGTGCGAAGTTCGTAAAGGATTGGCCCGGCCCGTTCCAGTAGGCTGGACGTTATCAACCGTCAGCAGGCCAGTCCTTGAGGGGTGTCCGTGTGCTGCACTGTCGTAAGCAATTAGGTGCCGAGGATCGAGTCCCGGAGAGGAAGCTGACCTTTTGTACTACAGTTGCACCAACTACTCTATTCTTGTTATTCTTGCACAAAGGCCAGCGACAATCTTCAGGCCTCTCTGTTGCTCTCCTCGGACCCAATTCTCCAACAATTAGTGGCTTGAAATAGCGTCCCAATGCGGAGGTCCAAATTGTCATGCAGGATGCGCTCCCTGCACCCCTCGCTTCATGCAGCCTTCCCATTTCCCTCCAATACTATCCTTCATTAAGTTCAAATTAGGGATCGTAAGGATTCGGCAAATCCACTCAGCAGACGGCAGTCGTGTTCGTGCATCCGACGAGGATCACCCGCTAGTCATCCACTCGAGCGCTGTGATTGCGCCATTTCAGGGAAGCGCCGGACTTCGGACACCCTACGCGCTTAGGCGTTCGGTCAAAGTCGTTTTCCAGCCTCGTTCCATCCCCGAGAACGTGCGCGGCCTGGCGGCTGCTTTCACGAACGCCAGCGCCGAGGAGCCATGGCGTTGGGCAACATCGAACGATGGTTGCTATTAGCGATGTCCTAAAACGTCTCATACTCATCCGGCCTGAAGGCGATTCTAATGCGTACAACAAGGCTGTGTATACACTCTTTCTCGAAGATTATTCTTCATGCACAAACTACCACAATTCCTTCCTATCTACGATATATTATTGAGGCTGGTATATAAGTTTTCGTCGCCCTTTCAACCCCCTTAATCTAGTCTGGAAGCCCTTATCTCCGTAACCGGGCCATTGTACACCTTTCTCCCTTGGAAAATATACATAAGAAGACTCAGAACTAAAACTCCCACGTACATTACCACAGCCCAGTTGAAGGTGTCCAATGCAACAGGCGTTTCGTTCGGCCAAAAAGACCAGAAGAAGACGAAAGAGACATACGCAAGACCAAGGCAATTTACCGGCACACCCCATTTGCCTAAGCTCCAGCGGGCGGTTGGGATAAGGTCAGGATGTGTGATACGACGGTACAACACGCAGCCTATAGATACGGTATACGTTGTCATGAGTGCGACGACCTGCAGTGATATAATAGCGTTGAAGGCGGTCGTCGACCCAATGTTGATAAGTGAAAGGAGCATAGTAAAAACGCATGTCAAGATGATCGCGTTGGCGGGAATCTCTTTTCCGGCATCGACATGACCGATCCACTTGCTGAATGGCAAGCCTCTGTCGCGCGCGAAAGCGAAAGTTTGACGAGCCGTGGATGCATTGAATGATATGTTTGCGGCAATGACGAGAATGAGGACGATGATAGTAAGGGCATTGACACCGGCCGTACTCACGGCGGATTTGAAGACGTAGATGAAAGGATAGGTCGTCGGATCATCTAGTGCGGCTTCAACGTCGTCGATACTGAAGAGGTATGTGATGAGGAAGATGATTGCCATGATACCATTGCCGACATAAGACCAGAACAGAGAAATCGGCACGTAGCGGCCTGCATCGCGGACTTCCTCAGCCATATGTGCGGTAGCGTCCGATCCTTGTTTTGCTCGTTAGCCGATAAAATTAACGTACGCATCTGAAGTGGTGCTCACCTAACATAGAATAGATAGCCGTAATCTGACCAACCATAAGGCTCAGCCCCATGGTTGACCAGCCTCCCATATTTGTGAATTCTGTAAAGACCGATTTTGCACTCCGATGAGGAGCCATGACCCAGAGCGTGATGATAACTGCGAGGAAGGCGAGCACATGGAGGATTAATAGCCCATTCTGAATCCTAGGCCAGATCTGGGCACCCCAGATGTTGACAATGAAAAGTACCAATACCATCGCAAATACCAGAAGCGTACCCTGCCACCTCTGAGGCTCATAAGTAGGATAGTTGACGACGAGAAGAGCCTGAACGATAGTGCCAGTTAAGTACGACCCTGAAGCATTGCCTGCTTGCCATGAAAGCGTCGACATCCAGCCCACCATGTAGGAGAGAAACTGCTGGAATTTTGGAGGCGCAAACTCGGAAACCTGCCTTGATATTAGGAGAGTGTTAGAAGAGGCTATAGGAACTTACCCAATGATATTGCCCGCCCGAAATAGGGGCCATTGAAGCCATCTCCGCCAGGCTCAGCTCAACGAAGCCAAAGCCGATGAATGTCCAGATATATGACCAGAAGACTCCAGCAACACCTCCATCGACAAGACCCTGGGTGTTGGCGATGAGAAGAAACTCCCACACGGCTGTGAGGACGACGGCAAAACTCAGCGCAGACAGCGGACGATAGTTCCTCTACGTTGGGTCAATGTGTGCATTGTTGGAGGAGTGAGGGCAATGCGGCGACTCTGTCTTTGCATTAGAGAAGACCAACCTTCAATTCTTGCAACTTGCCCATCCTCCACATATCCTTCTGGTCAAACTTGGTAAACCCCGGCCTCGCCGGATTTGCCCTGGAGTACTCATCGTCCTGGCCTTCCGCCTCTTCAACACCATCGAGGCTGTATCTCATCTTATTGAATTCCATTGAAGAGCTTTGAGCTTCGGCTTTACCATTGGATTCTGCCATCTCGAAATCCCTCTCAATTCCAGTGAGAGACAAAGATCGGCTCCTGCAGACCAGAAGAGAATGTGACGGGACGAACGGGTGCCGGTGTTGGACGGGATGACAGGATGACAGAAAGACAGGGAAGAGAGTAGTACCGACAATCCGGGGCCCCTCAGCTATTGAAGGAATTTGCGCACTTCGCGAGCCTTTAGGTAGACCCTAGTGTGGTTGTCACGGCCAGGATGTCAAGCTCGCGCTTGCGGGTGGTTCTCCGCCACCCGTCTTAGCGACCCTGCAACGTCGTCCGACAAATCGATCCTTCAATATTTTACTTCCAAGACTTCAACAACTTGGGTGGTGAGGCTGATCGGTGAGTGGGATAAGGTCGTGGCTCGAAAGTGGCACGCGAATCTCGCGAGGGACTGAACCAGAATGTCTTTGAGGGCTACCATCCTCTCATCGACTGAATTGATAGTGTTAAACCAACTAACAACTAACGAGCGTCTCTTGTGCCCTATTCATAGCTTTGAATCAAACTTTCTCAGACGGTGGCCTGTCCGCAAATTCCTGGCAAGGATATCTTACCTGCATGGCGCAACCATTTAGGCTACGGAGGAATACTCGCCCCTGTGATTCCGTGCCCAACCCACATTCTCGGGACCACAGCACAGCTTCTTCACCTATGACAGCCAATTGCAGTGCGCTGAGCTGACAACCCACATGTGATTGTGAAAGTTTGCATCGGCAAATACGACGAACGAAATCAAGGGAAAGATAATAAAATTGATAATTCGTGAAACCATAACCACGTGAGGGATATCCAAACTTACTACAAGAATAACAAAGATACACCAACGGCGACGATGAAACTCCATCCGAGGGACCCTGCAGAGTGTCCCGTTTCGCGCGCGACCGACTCTGATCCCTTCTGCAGCGGCGGTGGTGGCACACTTCCGCTTTTGTTCTGCCCTCCGGCGGATACACTGCTGGCATCACCTGTGCTGCCTTGCACACAACTCGTGTTTCTCCACATCCGATCCACAACACCCTTCCAAACCTCGGTAACATCGTTAATCATCGGCGCTGTGAACCACATCCTGCAGTCTGCAGCCTCATAAATGAATTCGAGTGGGGTTTGCGATGCATCATCTTTGCGCAAGTTGTCTCGCAAGTTGATACCGCCAGCTGCACGATCTCCTGAGTAGGCGGAACGTCTGAAAAGCTGTGTCGCAAACGCTGTTTTGCCAAGCTCTGTCTTATTCCATGCAGCTTGTTGCTCGGGACTGCCAAGACTGCCTTGAAGTCAGCTCAAAGTTGAATACATGCAGGTCGAAATCGACAAGGCTAGGGTATCCCTCACAAGAAGATAATTTGAGACCGAACTTGTATATCGTCCCATTGAAAGTTCTGGGCGCCCTTGGTACCTCCGATACCTTGCATCGGGCCGAATTTGGGCTGTCCCCCAACTGCGATGGTTCGCACGCCCCCTTGATTCTTCAATAACTCGGAGACGATGGTGCAGGTTGAGGAGCACATGCCATCATGCAACTGAGGAAGTTTAGGATCAATGCAAAACCTCGTTTGATTGAAATACTTACCATGACAATATTTTCGCCTTTGAAAGGCTGGGGTGTATTCGTCTCGTTCGTATTATTCAGGAATCCGATGACCGAAAAACCGGGATACGTATAGCTCGGCTCGTCACTGAAATTATACCGAATGGTGTTTGTGAACGAGTCTCCATTATGTTGCGCAGGTCCAAACATCTGCGCCCACGAGTCGATCTTCTGGTGGTTAATATCCAGCTGATGTTGATAGTTAAATCCGGCTGTGAACAGGACAATGTCGCTTGGTGTCGTGCCGTTGAAGTTGTCAGCGAAGGCGGTTGCATTGCCTTGGACATAGGTTGTCCCAGCGTCGAAGTCGCTTGTCATTTGACCCGTGATGTTCATAGCTGCATTGGCGCGATACCGAGTAGCGCCAAACGGTTCTTGCTCGCGCTGGGGGAAGACCTGTTTGAAGGAATCATAACCGAGGATAGCATTCCCACCACCATTCCCACGGAGATCGAAAATAAGTTTCGTCTTCTTGGCTTGAACGGACATCCTGATAAAGTCGCGCATGATGTTTTGGAAGAGTTGCACATCGGGTGATTCATAGCTGGGGATGCTGAGAACTGCCACATCCTAAAGCAGTGTTAGAAAATGATACGTAATGTCTCCTTGCATGCATACTTCATAGCCAGTGTTATTGATCCAGTAACCTCCTAAAGAAAGGTTAGGGTGAATAATGATTGCCTTGGGATAGCCAGTATGAGATGGCATTGCCGTTGAAGTACTCGATGCGGTGGATGTGGCAGTGCTCGTTGTGGTAGGCTGTGGTCCTGTGCAGAACTTGCTGAAGAACTTCTCCCCGCTATCGACCCCAGTAAAATTGGCAAAAACGACAGCAACGTTCATTACGGAGCGAGTGGTTCCGTTTGCAAAAGACATGGTCGTGTTAGGTCCCGTATATCTTCCAGATCGGAAGGACCCCAGGAAAGTCGACCCTGAAGCGATGAGAGGTTGGCTTGGGAATAGAGCGTTCCATCGAGTATCGGCATCATGGAAATCAGCTTGTGGAGCAACAGTTTTAAGGTATTCTTCCACTCCTTGACCATTGATCGTCCTAACAGGAGATGGCTTGAACGAGCTATCATTCTGGGCTAGCTGAAAGTCGCGATATGCAAAGATTTCTGGAAGAGCAACGCCATCAGAAGACACAGAGACAAGTTCAGTTCCGGCTAGTCGTTGGAACTGCATTGCGCCAGCAAGAATGTCTGGTTGCCATGCCAAGTGGTTGTCGTATGCACGATTGAAGAGCGTCATGAGATCTAACTGGAAGTCGTACTCATTCCTGTATCCGCCAGATGAGAGTTGTTTCTGCATGCTTTCCATTTCCCCAATCACATCCACCGGGTCCTCCGTGTACTCCGGGGGTGGGTTTTTGAGGTAGGCCAAATTCGACTGCCATTGTAGATAGAGCTTGAGGTCGTCAATTAATTTTATATTTCCGTCCTTGTCGAGGGGAACGGACTGAAGGCACATAAGCCCAAGTTCTGCCGGGACGACCTTTCGAGCTCCAGATGGCAATGCTGCAATGGCGCTACTGACAACAGCGCATGGCTCTGCAAGACCGGGTGTCGCTGGAGCGGTTGGGGCGGAGGATGGGGGAGGAGCCTGAGTCGAGTTGGAGGGGGTCGTGGTATTTTCCACTGCCGTGACATCAGGGACTATTGCGACTTGATTGATGTCGGTATCTGGAAACCTCGGCACTCCATACATGTACGGATATATTCGCGCCGATGCCAGGCCGAAAGAAGTGCTCAGGAGTACAGGGAGAAGCATGTCTGCGAAATGGCCCGTGAACCGGTGCAATTGTCCAGTGTCAATACGACGATCAGTGAATCCTAGCTCGTCTGTCTCGATGAGCTCGTCGGTGAATAGCAGATTTCCGTATTAGGACATTAAGAGGGATGAGCGAGCCAGCGCCTTTACGTGAAGGTATTCCAAGCGAAATAGAGATGCTATGACAACAACCATGGATCGCTACAATGATGACACAGAAGCGAAGGAACGACACAAGAAGTACCGGAGCAAAGAAATGGCAGAATCATAGAGGCAACTGCCCAGGTACCTCTGTGACTTTGAGTCGCGACTCCAAAGACACCGGTGGACAGGAAGGCTATTTGGAGGGACGAGAACTGGGGAGTATCAATCTAGGTATTCACGATTAGCCTGTAGCAAGAGCGTCGCATTGTCAATGCGCAAAATGCCGGAGGGATGCTAAAACGCAAGATCTGAGGATGCGAAACCGAGTGCGTGTCCACACTTCGGCGCCTCGACGAGCCTATCTACAGCATTGACTGTGAAACAAATATGCCACGCAGCAGAGCGGAGAAACTGATAAGGCCAAAGGCATGCGCCTCCGGAAAGAGTTCGCCCGCAGGATGGAGCCATGATTATAAGAACTGTAAAGGATGGTGAAGTGTGAGGTGTAGTTGAGGGAAGGTCGCCAAACGGACGCGAAACAGGTGGCTTTCTTGGTTGACTAAGCCACTAACCCGTTCAGGCTGCAACCAATGAAGGGCCGTTAGTTGCCAACCGGAAACGTTAGAACCAGCTTCAACAACAAACCTGGGGGAGAGGAAACCATAGATTTGGCTCTTTCAAACTTACTCAGCCTCCCCTCGGCTTCAATGAAAATTCCACAGGCCTCAAGCAGTAAGTGTGGAGGTTTCTCCAGTTTACAAGACTGAAGCACAACAGATCTTAGACTCTTGTCCACGGTAGCATGTCTTTCTCTCCAGAATGTCCTTTTCTCCTCGCTTATATGAGCGTTCATTTTGTCGCCATTCGGATGGGCATGGTTCGATCAACACCATTTGGAAAGACATTGGAGATTGCCATGGATTGGCACCGATGATTGGTTCGAATCGAATGTAATACAGCTGGGAAGGATATCTAAATATCCGAGTGTCAGAAACCCCGTTGAAGTCCCTGGTTGAGGCAATTGGAATAAATAAGAAATAAACCACATGCTGAGAAGGGGCCGAAGTGAAACGGTTCGATAAGAACCCCGAAACAACAGCTCGTGGCATGAGTTGAGAGCCAATAGTCGACAAGGAACACTGGATCGGTAAAGGTTGTGCGCTGACCCTGGATTGTGTGGAACGGTTAGAGCGAAATCCAAATGAATGGGAGAATTGCGCGTTAACACCTATCTAGACAGAAGGCTAATTTTGAAAAGTGTACCTCCGTAGCTGAGGTATGCAATTGCTCTCAGGAAGAGTATGGCTCGTCCTCCATAGAGATGCTTAGGTCATCCTAAGAGGAGAATCCTCAAGAAATTCGAGCGGAAAGCTTCCCACGGCGCCCATAGGTCATGAATAGTCCTCCCTCTCAACTTCCAGATTTTCTTTGTGACCCCAAACTGGGCTCGACCGAGGAATGCCTTCATATATTCGCTCGAACGCACTTAAAACGTCGGACGAAAGCTTCTTTCCCTTGCCTCAGCAAGCGTGGCTCGAATGGGGACATTCTTTGTCGGTACATCGTCGGTACACTCACCAAGGAGGCACAAGCCAGCCAATACATCAGATTCATAGATTCTTCGAAGAGTAGAAACGAGTTCATGCGGAGGAGCTGAAGATAAAGCCGGATCGTGTAGGGTTCCCAATCGAGAATCAATCACTCCCGCTCCGGCATGTCATCGAACGTCAACTTCGACTTCAGAGACTCGCACCTATTCTGACGTCACGACTTATAACCACAGCAGGTCTATGTTGGGTCCAAGCGTGATTGAATACGCGTCGATTGAGAACTGATGAACCTGCCAAGGCTACCCGTGGTACCCATGTGCAACAACCCTGAAGATCAAGGGTTGAGCGTACTTAACAAACTTTAGCAAGTAAACGCGAGGATTCCGGTGGGCATACATTGTACGGTAACGCTATAGCGTGAACGCGGATTGCAGATAGCTTCTAGGTAAAAGGAGCATGGGAAGACCAAGAGCGACAGCTCTGCAAGTTGGATTCTGGAAGCGGATAGGGACTAAGTAACTTTATTTATTTCTTCCTCGCGAGATCTTGTTATTTTGCTTTAACTCTAGCTCAGTCGTACACCTTGTCCGAGCATCACCGTCATGTCTGAACTGGTTGTTGGTGCAGCGGTAGTGTATTGTATCGATGACGAGCCTCTAGGACAGCCATGATGCGTAGAGAGGTACAGGCACTAGTAGATAATGGCTTGGCCTATTTACAGTGCCTGAGACGATGAAGTGATAGACACCGACTCAAACACCAATCTTTAAATTTTCCTGTGAGACCGTAATGTTTGCCTCCAGTGAAGTATGGTTGTATGTCTTATGCAGGCACCGGCGCTGTGTCTGTGTGGCTGAGACTTTTAATTGCAAGACACTGACTCAGAAACGAGCGTTAACAGTTCACAAACCGGAGTATCTCGGGTCTTAGATTGCCGACAAGAGGTAGCTCTTGGTGAGAGTAAATAAATACATTGTGGAAGAGCTCAAATAGAGGAACGATATAGGAGGTTAGTTATTCGTGCACAAAAGCCCAAATGGCTTGCAACAGCACAAGCTTCAATTTCTCGTAGGAATTACTGCTCTCCCACAGAACCTGTTACTTTGGAATAAAATGCTCGGATGCGATTGTGGGTGGGTGTCGCATTGATATTCAGACATTGAACGCAAACTGTGAAGAGGCGAGAGGCATCCAGCGAGAAAGGAAGTTGGGAGTTAGCTAGGTTGCTGTTTAGTCTTCTGTCGTCGTTACCCAAGTGTGAACGAAGCGTACGGAGGCGTTGAATAATTCAAGAAGCTTTTTATTCCAGCATATACGAGGTACCGAACTGAGGCGCGCGCTTCGAGAATCCCAGTAGTGTCTGTGCAGCTGTTCGCTCTGGCAGGGCTTCCTCCGAGTTCTTAATCTCGTGATATTCAATAAACTGCAATCCGCCGTCGTGGTACCAGAAGGCGCCGCTCCCCGTTCGAATAAACGCACCGACTAATCAAACAGAACATCCCAGGGTAGAGTTTGCGCTTGCTCTGATCCGTTCGGCCAAGATGAGTGACCCATCTCGGCGTATATATCAACGAGCAAACACCGTGCCTGGCTCCCTTCCGGGTAGATGGTCTGAATGAAGGAAGCCTCAGGAACCCCGCTGAAATCGGGGAAACACTCCCTCCCTCGATCCTGAGACAAGTGCATCTACTCTAGTATTCTTCGCTTTCAGGTCCTATAGTCTTTCGGCTACAATTTAAAGCTTGCATAGTTCATCGGTCTCCGAGTATTCGTCGGGTACATTAGATTTCGACGGTATCCGATCGTTGTAGAGGATGGTAATATACAGTCCGAAGGTGCCAGGGTTGCCATCTGGCAAGCTAATGATTCGATCAAACATCATGTCTGAACTGGTTGTTGGTGCAGCGGAAGTGTGTTGTATTGATGACGAGCCTCTAGTGCAGCCATGATACATGGAGAGGTACAGATGCTAGTAGATGGTGACTTGGCCTGGTTACACTATCCATTTACCATTCAATACCTGGAAGAATTCAGATCGAAATGATACTAATGCTTCATGGATGATAAAGGTTCGTTGGGCTGGGGTGTTTCCCACACAAACTTGGATGAAAGTACCATCGATTCTTCGAGGATGAACATCAAAGCCTTTGCACATGCCAAGAGTGGAAGCTAGACTATCCACGCTAATGATTGTTCGTTGGGTAGGCGGGGATCCAACCCCCTGAACAAGCTCATGTTGCCGGCGGAATGGCTTCAGATACCTGTCATTGTGATGACAAGCATGCCACGGGAACAACTTAGTGATCAAACTATGAGGACGTTCTCTTGTGTAATTTCAGGTCTCGGAGAAACAGTACATCTCAATGTCTCATATTTCCAATAAAGAGCAGTAGGTTGCAGGTGAGACGGTGTATTGCTGCGACGTGACGCGACTCGGCACGGCGTCGGCCAGCTAATTTCTTAGCGGTGAACAGCCTATGCCTAATCGGGAAGGACCCCCAGAATAGCATATTCAGGTTTGAGAAGGTGTGTTTACGATGTAAAAGGGAGCTTTCCCTTAGCAGCTCCTTGTATAGTTTCAATATTCACTTGAAGAAGTAGGCTCCCATTATATCGCGCTCAAGACGTTTAAGATCCGTACCTAGGCGGAGACCCTCTACCTACCGCCGCCTGCTTCTGAAGTACATCGCGCTTATCCCCCTATTGCTAACAGGAAAGAAAGGCTCAAACGCAGACGCCCGAATAAGTTAGAACGGCTTTTCAGACGTATAATCCTCCAACAAAACATCATCTTGCGTATATGCATCACAAAGTACTGCATCGCACGTGATGGCATGTTTCACCTAATTGCCATTGTTCGCTAAATTTTCATCTTGGGGCTCTCTCTCGCTCCTAAGACCTTACGCCGTAGCCCAATCTACCTAGCTTTGGCTCTCACTACCGAATTAACGCCCCCTCTATCCTCGACCTACCTTTGTGACAAAACCATGCTATACCATTGTCCAAATATTCAGCCATGGTGCTGAGCCCCTTCAGGAAGCCGAACCCTACTATATGTCATTAATAAAATCTCCTTCGGGCCTCCCAAACCAAAACCCCATCCCATCCTTCACCACAACCTCATCTTCACTCTACCTATACCGCCCCTCCATCAAATCCTTCATATAACTATACGGACAATCCCTTGCCCCGCCATTAACAGCAACAAATCCCTGATGACCAACTGATACAGATTATTCTCCACCCCCCACTCCCTCCTCATATTATCCCCCCCTCACCTCACATGCAAAAATTCCATCTGGCGTCCCATCCCCCTTTTCAAAACCTGACATTCTGGGGAAACGAATATCGCCTCTTCCATCAATCTCAAGGTCCCAGCTAACCCCGCAAGCGCGATACTAACCGTGTACATCAAGTTACAAAATACGTTTGCCCGATTCGTAATATCTTAGGGGTTTTTGATAGGGGAGGTGTAGTCTGTAGTACGCAGAAGGACTTCTGCGCCTTTGTATACGGCTTCCTGCGCCATTTCGGGGAACACGACATCGTGGGAGATATTCACGCTCATTTTGACGCCTCCGGGCATGGTGCATACGGAGATCCCGCCGTTTCCGGGGTTCCATGGTTCGATAGAGATCCAGGGTTGCATTTTTCGGTAGCAGTATACAACCTCACCCTTGTTGTTCATAATTACGCCTGAAATTCCGGGGATTTCCGAGATAATATCTTTCTATTATGCCGAGGACGCTCTCGATGGATTGCTCTTTGTAGACGGCTTTTATAACGGATTTCAGGGCTGTCGAGAGTGTACAGGATGCTTGGATCCATGGACAGAGAGGGACTGTGAATCATGTATTCAGGGGAAAGGATTGGGTCGGTTGCCGGGTAGGGGCGTTCAGTTCGGCGGACAAGATCGCAGACATGTTCTGTTGACTCTGCAAGGGGTTCAGAGTTTGTGATAGAGAAGAGCTGGGATTGGATGTCTGTGATGACGATCCGGCTGTCTTGTTGAGGCCTCCGAGACCGGACATTCTTGATAGCACTGTTGGAGTGGGAGATAATAAAACTAGAAGTGTAAATTTTCTGGGAGGATATGACCATAAGCGCTCAGGATCTTGTGCTGAATAATGTTTAAAACATCCCGATCACTGATGTCATCGTGAACATAGCGTTAAGACAAGAGCACCAATAATACTACCGAAACCACTCTACACACAGCTTACTACTTTTGCACGCGCACCTACCATGCCGAGATGTTGTACCGTACCCTTAGGAATAATATAGGATGCTAAGCGTTAACCTCTTATCATGAATCACCCGCACCAACTCCACTTCCAAAAATCAAATCAGTCCTTGTCCTCCTCTCCCAAACTACTACCCCGTCGGTCCTTTTCTTGAAGTAGAGGATTCGGTGTTGAGGAATGAATTCATCATCTGTCTGCTCAGTCTTCCATTTCTCAAGAGTCGTCTCTTTAGCACCGAGGAATCGGTCCTCATATCCAACGATGTAGTCGTTCGGATCTAGGTTCGGATCCCAGCGTAATCGATTCAAAACGTCGGACGCTGGTCGCAGCTTGCTTGAAGAGATAGGCTTGGATGAATGCGATGGAGCCGGTCGGATCGGAAGCTTTTTGGTGGGTGCATCCTCTTCAAGCTCATCAAGGGCATCACCATCTTCCTCGTCGTCAGAGTCTTCTTCGATATCCGCAACATAGTCTCCCCATTCTCGATCATCCAAGTGAAAGTTCTTCACATCAGTTTGTCGGACGAGGCTAACGCCAATCCAACTGGAACTTGGGTCGTAGTATTTATCGTCAGATTGCAATTTGTTTTGGAAATTCTCGAGGGACTTCTCCAGAGCAAGCTTTGCTGTCTGCCGATCTTCTTTGCTGGCGTTCCACTCGATACCTTCCCCTTTAGAAAGGCCGATGAGGTAGCACCCTTGATAATCGGTCCCAGCATCTATAGCGTTGCTGTTCGTAAATCTCGCAGGCCATATTCGGACTTCAAAGCCAGGAAGCACTTTAGCAATATCTGCGATGCTTAGAATGTGCCTAAGGAAACCAAGTAGGAGGAGAAAATCCAACTCACCGACAACGAGAAGCAAGCACCGAGACTCAACCCAACCCACAAGTCCCTTCCCTTTCCCTAACGTCCGTCCCCAGTATTGGATTTCAATCTTTGCATAGCTGTCGTAGGATTTTAGAAACTCTCCTACCCCTGCAAGACGTTCGTCGAGAGCACCTGCAATCGAATCCTTCCTGAAAAACTGTTCCCAAGTCATACCATCTTCAGCTAGGCGACGACTGGCCATCCCAAACTCCCTAATAAGAGTGTTCACTCCAGGAATGGACGACGTATGTGCTACATTGGCGTTAGGGGAATTGAAACCCAAGACAACCATCGGCTCTCTGACGCTCCTCTGGTATCTTGGCTTCCTCTTGTGAAAGAACGGATCAAACACCATATCATTCTTCCAATCAAACATGGCATAGTGATGGAAGAACGTTGAAACAAGATCTGCAGAAGTAACAGATCCAAGATCGTGGACCATTCGCTTGCAAAGGTAAGAAAGCATAAGTGTTAGATGGATGCCACCTAAATAGCCAAATCTTGAAGAGTAGACCCCGCGTTGAATGGCCCACAGCTTTATGCAGCGATATGCCAAGCGGAAGGTGGTCATAGAAGGAAGTGTCCGCTGGATGTATGTGATGTCTCGGTAGGGCTTCAATTTCCGAAGTGAGAGCATAGACAGATTGAAGATAGGGTCAGATTGATGAAGGTTAGGTAGTTCCGTCCATCTACAACAACCGTTAGTATTTCGAGGGCGTATTGGTAAGAAAACGTCTAACCTCTCCACGATTCTCGCCGCTGGGCAGTATTGCAAATCCATGCTGACACCGTTGACAGACAGCTCATACATGGTTCCAGTGTGAGCTTCGACGCGACGCATTAGTCTTACACCTTGGACTTCTGCCCTATGAATGCGTTGCCTAGCCAGCTTAAAGAAGGTCTTGGAACTTATGGATCCAATGCAAAGACAGTCGATATCGGATGCAAAAGTCCAGACCCCAAGAGCGTATGAGCCAACTGGGACAATGACCATAGGAATGTCGGACATGCTTGTATTGTCGTCGTCTGAGGAACCTAGCAGGACTGTTTTAATGAGTACAAAAGCCTCTCTTCGACATTGAATTTCGTCTTCGGTAGGAAACATTTGGTGGTTTAATAGTGCTGATGTTAGCGCCGAACCGTCCGAGAGCGCTCCTACTACATGCTGGATGTGAATAGGGTAATTTTTGAGGATGTTAAGATCGTCGACACCCTTTTCCGTCGAGTCGGCGTTCACCTTCATAGAACATCGAATTCCCCAGTGATCGCTCGGAACCCAGTGACTACCTCCCTGGGTGACTGGGAAACCAAACTGGTTGAATTTGTTGATTCGGAGAAGTCCTTGGGGGCGAACAAGAATCCTGTCGTATCGCTGAGGACGATTTACTGAAGTACCAGAAGTAGCTGCAGCAAGTTCATTTTCCCTCGGATTGAAAGTGGCGCCATCTTCTCCCTCAAATAAATCATCCAATTCACCCAAATAACCAAGATCGGCTGCTTCGACCCGGGCTACGGCCCAAGCATCAATCAAACCAGCTTCGTTCATCGAAGTCTCCATCGAAGATAGTGTCTTGGCAGTCTGCGTCGAGATGGACTTGCTTTTCAAGGCAGTATCAATCGAGTATGTCGAAGTCGTGATATTGAAGTCACCCGCAATCACCCAGGGGTTTGACGCATGATTTCGAGAAAGATAGTTCTTCAAGTTCTGAAGCTGAACCTTCTTTGCGGCAACAGCTCCATCAGTCAAGCCGCAAGTCAGATGCACACCCGCGACGATTAAGGGTAGTGTCTCGGATGAGCCCTGCAGAGCGATCGAGCTGAATTGTGCTACGACTGCGCCTTTGTGCCTTCGGTGGAAAGGGACGAAGACCCAACTGAAGGACCACTTGCTAAGGATGACAATGTTTCGCAGGCTCGGTAAGGGGCCAATGTCTGCTTGAGCAGGGGGGCCGTGAGATGTGAAGGGGAATCGATGTTGGATCTCCTCATCATGAAGCAAGAAAGAGAGAAAATCGTCAGAAACTTCTTGCAGGACTAGAATGTCTGCCAAGGCCGACGTAGAAAGGAGAGTTTTTAATAGCAGCGGATCTCTATCTCGAGCGGGTGGATACTCGGAATCGATCAATACGTTGTAGCTTGAAATCGTTAAGGTTCCCGGTAGTGCTTCGTTGTCTAATATCGACGAACACGGTTGCCATTTTTCCAGTTCCGATTCAAAATAGTAGGTAGTCCCAGGAAGGGGTTGACGGCTGCATGAAGGTGCCGGCGTGGTTTGATCGGAATCGTCTTCCTCATTCTCTTCTTCTGACCCTGTAGCAGACTCCTCTTGTGGGCTTGGCTGAAGCCAGAATTCGGGAAAGGGTGAAGGGGTCGGTGATTCATCTCCGGAAATATCAATTATGCCCCATAGCCTCATAGAATTGAAAGATCTGTCCTTGCTAGAGGAACGTTCGCGTATCAGAATCGCGAGGTGTTGAATCGGGAACTCCAGAGAAGGGAGTAGCCTAGCTTTGCTGAGCAGGAATTCCCGGGACGAATCAGAGAGGTCCTCAGATTGGCCGATAGTAAGGTGGAAATTACAAGGGGTTGGGGTATGCCCCAGAGACTCCAAGGCATTCGATCGAAGAAAGGCCATAGAGCTAGCTTCAATTTCATCAGGCTCACACAAAAAGACTGTGTGATTAGAACGATGAGTGAAGTGTCCAGACTTATTCAGGAGGACGGAGGGTGTCCTGGCGAGCGGGTCCTCGAGCGGGATCCTCAGCCTCGATTGGATTTGGGCTTTCGCTCTAGGGAGGTACTCTGGTGCAACGAAGGGATATATAAGGTTGACGTGTGGGGGCCATTTCCCATACCCCTTGTCGTATAATGATCGCAAAAGGTCAACGTCTTGGCACTGCTCTATTGGTGGAATGATTCCGAGTGCTGTTTCGTATGAGTTGGTAGCTATAGGACCTGAATATGAGGTCTCTTCAGTGGCCGCCATGAGCTTCAGCAATTAATTCCGGCTTCCTGGTGTAGAGAGTAGAGGAAAGATATTTCTCAAAAAGAAGTATGAGGCAATCACAAAGAGAAGTTGGAATCAACTAAGTAGATAAAAGTTCAAAATCGGGATGTAACTGCACGGAAGGTTTTGGCATTCACCACCACCTTATATTTCAACCTCAAACTTACGAAACGGGTCTGAGCCTCAGACCACTGCACAGAAAGTCAGGCTTGCCCCAATAGAGGATGCGAAAATGACTCCCTCGTTAATGTGAGCCTCTATCAGGAGGCTGGTGGAGAAAATGAGTCACGACTGAAAGCTGAAGCGCTCTGCGCCACGATGAGCCGAATTAGAGAGTCATCGGGCGACGTTGGAGCGAGAGCTTGGTGGTGATGAAGAGCAACTGACGACGATGTAGAATATGGCTGGTATCGCGATGGCCATTTCACGATGCCCAGCTGCCGAGGAAGGTTGTAGGAGTCACTGAGTCGAATGCCCAGGAGCGCGGTTGGAGATCGGAGCAGGGACCTTGTAAGGGTCTGAGCGTTGGCTGGTGAGGGGCACGCCAAGGGTGATTGCTGACCTCCTCCCATCCGTCGTCTTTCAGCAAACGACCCATTTGAGCCCTCCACACTGCGTGTTATTAGTACGAGAGCAATTGATCCAATTCTTCATCTCAATACATCCCTCTAGCATGCCCTCCCTACTCTCTCTTCCCCGTGAACTCCGCGACCAGATCATCGATCACGTTATGTTCTCTCTCCTTGATGCACCACCTGCTCCCCCAAAGGGCTCATCTCCTGAAAACTTTCAGCGCAAGATATTTGACAAGGAACCCACCTACCTATACCCTAAGGATCTGATCTACTACCCGTCTTCATCCGCTGCCTACGAGCCTACCTCTAAGGGCCTTCTTCAAACATGTCACCAACTTCGCGCCGAAACCTTGGACCGTCGCGCAAAGTTGGTGATATCATCTGCAGTGCTAGATGTTATGCTCGTCGAGGAGAAGTCGCTATGGCCGACATGGCTTTCTATCCCTCCCAAGATGCCCCCAATCATTGAGCGCCTTGAAATTCGGATTAGAATTTGCGGATCTCCACGAATCAAAGAGTCATTACAGAGTCGTGTCAGATTTGGAGGCTGTATTAGTTCGCCTATTCCATATGGACTCTTCGGCATCGTTGATCGGTTTCTGGCCGTAGGCACCACGGGAGAATGCCCTCCCTGGTTCTGGAGAAAGTACGAGACCAGCGTCCCCGCATATCGACCCCAGTATTGCATCAAATCCCTTCACATCGTTGTGGATACGAACGTCGCTCTTTCAGAAAACGAGCAGCTTTCCCCTGAGAACATTCCGAGCAGGCAGACTCCTCACGTCGATCCCAAGACGAACAAACTGCTTGTTGTCAGTCCAATGGCGCTGGGCATATACCTAGCTGACCGAGTAGAGATTTTGCTTGGGCCCACAGGATTTGGGTATAACAAGCTTGCAGCACTGCTCGGTGCTAGGATTGGGGAGGTTACAGTTAGTGTTGGAAAAACCTTAGTTGGATCTTTGAACTGGCCTCGGCATCTAGAGCCACATGTAGAAGATGAGGACTGGATGAGACTGTACAAAATTGCCGTTTTGAATGATAGACACTATTTTGGGCTAGGTTAATACTTCTAAGTTTGCTCCTTTTCTGGTTCCACTCGACAGACCGCGCTGCTGCTGTCCACCCCTACGCCTCGCTTTGTGGTGGACGCCCATGGAAGAGAAACGATACGAGTGGTGTGAGTGAACGCATTGAGTATGGTGAAAATCGGTGATCAAGAATAGAGAAGAGTCTCCAATCACAAACATGAAAGGGCACAGCGGGAAGCAAAATCACATGATTCCAAACTTTACCGTCAAAGTGTTGGGGAAGTGCAAAGCTATAGAATCCGAGCCCTCGCTTGAACCTTTCACCTTGCCTTACGCACGCAATCCATTCTCGGTATCGAAATGCAACATCGTGAGGTGGCCTGAAAGCTTCTATAGTGTGGAGTCCATCCGCTAACTCTAAATAGGGTAACGATGTCGCCCGATCTGTCCGCATTCCTGAATCCCGATCTCTGCGCCAATACAGCGCGGAAGATTGGCAACCAGCTAGCACTGTGTCAAAATGTGGCTACCAATACGTGTGCCAAGTGCAAACTTGTTCAAGTTAGTTCCTCTCTGCTTACCTTTGTATCCGGCTTGGCTAACGTGCCACCCCCAGTATTGCTCGAAAGGGTGTCAGACTGCAGACTGGAAGATTCACCAGAAGACCTGCAAATCCCCTTTGATGAAGGAGCAGTACGAACCACGCTGGGTTCAAGAGGGTCGACTTCCACTGTTCATGCGGACGGGTCCAGACCTTGTCTCATTTGGAGCGAACAAATACCTCTGGGGGAATGTCCCAGCGCTGGATATTCTCAACATCAAGGACAATGAAGGTATCCGGGCCGTGGATCAGGATTTCACTCTCCTGTTTGCCGCATCCGGGGATATTCGAAACTTGGTCAAGACTATTGTAGGGCTTCCAGAGAACTACAGGGCGAAGTGCGAGGTCATCTGCAATGATTGGGATTTCCCTATCGTTGCGCGCAACGCCATTATGCTTTTAGCCGCCTTACGCTTCGAGCCGGAGACAGCAGTACCGATTATGATTCATATCTGGTATTCAGCGCTCCTTCCTGCCAGGATAGCTCAGGCCGTCGAAGATTGCTTGCTGCCGTACATCGATGACGTCTGCACCAAAGTTAAAGACAAGGATGCATCCTCCCTTCTTGGAAAGACATTCAAGATTAGAGGTCGCTCACTGCGCTTGGTGCTCAAAAAAGGAGAATGGTTCAGACTGTGTGGATTTTTCAAAATTCCAGCAGGCCTCAGAGCGATAGATGCTCAGAGTGTCCGCCAGCGCACTATGATGGCTCCTGAACGGGTGGACTACGTCGATCGAGCGCTATACCGGCAGTCTCCGGCCATACGCATGGGGATGTACAGGTTCCGCGTTGATGGAGTTCTCTTGCCGTTTGGGGCGTCCAGAAAAGATTTCGACACACCTAATCCGTAAATTTTTCCTGTCCTTGTCACGAGCCGTTGCTAACTACGAAAAGTACATTCTACCAAGATCAGAATATTTGGCCAATGAAGGACAGCGCTGATCCACTCTCAGGATGGAACTATTGTGAATACATCAAGCATGCTCCAATTGCCAGGGACGACGTGTATGGAAGCTTGTTCTTCTTTCTCCGTGACCTCCTTCTGCAATTCTGTAGGCGTCTGCAATCTCGCGACATGAGAATTCAGTTGCTCAACATGGACGCGCAAGGACTACCTATCTATCTCAAAGAGGCAGGGCAGGGTAAGGTCTTATTCGATCGGATTGAGGTAAGACAGCTACGTCATTTTCATTACAATTTTAGTCTGACCATGGCTTAGCTGGCCAACATCTGCGATCGTGGTTACATAGGTCCAGAGAATACCCTCTTGACTTTCTCCCCGTTACTTAAGCCCAAGAATCAAAATCCAAAGGCTACTATGCTAATGCTGTTCCTAAACGCCGTCCAGGAAGGGGAGCGACTTAGTGGGGGTCCCAGTTCTGTCGATTTCCCCAGCATCCTGGGAAAGTTGAAGAAGTATATACGGATCGATGAATTCAAACTCTTGCCTATTTTTGGACCTGGGAGTGGAAATCCGGAACTTGTTCGCATCACATCATGCTTCAGCATGTTTGCTGACTTCGACAAATACTTCAGGAGGTTTTTGAGGGATGTTCGAATGGACCAGCTAGCGAAGAAGTTCGGAATGAGGATCAAGAACCAGCATTCTATCATCGAACCTTGGCCGTTTCGTGTCACAAACAACACCACAAAGCATGAATTTGAGATCCTTTGTGCTGCGAATACCATTGGCCACGAACGTTATGTAGAGTGGGAGAAGCTGGGCTAAGGAGTCAATGAGTGCGCCTCGGTACGTAGATGCTTGCAGCCTGATGTATCGGAGGACGAAGGTTTGCTATTGGTAGTGGTTTCTCTATAGTGGGCTAACAATAAGCTCTCGGCTAACGTATCAATACGTCCGCCACCCATAGAAAATCCCAATTTCATAAAAATGGTTAAGCAATCCTAAAGGCCCTATGGCCCTGAGTATCTGCGGCTATCATTCTTCCTCCATATCCTTCTAATTCCCTTCTATTTCAAACACACTTCCCCTACCTAGTCTTTGCCAAACTCCCCGCCATCTCTAAAATCCTCCCTAGCAGCTTCGGCTACCCCTGAACAAGCGCTTCCGCCGCCATCGCTGCCAATCTTCCCCGGACACTCCACCCAGGCCGACCAAACTCCATCGTAATCAGCTGCATATTCACATCGAACATCGCGAACCTTCCCATTCTTCACCAAATCTTCACACATCAATCCGAATGAGTGCCTTACACCCTAGCAATTCGTCCACTTCGTAGCACTCAGCCGTGATATCTCTGGATATGCCGTCTTTAAGTACTTCGTTTGCTATGAGAAAGTGAAAATTCTGCGTTACAGCTACCATTCCGTTGTAGGACCAGACTCTATCTCCATGGTTTAATCTGATTACGGGAGGAAGGGAATGGTACTTCGGCTCTTCGGATGAGAGTGGGAGACTATCGTATCTTCAACTGGAACTCGAGCGTTACGGAACTCCTCTTTTTGCAACGCTTGTAAACGGAAGTCAAGAATCTGTCTGAGCGTTTGTTGAAGTCATACAACCCAACTGTCTCCAAAAGAAGGGCTAAAGGAATGATGCAACCTGTAATGTCAGAGCACAAACCAGCCAAGGTATTCAATATCGATGCAAGCCCATCCAGCCTAATGATGGTCGTCTCATATTTAGCAGATTATGAAAATGGGGTACTATTTGCTCTTGCGCTTAGCACTGGTAGATACCGCGTGGACGTTGAGGATCAGGAAAGTGAGCTCATGTCGCTATTATAGGCAATTTTCTGCAGAAACGGCGCCTTGGTAGAGCTCATACTGAAGACAGCCAACGTCAGCATCAATAATAAAGACTACGAACTCGGGAAGTGGTCGCTATCATGGGCAATTCAATGTGGGGGTGATAATATTGTTAAAGCTGCTTCTTGACACGGGCAAGGTAGACGTCAACTCAAAAGACTCCAAGTACAAGCGAACACCGCTTCTTAGGTCGCCTGATCTAGACATGGGATCATGGCCAAGGAGCTCCTTGAAGCGAAAAATATTGACGTAAACCCACGAGATCATAATGGGCGGACCCCCGCTTTCATGGGCCGCGGATTACGGGCACGAGAGTGTCGTGAAGCTTTTGCATGCAACAGGTAATGTCAATGTCAATGCCAATTACAAAGATCAAATTGGACGGAAGTCACTTCCATGGACAATTTAGTCGGGAAATAAAACTGTTGCAACGTTCCAACGGTTGTATGGAGCACAATAGAATCCTCCAACGCTATTCACGAGGGCGATAATGGAACCCTATTTCCCCAAGCCCAGCTCGGCTTTGCAACATCTTCATTGGGATCTGCCGGGTCGAATCCTGTCATAAATCCCAACTTGAGAAGGGAGCGAAGAGGAAACAAAATATAGCATGGCATCAATTCAACAAGGCGCTTTTAGATTGCATAGTGGGATTTTCGGGCATCTATAGATGATGATAAGGGCACCATCTGGCATCGATGCACTCTCATCGAAGACACGATATGAGATAAAACATCTCGGGCTAGTGGTTTTGCTGACATATTTCCTAGTTTCGACAGTGGCAAGCTAGAGGCAATATGGGTAGACAATTGAGTATCTAGAGACACGAGTGACGGTGAGGATGTTGGACCATCGACTACGGCGTTGAGAGTTGGGTTTGCGAGCGCCGAAGAAGCGGTACTGTCCTCTCTCGCATCGACTGATGCCCCGGATCCTCTTGTTGTGCGCTAAGTGCTTGCGAGGATAGCTAGCTGATTATATCTGAATCAACATGACTACCACCACCCTCCACAATGACGCCACTGCTATAGCACTCCAATTTCAGTGTTCCTGCATTTCACATCACCCAGTTAAGCCAACAAAATATCCTTCTTTACAATGCGACAGGAATCCCACGCCTCCCGACACACCTGTCCAATACCAACCCGACGAGCGTAGCCACTTTTCCATTCTACGAGAAGCACATTCAATGTACACCAGGCTTCGTCGGAAAAGTCCCCGTGAAATAATCGTTCATTAATCGCCATATATTCCATATTCAGCGTTGTTATAATAGGCCCATGAGTCTCTAGAGACGACGTTCGAGAAAAAGTAGAGAGAAGAATGAGGTCTACCCCTGCTAGTGAGTCTATGATGCCATACGCGATCCCGCAACGCCGGGACTGTGCGTCAAATAGGAAAGACACTTCTGTCGTGACTTGGCAGTGATTTGCTTCGTTCACTAACTGTGTAGAATATCTTGCTATCCGAAAGGAGTCTCCTGAAATCGTCTGAGCACGGAATACAAGAGCGTTTATTTCCCCTGCAGCTAGTGGTCGATGAGATACACAATCAAGGTTGGCGGACCCGTTTTCACTTCCCATATTCCAACCAGAAGCAAAGCTGTGGCAACCGGTCTGGTCCAAAACATGAAAAGCGGCAACGCACGACCTGAATGCTTTGCATAAGGGTATCTGTGGAGGGACTTGGACTAAGTCACCGTAATGCACTGCACCAACCCAACCGGCCCAGGACCCACTCGGGAACAATGTCTTGCCGCCAAATTCCCTGCGGATGACGTGCTGCTTCGGCGTCCACAACAGTGCGAGGTCTATTAGTGAATTAGGAAGACCGTTCCAGTAACGCCACCCATAAAGACCCTCTAAGGCGCCTAGTATGGCAGCAATAGCATTTATAGCATCGCTCAGGTAGCCCATATTTTTTGTCGAGTAGTCCGCAATGAAACGAGCGTAGAAACGGAAACCATTGTTACCGTCCAATTCGATTACACTTCGGGGATTGCGCGACCAGATCTGAGCTTCCGAGAGAGGATTTATGCCCGATACTCTATCCTCTATGCAATCAAAGGAACGGTCTTCGCAATAGCTCGCAGAAAGGCATTGGAAGTGGACCTGCTCGGCTGTGAAGAATAGACAGCGTGGCGAGAGAATTCGTTCTTGGAAAGTCCAAGCGCGAGAGCTATACACAGAGCTGTTGAAGATCTCAGAGAAGGAAGTTCGTGGTGCTAGCCGGAGGGTTGGTGCGATTTGAATACTATGTGGATTACGAGGTGACGGCGGAATTCCAGGGAGCCCGGACGATGCACTCGTTCCAGAAAGGGCGACTATAGTAGCGAGTGCAGAAACATATATTGATGCCATCTGCTCAATTTGCACGGCTTTCCCTTGATCATCATCCTGGACAATACACAGTGCGTCAACCCAAAGGTACCTCTCTTCAAGGGAAGAGACCAGACTCATGGAGTCTCTGATGGTTTGAGGCAACAGTACTTGAGATAGAGAGCCAGGCTGCTGTAGCGCGTGGGAGTTCGAAATTTCCAATTTGAATTGCTTAGCGGCTCCCCATACGTAGCTTAAGGCGAAGTATCTGTGGCCAAGGGTCCCCGGGACAATGCAATCTTTATGAACGTCGATGAATCTGATATTGACACCTATACCCCTTCCCGGCATGAGAGAGCTAGAGTTACACTTCTCGCTATGATCTTTCTCACATGTTTCGACCCAAGATCGCAACAGAGTAATATTGGCGGCCTTCCCAATGACTCGAACATAGTCCTTCGGCCTTTGCTCGGCGTTTCTTTTCTGCTGTTCATGCCCGGTCTGGTACTCCACATCGCTGAACAACATCAGGCCTGACTGCATACTTTCCATGACCCAACTGGTAGACTCAGTTGCCACGTCCTCTTTCATTCCTCTCTCCTTCGCCCAGGCTCGTGAATGAAGAATATTTCGGCACAACGCACAATACAACAGGGGCGTCTCAACTCCTTCACAGTCGGGAAAGCCGTCGTTGAGCCAGGACGGACCGCCAATCCGGGAGAGATCATCGCCATCCAAGGCACGCTGGCAAGGAATGCAGAGCTCTGTCTCGAGGGGCTCTCCATCTGCAAGACCCTGAAGCTGCCGCAGCACTTCGCGGGTTGTCATCCTAGATCTAGGCGTGGATAATGTAGCTTGGGGTTTATTTAGCTAGTAGATGGTGTGTGGTAAGAGGATTATGCTTGAGAGAGCTTTTGGGTGGCCAGGTGAAATTCCCTCTCTTTGCTAAGCGCACTAGTCTTGAGATGAGAAGCAGCCAATCAGCGCCATTCATCATGCATTCGAGATCTTAGTGGAGGTCTATTCGAAGTCCATTTTCTCATATCGCATCAGGGTTCTTTGCACGACACTTGATGATTTCTTATTTCATATCACCTTTACTGTAAATACTCATCCACCGTCTGGATCTTCACCTACATAAACGTAGATATGTGCCAGCTCTCTCAACTACGAAAGAGACAATTATCACCGCCTAAGTTTCATGGATCGTATGTTATGTTAACCTTATAACATGGTCGGTATAAGTGCACCACGAACTCGAGAACACTTTCTGGTGACTAAAATCATCATAAGATTATTTCAACTATGCCCGAACTATTTAAATGGCTCGTTTGGAGAATGCGGTTGTCTTTTGGTCGGCAATTGTATCTTGCCTGGCTGATAGAGAGAATTTCTTAAGCACCTGCGTCAGGAAGAGGAAGTTTCTAGTAATTGGGATTTCGATGGGTCCTCCTCATATCAGAATTTCTATGCCTCCTTTTTACCTGGAAACCACAGCATTGAATACTCGCGATTGGATGCTCAGGAATCTGTGTCATTTCGAAAACTCATCATCTTCCTCTCCAACTTTTTTTCCAGACCGCAGATAGTTCCCACGAAGACAGGTTGGAAACTGGAGAAGCTGGAGAAGGCGGCACAGTGGTGGAAAGAGCATATACTGCTTCAACATGCCTGAAGCTGCGAATAAAGACCAATCACCGCTCAATAGGCACTTCGGTGCACCTGTGATGATATCCCTCCTGAAAGCCAATTTATTAGGCAGACGTTCTACACCGTCTCTGCAATTCTGGAGGTGCTTGCCGCATATAAATCCCCACAAAAAAGCTACCCCACAGCCCTTCCCCTCAGTCGCCACTTCGCCATCACGTGCCTATCGTGACCTATGCACTGCACTCTAAGTATATAGACCCTCCTGCCCTCTGCGGATGACCTATTTCTCGCCGCTTCATTTCGCTGTATTTCTGAGGTGCAGAGTACCAGTGCTTTTACAGGTGCAACAAGTAACCAGTTCTTTTGTCGTCGAAGGAGGTCTTGGTGCGAAGCTGTACAAGGGGCAGGAATTGTTGGCACGGGTTGTTTCTCTTAAAAAAAAATCCCCAGTTTTTTTTTTTTTTTTTTTACATAATTTTCGGTTTGCTTCGCGTTGGATTCAACTGTCTGTGGCCTGCGACTGTTCTATTTTGTCTTATTTGTGCCGGCTTGAGCTTGTATGCGTTTTATCTGTTCTGTCTGGGTTCGTGATGCTCTGGCTTGTTGACTAATTGCAAGCATGTGTGGTTTGAATGTTACAACTTGTCTTACATGGACACTTTAATGGAACCATAGAGGAACTTGAGAGAGGTTTTGTGTGCTTTGCTTATTGATGTTGTGATATGGTGACGTGACGTGATTTGGTGATTACGAATATGGTGTAGACTCAGTTACCTTCACTGGTGATTAATGTGAGGTTGGAGGAAGAAGTCGCTTTGGCACTGTTTGGAGAGCTAATTGGTTAAAGGATTTTATACGCATCTACGGTAAGGTGGTTTCCCCGAGATGGAGATATTTAATTCTGCAAATTACTAAGATATTAGAGGATTTAGATGCTCACTATCTGGGATCTGTGGAGGTAACACTGACTTCAGGCTGCGGGAGCCCTGGGAGAGTGCAAAATTTCCTTCATTTGAGCGTCACAGAGGACCCGCGTGAAAACGATACCCACCTTGTCAAAGCTACCCATGAGGGACATCATATATATATGCGGAAAATAATATCCGGTGTATTCCTCAAGCGTTGCACTGTGCAGTCTCTTGCTCGCTACCACCAGCCCGCACCCTATGTGCAGCCGCTATCCATGGCCACTTCGCCGATCCTTCCTTCCCACATATGGAATCGGCTTTCTGCAAATAATCTCATCGTACATAAACTTCGCACGTGGCACCTCTGCCCTTCTTTCACTCCCGCATCGTCCCCGCAGGAGAACCCTGAATGGGTCTCTCATGTAGCGTGTGTAAAGTCGAGATCGGATGGCTTCGGTATCAATGTGGGGGATGAGCGAAGTAGTCGATGTATTGTTTGTGACGCAACCAGTGAGGTATGAAGCAGTGTCATCAAGAGCGTGTAGGGAAAGCGGGGAAGTGTCGGATTGCGTCTGGAGCAAAATTTGGCGGGATGAATGAATTTGTAGGCCTTGTGTTTGTGAGGAGGGAGAGTCGCTGGATGTGGTGAGCGAGGTGAATATGGGGAATGGGGAATGGGGAATATGGAATAGGTAGGAAAGAGCTCCTTGTTGGACAATTCTTACTTGTTACAAGCGGTCAGTAGCAGAGCGAGGGTTGTAGTCTGCTGTTCAAACGTTTTTCTCAAATCGTCAAGCTTGGTCATGTCTGTAGTTGAGACTGCTGGCGTCCTTGGCCCGATGTCGAACCTCCCATCCTTCTCCCGCATCTCGGTAAGATGTGCAACAGTATTCTCTAACATCATCTTGCAATTCGGAACCGAGAGATCTATATCGATGACCAGTCGACGCGTAGTTTTGACGCCCCCCGGAGTGCTAGGCGCTTCAAGCCATTTGTAGATTTTTGACAGTGTTACTTTCAGCGCACTTAGTGAGGCTTGGAGATCCCGCAAAGAGAGAGATGAGTCATCAGAATGAAGGTCGTCGTCGAATTCTTCAATTCTCTGGATTGTTTGAGATGCGAGTTCAATGAGGTGTGCAATAGCGCCAGTAACGGCGATGACACTTAGTGGATCCATGGTGAAGTACCGTGAGAGTGGGCTCCGGGACAGATTTAAACTAGCGACCGGCGCGGTGGGATGGAATCTGGGGGCTGAAGAAAAGTGTTCGCGGAAGGTGGGAGTGCATTGCAACACTAATTTAAAAGCACTCACGGAGAATGCAGGGGAAAAGAAAGAGCATGGTAATGTGTTGCATGTCACATGCATTGAACGCCATGGGGGGGGAATTGCTTCTGTCGTAAAGGGCAGTATATGATAGGTCCGCTGCTTGCCAGTTTTGTAGATCATGTAGAACGCTTTGATCCACAGGAAAGAGCAAACTCAGTTGGATGGATACAGTCTGCAGTGGAACAGACCAGTATCCGGATCCTTCTGCTGCCCGTCGCGGTGAGATTGGCTGTCATCCCTTGCTAATATCCTCCGAGCCCAAACATCCTCTTTGTCACCCGAGACGAAGGTAACATTGAAGCGCCACAATAAGGTCAGAGGTCCCGATTGAAAGGAATTACGACTTGGACAGTCTGGTGCTCGGCCGAGTCTCGATAACTGGGCGTTCCGGGCGTAGAATGAATATCGTCTCGGATGTGTTTGAGATGAGTTGAGGGCTGAGAGACCCAAGACAAGTGAGGGAAGGCGCCAACACGAGGTCACGTTTCTTCGCGAGGATCGCCGATCGCATCACTGGACTCAACACCAATCTCCAATTGGGAGTTTACATCTCCAACATTTGCAAAATCCGATCATGAAGATAGATGTATCCAAGCTGTATCCATGTCTCGAGAACAGTGCAGCTTTTCTCGAAGACCGGGATATGAATCCTACCGGGAGTCGATCTCTGCCTAGCCCCAATGAGGCGCAGCGCGGCCCCCATATTGCAACCTCTTCCCATCTCCCACTCTAGGCATCAGTGCTCTCTGCTGAGTTAACACTCGGGAGCGGGCTAACATTGTGGCTCCCAACCATTGCCCAACGTCACGATGCTGTACAAAGTGGCCAACGTCATCACTGGCTCGGGCGCTGAGGCCTCAACCCCCGACGAAGGCGCCTCCCTTACCTCTGTGCTGGAGACTCCCACGCTGCGGGTCGAACTCGCACTCCTCGTCCTGCTATGTACCGATGCAATGCGCAGCGACCTGATCGCTACCTTCGACCCGAACAAGACTCACGAAACTGCCTCTTCAACTGCACCCCCTCCCCCACCTTCGCCGAAGCCCAGGACCTCCCCCGCACAGGACCTCATAAGCTTTGATGAGCCTCAAGACGAGGCTCTGATAGTCGCGGAAAGAGCTAGGCGAGTTCGGCAGAGAGAAGTAGAGTCGACTCAAATGCAGGGGCTGCGTCGGGGCGCACTTACCTTCTTCGATAAATGGCGTGCCGGTGTCATGCACCGCATTTGCGATGTGCTCTGCGTGCGGGGAGAGGTTGTGCGGCAGGCGAAAGCGAAGAGGAAGCAGGCATTGGATGAATCGGAGAGAATTAGCCAGGGGAACTCACTACTCGTTGACTTTGGTGGGGATCCTTTCGGCGCTGTCGACCACCGGGGCAAGGGCAAGAGAAGTCACGGATATTATGAGGTCATTGAGACTAAGCTTTTGGGATTCGATGAGCCGAAGAAGGTCCTCATTCTCCATTGCCTGCTCTTGTTGTTGCTCAGCTTGGAGCACTACCCAGCACATTCACGAGTTCTTCTTCTCCACTTATCCAGTAGCCTAGAAATCGAGGTGGACGTCTTGGCTGAGCATGAGAAGTCTGTAGCCCAAGGCCTCCTCGCATCGGCTGCCTCTCAGATGGATGCTGAGGAATCCGCCAAGAAACAAGCAGCGAACGACTCAGCCTCGCGAAAGTGGAAGATCGGCCTGGCCGCCGTTGGCGGTGCGGTTCTTATCGGTGTCACCGGGGGTCTGGCTGCTCCACTCCTGGCTGCCGGCGTTGGGACTGTGATGGGTGGCCTAGGCCTGGGAGCCACCGTCATCTCGGGCTATCTTGGAGCACTTGCTGGAAGCACTGTGCTCGTTGGGTCATTGTTTGGTGCTTATGGTGGGAAGATGACTGGAAGGCTGATGAAGCAGTACGCACGGGAAGTACAGGACTTTGAGTTCATCCCTATTCAAGGTATACTAATCTAGGCCACTACTTGGATTAACGGCTAACAAGAGCGCTAGATCCGGAACGCCCGTCGGCCCAACATTCGCATGAGTGGTCTGAAGACCAAGATGCTCGTGATCCAAGCAAACGTGAACAGCACCGCTTACGGGTCTGCATCGGCATCAGCGGGTGGCTTAACTCTCCCTCCGATGTCAACAAGCCTTGGGAAGTAATTGAGGCCTCCGGCATCGAGCCCTTCTCGCTCCGCTTCGAAATGGATGCCATGCTTCGTCTCGGGAACTCTCTCAATGATGTGCTCTTTAGCTATGCATGGGATGGGGTGACATATACCGTCGTTAGCCGCACCCTTCTTGGTGCTCTCTACGCCGGACTATGGCCGCTTGGCTTGGTCAAGGTTGCGAGCGTGCTGGATAACCCCTTTTCCGTCGCCCTCGCTCGAGCTGACAAGGCTGGAAAGGTCCTCGCTCGCGCCTTGATAGACAAAGTTCAAGGCGAACGACCCGTCACCCTGACAGGTTACTCGATAGGAGCACGCGTCATCTACTCTTGTTTGGTTGAGCTTGCCGAGCAGAACGCTTTCGGATTGGTGGAGTCTGTGGTCCTCATGGGAGCACCCGTCCCATCCGATACCCGCTCTTGGAGACAGATCCGCTCGGTTGTTGCAGCCCGTGTCGTGAACGTATATAGCACTGAAGACTACATCCTCGGATTTCTCTATCGAGCAAGCAAACTTCAGATAGGCGTTGCTGGACTTCAGGACGTCAAGGGTGTCTTTGGGATTGAGAATGTAGACATGAGCAAACTGGTTAACAGTCACGATAAGTACCGTTTCCTTGTCGGGAATATTTTAACCAAGATTGGCCTCGGAGACATCGATTTTAGTAAAGTAGCAGAACAAGAAAGAGCCTTGGAACTCGTGGAGAGGAAGAAGAAACAAGTCCGTGAACATGTCAAGAAGCACAAGCAGGATACTCGGCAAAGGGATCCTTCCGCTGCTGGGCCGTCGGAATTGATCGTCGTACAAGACAAAAAGACAAATGATTTTGCGGACGCCTCAAATCCGACACCAAACCTCCCGCTTTCCGCAGACGCCCGTAGGCAATTGCAACGGCAGATAACCACACAGAGGACCGGCCAGCAACCTGCGCCGGCGCCGTCACCAGTGATGGATCCTCTTTCAGGCAGTATCCCCATACAGACGAGGAATGATACCTCTTCGAATTCACCTCACATCAGTCCAGCGCCTTTCCCAGTCGCCTCCCTGACTCACAGACAAATCCCTTCGAACATGGTTCCAACGCCCCCGGCCCCTCCGAGGAGTAACGAACTCGTGGATTCTTCTGATGACGAAGAAGATCCTAAGATCGTGATGAGAGATATCGATGATCACAAGTTCTCGCCTCCTATGGATGAAATGATGCGTATGTCCGTGAAGCAGCCGGAGCCGCCAGAGGGGATTCCTACGGTTGCGTTAACCTCAGTCGAACCAGAGGAGGAGAGCGATGATGAAGTAAGCAGCGAGTTTGGAGAGCTGAGCATGGTAGAACCGTTGCCGTTGGATGATGGGGATATGGGTTTGATGTAGTAATGGGTGGGCCCGTTGGCGAGGGATGTGTGACTGCACTGTCATGGGCCCTGGACTAATACCCTTTCTCATTTTGTCTAAATACTGTTTTAGTCAATTCTGAGAGTATTTTGTTGGGTTTCGAAGAGGTTCATCGTCTATTTTTGTGATGATTCTTCATGACCTCTGCATTTATCAACTCCGTTGCTAGTATTCGTGGCTGAACACTGACACACTATGGGACTTGTTTGTGTCAAGCAGCCGTGAAAGACCTTCACCACTTTCATGTAGCCCGTTAATGTCACAACTATTGCCTCAATCTCAGAACGACCGCTTTACAATTTATCATTCTCCGTGTCTGCTTTCCCCCCTACGATTGTGTTATGAGATTATGCTAAGGAGGTACAGCTCTTTTGCACAAGATGATGACGACGAGCATACCAAAATCGACACCATCGAAGACATATCCTACAATTCCACTAACGAAAGTTCAATGTATATTTCGCACGCTCCCTGCAACCTGCATCCCAAACCCCGCATCGTTCGCGACGCAGAAACGCAGCGCCATTTTTCGGCGGAGGACATATATAGTGCTAGACGGATGGGGTATTTAAGCCCCCAATGGAAGATGTAAAAATGGGGGTGATCGCAAGCGTGGAGGCGTGCGGGCGCAGCTTGAGAGCGAAGGGACCGAAATTTTGTGTTTTGAACAGAAGGATGTATCTGGGGGTGTTGAGGGGATGCCGGAGTCGGGAACGTGGAGGATCTTCTGTGTTGGATTTTGGGTTGGGATTGTAATATTTGGGGTGCGTGGAGGAGCCTGAAGATCGTGAGCAAATGTCTCGCCCTTCGAAACCCCAATATTTATCTAGTATCTCTTGTCTTGGAAGCCTCCCTCTGGTTTTACTTCTGATTGGGAGTAGCTGTATAGCGTGGAAGAAACGTGACTCTAGCATCATTCGAAATCTGAGCCTGACCTTCTGTGGCAGCTACGCTTGCGGTGATGCGTGATGCATTTCTGGGTTCGCTCTATCAAGCGTTCTAGGAGAGTTTAAGGGGATTTGATCCCGGAATGTCTGGTATGTATGGGGAGGGCTTGGTTGGGGATAGATGATTGGACAAGATCCTGGGTTAGTAATTAGCGTTGTGGGAAGGATTAGATCGAATAATGTAGAATAATATTCCCCTCAGGATGAACGGAATCTCCTTAACCCGCTATGTCTCTTTTTTACATCGACTACGTTCGCTCTTGTCCCTGTTACTACATCCATTATACTCGCTCTTGTTACAATTACTAAAAAATTGCACTCCCACCATCCTCTCATACCCGTCCACCACCAACTCACCACTAGTTAGTTGTACGTCGTATAATCACCTCGCTGCAACCCTGCCTAGGCTGAAATCCGTCAAATGTAGTCCCCTTCCACAAAGGAGGGAAGTGGATACAGCCACTTGCAAAGCCGGCTTCCTCTCCGAGAGCGATGCAAGATCTCTCCGCGCCACCTCCGGGAGCCACCCTACTAAACCAAGCTAAGCGTTCAAAAGGGTTGTTACTATGACTTCACCAAGAAGTAGTCTCGTGAACTGCGTCACATGTGGCCCAACCAACATGCTCCTGTGCGGTTCAGGGTATCCACAAGGGTGTGGTGGGAGCAGGTCAGTCACGATTACTCGCGGAGAGGATGGGCATAACCATTCCTACATGTATCATTGCGATTTTAAGAACCCTGAAGAATCCCTAAAGTGAACATTAGACTATGACCAGGCTAAGAGAAGTTGCTAGAAAACGCATTTCTATAATATAAATCACAAGTGGTCCTCCAAACTCCTCTATGGAGTAGGGATGATAGAAAGAAATACGTGAAATATTATAAGTACACAGTTTTTCACTGACTTTCATTCGAAACCGCTTGAAGTGAGTCTCCACTTTGTGCATTGATGTCGGCTCCCCTGTCGCAGAGCAGCTTTACGACCTCCTTGTGGCCTTTAGTCGAAGCCGCCTGGAGTGCGTTGCCGTACTCTCCACCCTGCACATTGACATTGGCGCCGTTGTCAAGCAGCAGCTCCACCGCCTCCTTGTAGCCTTGAATTGAAGCTGCGTAGAGTGCGTTGCCGTAATGTCCACTCTGTACGTTGACGTCGGCGCCCGTATCAAGCAGCAGCTTCATGACCTCCTTGTAGCCTCCTGCTGAAGCTGCCTGAAGTGCGTTGCCGTAGTATCCACCGTGCGCGTTAAGGACGGCGCCCTTTTCAAGCAGCAGCTTTACTACCTCCTTGTGGCCATTATGGGAAGCCACCTGGAGTGCGTTGCCGTACTCTCCACCCTCCGCGTTGACATTGGCACCTTTGTCAAGCAGGAGCTTCCCCACCTCCTCGTGGCCCTGAAGCGAAGCCGCGTAGAGTGCGTTGTTGTAGTATCCACTCTGTGCATTAACGTCGGCGCCCTTGTTAAGCAGCAGCTTCACGATCTCCTCGTGGCCTCTAATGGAAGCCGCATAGAGTGCATTACCGTAGTATTTATGCTGCGCACTAACGTCGGCACCCTTGTCGAGCAGCAGCTTCACGACCTCCTCGTGGCCTTCAATTGAAGCCGCGCAAAGTGCGTTGCTGTAGTATCCACCCTGCGCATTGACGTTGGCGCCCTTATCAAGCAGCAGCTTCACCACCTCCTTGTAGCCTCCAAATGAAGCCGCGTAAAGAACGTTGCTGTAGTGTCCACCCTGCGCATTGATGTTGGCGTTCTTGTCAAGCAGCAGCTCCACAGCCTCCTTGTGGCCCTTACTTGAAGCTGCCTGGAGTGCGTTGCCGTAGTCTCTACACTGTGCGTTGACGTTGGCGCCCTTGTCAAGCAGCAGCTTTATGATCTCCTTGTGGCCTCCTGTTGAAGCCGCCTGGAGTGCATCCCCGTAGTGTCTACCCTGCGCGTTGACGTTGGCGCCCTTATCAAGCAGTAGCTTGACGACTTCCTCGTGGCCTTCTAATGAAGCCACCTGAAGTGCGTTGCCGCAATACCCACCCTGCGCATTGACAACCGCGCCCTTACTAAGAAGCAGCTTCGTGATCTCCTTGTAGCCTCTAGCTGAAGCCGCGTAGAGCACGTTGTCGTTCTCTCTACCCTGCGCATTAACGTTAGCATCCTTGTCAATGAGCAGCTTCACGACCTCCTCATGGCCTCTAACTAAAGCCGCGTAAAGTGCGTTGCCGTAGTATCCACTCTGTGCGTTAACGTTGGCGCCCTTTTCAAGCAGCAGCTTCACCACATCCTTGTAGCCTCCTGTTGAAGCTGCCTGGAGTGCATTGCCGTAGTATCCACCCTGCGCGTTAACGTTGGCGTCCTTGTCAAGCAGCAGCCTTACGACCTCCTTGTGTCCTTTACTTGAAGCTGCCTGGAGTGCGTTGCCGTAGTATCCACCCTGCGCATTGACAACGGCACCATTTTCAAGCAGCAGCTTCACCACCTCCTTGTGGCCTTTATTTGAAGCCGCCTGGAGCGTATTGAAATTTCCACCCTGCGCGTTGACGTTGGCGCCCTTGTCAAGCAGCAGCTTCACAACACCGTCCTTGTGGCCTCCTTCTAAGGCCGCGTTGAGTGCGTTGCCGTGGAACCCACCCTCCGCATTGACATCGGCGCCCTTGTCAATTAGTAGCTTAGCGACGTCTTCGTAGCCTCCAATGAAAGCCGCGATGAGCGCGTTCCCGTAGCATCCACCCTGCGCATTAACGTTGGCGCCCTCCTCAAGCAATATCTTCACGACTTCTTTATGACCCTCTTCTGAAGCCGCCTGAAGTGCATTACCATAGTATCCACCCTGCGCATTGACGTCGGCGCCGTTTTTAATCAGCAGCTTCACCACCTCCTTGAGACCTTGATTTGAAGCCGCCTGGAGCGCGTTGCCATACTCTCCACCCTGCGTGTTCACGTCGGCACCTTTGTCAAGCAGCAGCTTTATAATATCCTTACAGCCTCCTATTGAAGCTGCCTGGAGTGTGTCGCCGTAGTATTTGTCCTGCGCGTTGGCGTCGGCTCCATTGTTAAGCAGTAGCTTCGCGACCTCCTTGTAGCCTCCAACTGAAGCCGCCTTGAGTGCGTTGCCGTACCTTCCACTCTGCGCGTGGACGTCCGCACCCCTGCTAAGAAGGAGCTTCACGACCCCCTTGTGACCTTCTTTTGAAGCCGCTTGGAGTGCATTGCCGTACTCTCCACCCTGCGCACTAATGTTGGCGCCATTGTCAAGCAGCAGCTTCACGACCTCCTTGTAGCCTCCAAATGAAGCCGCCTGGAGTGCATTACTGTGGTTTCCACCCTGTGCGTCAACTCCAGCGCCCTTCTCAAGCAACAGCTTCACGACTTCCTTGTGACCTTCAGCTGAAGCCGCCTGGAGTGCGTTGCCATAGTGTCCACCCTTTGCTTTGATCTTGGCGCCCTTGTCAAGTAGCAGCTTTACGACCTCTTCGTGGCCTCCTTCTGAAGCCGCCTGGAGTGCGTTGCCGTAGTATCCACCTTGCGTGTTGACGTTTGTGCCTCTATTAAGAAGCAGCTTCACGATATCCTTGTAACCTCTTTCTGAAGCTGCCTGGAGTGCGTTGCCGTACTCTCCAGCCTGCGCGTTAACGTCGGCGCCCTTGTCGAGCAGCAGCTTGACCATTTCACCATGCCCATGTTCTGCCGCGAGGAACAATGGAGTCTTGCCGTAGCCGTCTTTTGCATTGACTGCGATTAGAGCCTCTCTTTCTGGTTTAGATAGGAGCTCCTGTGATAGGTGGAGCAACCCAAATCGTGCCGTGAGGTGCAAGCCTGTTGTTGTAAAAGGATAGGCTTGACTGTAATTGCGATACTCGTGGTCTGGAACGAACATTACCTGTGCAGCGCATGAGATTGACCCACTATGGAGTAGAAATGAACATGCTAGCTTATACACCTTGTCTTGAACGCTTCGTGTATGTTGTCCCCAGTGCTTGGCAGCATACTCTAAGAAAGGCTCGTTGCTAGTTGAACAGCTACCGCTTCTAAACATGCGAAACGAGAGGTATGTAAGGCATGTTGAAGCAATATGTAGCTGAAAATTAGGGTTCCATTCTTCCCGAATGCGCTCAAAGTATTCTTGTGTTGTATAATGCACAAGACGGATTATAGCGCTCTCTTTATCAACAACGACAAGGCCAGCGCAAACTGACACCAAGTCTTCGACATCAGGTACATTCTCTGGGTCAAGATCCTCTTTCTCTTGCTCTACTGCTAAAGCACAGCATATCTCATCTGTGCTGAGCGGTCTCTGAGCGTATATAATCCATGATAGGACCTTTTTGGCTTGCTGGTAGTCTCCGTTTAGCTGGCCTTTTATTCTTTGCATAGCTTTCTTGTATGCATCATCAAGCGCAGTAGAGCCTCTAGGAAGTTTGGATAGTGTTGATTTAACATCTTTTGGGGTTCTCTTGTCTAGGAGCGAATCCGTATGTAGGCGAGCGAGAAGGAACCTAAGAGCAGGTAAGCTTAGTCAATTCTAGTAAGCTTTGAATACGTACATCCCCTCCACTGAATCTCCAATCTTGTCTAGTACCATGTCTTGTAGTGCAGTATCGCGCTGAATGCATTTCGGTAGCCGGTAAATCTGTCCAGCCACAAATCGCTTTACGTCCTCGTTGCTGGCCTGCACCTCCAGACTTAACGCCTCTCTAAATTCACCTACAATCTCTGGTATAAATCGTGAGGTAACCATTAGGCGTAAATCTGTCCAGGCTCTCAACTCTCGCATTTTGGCTAGAAATAGGTGGTGGGTGTGGTCGTCATTTCGACATTCGTCCAAAGCATCAATTACGACATGAACAGTAGAGTAACTGGCAAGGACAGGTTGTAAAACCCCAGAGATTTCTTTCAGTGACGGTTTGGTTCCTTTATTAGTATGTTGCCTCCTTAATCGCTCTACAGGCTCTAGAATCCCAGGTAGGGGCTGTATTAGCTGCTTGAGTATAGCGGCTAGCAGACTAGTCGCATCCTGCTCTTCCCGAGCCTTGTAGTTGCAGTACACATAAGCAACTCCAATGGAGTTACTCTGCACTGTTTTTAATAGGTGATCAATCGCGATAGCTGCTATCATAGTCTTGCCAGCTCCAGGAATTCCTGGGCAGAACAGCGTTTGATTTGGTTGGTGGAGCCACCCCGCAAACTCGCGTGCATTAAGAAACCACTGGCCTGTCCCTTCTTGTATGTGGCCTATAAAGTCAGATTGTTGAGCTGGAAAATTGGTCGTCGAAACCCATTCCTTAATTTTGCTGAGCCGCGCATGGTCTTGGTTTTGCCGTATGGTACTGAGCCCAGAGCTTATAGTCGGAACTTGTGTCTGAATAAAGCCTGAATTGTCTTTTATTGCCTGAGAAAGTTTGCTTTGATATATAAGCGGTAGTCTTGCCAAAGCAGTGTAGAGCCTTACATATGATCCATTTGCAATGCTACCTGTACTAATATCTTGAGGCGTTCTATCCTGCCTAATATGCCGGCAATCTCCTCTTTCTTAAACTTCCATATTAATACGTCGCCTGTCTTCCTTATCTTGCCTTCCCTAGCCATTCTGTTCTGCATCTGCTCCAACGCCTGTTTAAACTGATCAAGTGGCCCATTCTTACTTGCAAGGGCCCGGACTGTAGTGTGCCACGGGGTACTAGAGCTTCCCTCCTCCAAGCGGAACCTAAGCGCTGTGAGGAGACTATTGAGGTTTGCAACCTCAATTGCGCACTTCGCGCGGTCCTTCGGTGCATCTTTGATTTCGTTCAGGTACCCTACGACGGTGCTCGATAGCTGGAGAATAGCAATTATGCTAGCCGTGGCACTGAGCGAGTCCATGCGGAGAATGGCCGAAATATGTGGAGGCAAGGGGAGACCTCGACTGTAGAAAGAAAGACTAAGCACTTAGATGAGTAGCCAGGGTGAAGAAAAAGTCCAACACTGTGTTCCCTTATGAAGGGAGGGGCGGCTGAGCAAGCTGAAGAGGGCCGCACGCCATTTGCCTTGCTTTTTTATCGATAAGGTTCAGCCCTTAAGCCACAAAGAGCTTCTGCCTAACACGCTCATGAACACAACTTCGGAAAGAGGTGATAGCTGATTTAATATGTCCAAATAACAAGAGACGTGCATGCGTTCATATGAAATTGCTACAATTTCAGTGGGAAGGTCATCGAGTAGGTTTACTGCTAAACTAGTGTCGATATGGAGGTATCTACATTTGTCAGCAAGTCTCTGAATAATATTTTACCATTACGTGTGTATCAAATATTAGACCAAAAGCAGGGAGGGTGACCCGCTCCGCCCACGCCTTTGAGGATGCCCCAAATTGCACAGGAATCTGTTGATAACTGTTGATGGGAAAGTGGAATCACATGTGGCGCAGCCCGTAGGAATGCCACTCAGTGAAGTCATACTCGCGCCCACCTAATAGTAGATCTGGCCTTCGTTTAATAAGGTGGCTGCTGAGAGTAGAGTGGGGAAATCTCGTGGTGCTGGGATTGGAAGCTAGTTTTGCAAGCGACTGTATCTCGGGCAGACAAACCCACCTGTGGGAGCATCGAGTCGGCACAATCGACGATCGCATCCTCCAACATACCCAAATCAGGAAGGAAAAGAGTAAACCCCGTTAATAACAGTGCTGCAATGATCAAATTTCCTCGTCCGCAAAAACCCCTCGTACTCCCCTGTGCTCCGCAAATCTCCGAAATCTACTTAGCTTGGTACGCTACTGCTCAAGCACTATTACACTAAGCACTAACAATACACAACCCCGCACTCGGAGCAAATGAACCCTCGCTTGTGATCTCGCTAAGATTTTTGCCCTCCTGATGCCCTTTACAGGAGGAGAGTGGTGAAAAGGGTTGGCTACTGGGAGTTACTGGAAGAATTTAAACGGATAAGTGGTGGCAGGTGATTGACTATGGAAGCGAATTAGGAGTGTGAGAGGTGTGAACCTTTTTGGAGGAGATGGGGGAATATGTGTTCGACTTCTCCGCAGAAGCATGTCCACCAACAAGGCAGTGCTCTTTCTACCAAGCTGTCACAACTTCGCATCCATCCTATCCCTAAACCATTTTCATAAAACTTCCCCATCAGGCAATAAAATCTAAAAACGTATCGATCGGCCGTACACCGTTCATTTCAGTGATAATAATGAGGCAAGTCCTCACGACCCTTTAAATGTACCTCTTCAAGCGGGTGATAATAGGAACTATCGATCACCTCATGCTGCGGACGCTCACTCTCGTAAGGATTCTGGCTTCCTGAGTGGTTCGAATCAGCCCCGTACGGGGATTTTCCTTGTTAACTTCTAACACAGCGTTCCTGCGCAATTTTGCATGGACAGCGTTGGAACAACAGGTTACATTTAGGAAATAAACTGTGCTCTATTGATTGGTATACACTTACGTTCACTAGCAAATTAAGGGTGTGTACAACACTTATAGATTAGCGGGTGCACCGGGAGACGTTCCCAGCAAACCCAATCGGGCAAGCAAAAACGAATGTAATCGATCTCTGGATAGATTTCCTGCACAAGCTTCGCCCAGGTGGACATGTCGTGAAACCTGTAAGGAGGCAGCACCAGCGCGCCGCATTAGGCAGCTGATAGCAGAAACCATCGATCTCCTATGTACACAAAAACCTCCAGAATGAGACTTCGTTTCTGCACGTCAATTTTTCAGGCAGGTGATAACAAAAGGTGTCGATCTCCCAGCTGAAAAGGTAACTGACAGGCGCGCGGTGCGGCTCTGTCCCACAATGAGGCTCTGCAAATATACCAGAACAGGCAAGTGATAACATGAACCATCGATCTCCTTGGTCAGAATTTCAGTCCGTCAAGAATATCGCAGATGCACGCACATTGGGTGCAGGTCCTTCAACCTCCCTTATCAGGCATGCAATATCGATCACCGGCTTTCTTCCCTTCCTACCATCCTTCCTAACTAGGCAACTGATAACTGACTCCATCGATCATAGAAAGGGAGTGGAGTTGCACACAATGCAGCCCAAGCGCCACATTGGTAAGCCTCCCTATTCTGGTAAGAGATAACATATCCCATCGATCACGGCATACAGTGCCATGTCCTACGTTGGTCAAAATATTGCTCTCAGGTTTCTGGGTGATCGATAGATCTTATTATCGCCTGCCTAAAGAAGTAGGTTGGCAGAGGATGAGGCTGATGGTGCATCCCATGGTCGGTTGACATGAATCCTGGTAGGACCGGATTCACGCCAACCGACCATGGGGAAAGGAGCTATTACTTTTTTGGTAAGGCGTTCTGCCAAGCTAGTAAGTACCATAAAACTCTCGCATCACTGAAAGTTTCTGTCACTGAAAGCACTAAAAATACGATCACAACACGTTCTGAAGATGGCGGAGATGTATATTCAACATTTGCCGCACTGAGAGGGCTTTCTTAGCTGTTATTAACAGTAGATATTATTTTACTAGCCTAAAAATACATCAGAAACATGTTCTAAGCTCGATCACAGATATACCCGGTACTCCTTAGGCGATCATCTCAAGACTCCCTTGCTCTAGGTACTTGAGGGCCTCTCGTAACCTCATTTCTCAGCTCAAATAGAACATTGTCCTCATTCTCCACTGGTTGCATTGAATAGGTAGGTATGGTGGAAACAACTAGTCTATCTTATTCAAATCACGTTCAGAATACGTTTATTCGGCAAAATTAGAATAATGGAAAATCGTAGCATTACCATCTATTGGACTACTTATACTTACCTGACCATGGGAGAAATTTTGAGCGGATGGGTTGCCTAATTAGGAAGGCCCATGATGAGCCGAGGTCAAACCCATGGACAGGTGACCCATGTCCTGAGGCTCATGATATGCGATTTGGCGGGTTCTCAATCGTCTGGAAGAGAGGTGAGGAATTTTGCAGGGATTTGAAGTAGCCCGATAGGGTAGGTAATGAGGCAGATGTGTGGATTGCTGGCAGTGCAGGCGCGGCTACGTGAGTGGACGTTTGGGATTGGTTCGGTTAGTTCATGGCATTCGGGGGCAATCGTAGTTTGTATTCTACGGAAGCTGGGTGTTTTCTCGCCTGGTGGTGAGGTTGGTTTAGTGTATACTTTCTGGAGTGAAGTTTGTGGAGCTGTTGATTTGATTTTGAGTTGTCGAATACAACTTCATGGCATATCCGCTCAGAATTGGGTTTCTTTAGGGTGTTGATGCCAACAATCCTATCCTACCTTAAGCACCCACCCAGATCACCAACCCTACCCCTACACAGGGTTACAAACATAAACTATACCCGCCAGAAACCTCCAAGACCCTCCCCTAGCGCCACCCACCCTTCCTTCCGCCACGGCGCCGTAATAACACTCCGAACCGCATCCTCCACGAACCCCGTCCCGGCATACCCTTTCGCCAACGCAACCGCATCCAGCTCTCCACCGGGCGGCACACTCCTAACCGCCAAATCCCTAGCCATGATTGCCGGAAACACCTCTTCCGTAGCTCCCGCAAGCATTTGCCAACCCACCGACTTCCATGGCGCTAGCATAACTGACCGTCGGACCTCATTTCCCTGCTCTTCTTTATCCCCAAGCAAAATCGCAATAGCATCAATGAGTTTTTCAACACCCATTAACTCGACCGCACTGAGCCGTTGTTTCTGCGTCGTTCTCATCGCCGCAAGATCATCCCTCACTGCCTCCATTGTCTCCACATCCCCATCTAGCGCGGCAATAACTCCCAGCAGCGTCACTGCCCCAACATGTTCCGGGCTACTCTGCACAGCTTCAAGAAGCTGTTCTCTTGCAACTTCTTTTTCTTCCTGGCCGCCTTTTGCCCACAGGACTTCTGCTAAGACGACAATGACGTCTGGGTTTGAGGCATCGACTTCGAGGCATTTTCGGAAATAGGAAATGCTGTGCTCGAAGGCTGACAGATAGTAGTGTGATAGTCCGGCTGTTAATCTCGCGCTTAATCTGATCCTGTTCAATTCATTAGTGGATAAGGCACTAGGGTCGGCATCAACGTCTTCAGACAGGAGATCGAGTGCAGTTTCCGCCTCCTCAGCGGCGTCGGCGAACTCCTTGACTGCGAGCAGATTCCGAGAAAGATCGCTTTTTGCCATGGCAAATCTGCAGAGAGCGGCTGGGGACTCCTCGGCTTCGTATTCTTTTTCTACGGCCTCGCAGACTTCTTTCAATCCTTTGCATGCTTCTTTATAGTTGCCTATCCGCTCGAAGAACAACGCTGCAAGATGCTTGTGCGGGATGTCGTATGGTGCTTGGAACATGAGCTGCTGGAGCGCGAAAAGTGGTTGGATGAGGTTCGTGATATTATTTGATGCGACGGGTGCGCTGACAAGGTAGTCGAAGGTTGAGTTCGCGTATTGCCGCTTCGTAAGCAGGGTCTGGGAATCCGAGAGTTCGAACGCGTGGGTGAAGTGAGATAGAGCCTCATTCCTGTCTCCGTACAGCAAAGCAATGATGCCTTCGCCCACCCAAGCTAAAGCATAATCGGGGTCTGTTGATTGTGCTCGAGAGAATGCGAGATGCGCCAACTCTGAGTCGTTCTGGAGGAGATATAGAGTCCCAATATTTGTCCAAGTTCGCACACTCCGCTCGTTGAGATGAAGCGATCTGACAAAAGCATGCTGGGCGACCTTGGGGTTAAGGGTTGTCGTGACGACACCGAGGGAATTCCAGAATTCTGCGTTTCCGGCTTCAAGCTCGATCGCCCGCTTGAAACACTTCATGGCAGCACGTAGGAAAATTGTCAGTCTAGAATCTCCTTGCTCTTGTTCCAGGCAGACGTGTGCGCGATACTCCATCCAACCTAGATTATACCAAGCCACGGCCTGAGCATGAACGTCGTTTGCACAAGATACAATGGCGCGCTTCTGAGCCAGTATTGACGCATGAAGAGCTCTTGCCAGTTGTGAAGCCATATCATCGTGATGGTTTGCTGCCAGGAGATTCAGTTGGTATGATCCAATGCCATCAAGCTCTTTCTGCGCGTCGTATTGATCGGCTTGAAATTCGACACGGAGGAGTTTCTCAACAATTGTGAACGGAAGCCTGTCGAGCTTCTCTTGCACCTGCGTAAAGACGGCACAGGCATCCCCGACAGCCTTCCACAGATTGAACGCACAGGATTTGTATTCTGAAATGGAGCTAGCAACCCCCACAGCGCGACATGCGCTGTCGGCAGCTTCTCCAAAGAATCCGGTCTCAATGCATCTCCAGGACTTCTCGACGAGTGATTGTAGAAGTGCAATAGCGACTCCAAACTCCCTCGGCCTCTCACTAAGAACGTCCTCGTAGCCTTTGATAGCATCGTCGAACTCACCAAGTTCTCGATTGACGTTTGCGAGCATGTATTTCGTGAACCAGCTCTCGCCAGTCTTCTTCATAACCACGCCATCCGTAGGGTTTTCGGCATAGTTGAATGTACGTGAGGCGGAATTGTATCGCCCAGAGTTGTGATAACTTTCACCCAGGCCCACGTACGAGTGGTAATCGTTCGGATTAATACGGAGTGCGGAGAGGAAAGACACAATACTCTTTTGATATTCCTGCTTGTTCATCTGGACAACACCCAGAGCAGAGAACGGCCAACTTACGGCCTTCTTCGTCTTTGAACCCGGGGTTGGTCGGACCTTTCCAGAGTCGACGACTCGTTGAGCGATGACTTCGACAATGTCCCATTCTCCTTGATTGGCGAATGAGTGTGCAAGGCATTCTGCAGCAAAAACCTCCGACGGGGACAGTTCGAAGGCCTTTTGGAAGCACTGCCTTGATCGCCTCCGGTCCTTGTTGTATTCTTCGTAGAATATACCGAGCTTCGTATATGCCGGAGCAAAGTTTGGGTTGGCTTTGATAGAAGCTAGAAACTTTGCATACGCACCATGTCGGTCCTTTCGGGCTTTGGGCGAGGGATTAATCTCCCACATGCACACGCCGATCCGATACAGGGTCTGGGCTCGAAGTTCTCTGCCTCGTTGCTTCGATGCATCCATCTGCGGATAATCGAGATAGTCCTCCAGTCTAACCAGGCCGACCCTGTAATCGCCGCTCAACGCCTGACACCAGGCCGCCTCTGCACCAATGCGTCCGTTCGCCGGATCCTGCTCCAAAGCCTTTTCAAGAAAGTCAATAGCTTCAGCATATTCTTCTTCTTCTTCTAGAATGAGACCGATGCCAATTAGGGCCGGAGTGAACTGGGGCTTCCGCCCCAGAATCGAGAGGAAGATCTCCTTGGCTTCGGGGTGGTTCTTGGGCGTCTGATAGTAAATCAGAGCGGTGGCAAGGGTGCTGTTTAGAGCATCCCGAATTCTGACCGAATCAATACGATGTTTTAGACAGGAAACAAATGCCGAGGATACCTCTGAAAGTTCAAGTCGGTCTTCTTCGCTGCGGCTGCTGCGAGTCCCAGACCCTTTCGGGTGGTCTCGACGGCACTCTCGTATTCTTCCAATGAGAGGTAATAATCTCCAAGCAAGCAATGGGCGAGTGGAGACGCCTTCGCCTGCAATATGCCTTCCTGTATTTGAGGTGAGATATTGACCTATATGCGATAGCCTAAAGCCCACTTACAGTCATCATGACGAGGCAATCCTCTTGGGTGACAGGTACATCCTGATTGAGAGCGACCCCGCCCTCGCTCAAGTCGGGTGCCTCGGGTGCATCCTCCGTGAGGGGGAATTTTGAGATACCACTACTTAGATAGCCCGTTAACACTTTGGAAAGCCCTTCCTGGGGGTAGAATTCGACGTATTGCCGGAGCGTGGCAATGTCCAGGTCCAGCAGGTCGTGAGCGCTGTCGAAATCCGCATGTGAAGCCATGATAACGCCAACAGTCAAATTAAAGCAGCAAAGTTCAAAGGCAAAGGAGAATGGTGCTAAAGAGTGACGATGACCAGTTGAAGCGGCGAGGAAGGTGAGTGTTTTGCTGTAGGGCTGAGGTTGGGTTTTGCGCTTGGGCCCAGCGGGGCACGGCAGGATGGAGAAACTTGGGAGCTCGATCCATGGATTCATGCCTCATTATTCAATGTGCAAACCTTAGTTGCATCCAATGGAGTATTTAGGATAGGCACCGCCCTCCGTGGGGATACAGACTCGCTCATAACGCCGTCAGTATGTCTGCAAAAGCCCGCTTGAAAGCCGCTAAGTCGGCCATCGACAACAAAAAATGGGGTGAAGCGAAGGAGCAGGTAGACGCTGTGCTCGAGAAGGATCCTCAGAACTACTTTGCGTATGTACTGTGTATGCCCGGCCTCTCTAGCAGGGCCACCGATAAGTGACTAGCTATAGAAAGCTCTTCCTCGGCCGCGCGCTCGACGGCCTGGGCAAATTCGACGAATCCGCCCATGCCTACGAAGACGCAACGAAAATCAAGCCTGACGATGCGCAGGCATGGCTCGGGCTACGAAGCATATACGAGAAACAGGCATCCGAAAAGGTGGACGAGAACACCAAGGTTGGTCTGCGGCTGGCGGAAATATATGCTCGATCGTGAGTTCCGCTGTGAGCGCGACGAGAAGGAGCGATAGCTAACCAGTGAAAAGAGACGACGCCCACCGATCCCAATCCGCGGTGGACAAGCTCGTTGACTTTGCGCGAAAACACGGCACTAAGTTGCAATATTCCCATGCCCTCAAGACTCAGCTCCCCACCAGCCCTGTCTACCCATTTCTCGAGGGCCGCTTCCCCAGTCCCTCCGCAATCTACATCCGCCTCGCTGAGGTCAATGAAGAGTACGAGGCAGAACGTATCGCCAAGCTTATTGGAGCGCGCAGGGCACGGCTCGGCGCTACGCTGGGCAATGTTACAGAAGAGGTTAAGAGGGAGGTGTACGAGAAGAGCGAGCTAGAAGACATCTATGAAAACGTCATCAATTGGACAAACGACGACGAGCTGAGGAGGGAGTACGAAGAGAAGTTGCTGCAGAGAGTGTACGATACCCTGATGGTTATGCCGACAGGGAAGAAGGCTGCGAAGCGGGACAAGGTCATGAAGCTGGCACATGACATGGTGGTTATTAGACATCCGTTCCTGCTCGCGTGGGAGATTGAGCTAGAGTGGGGACATGCAGCCGAGTAACCTACTGGGTTAAAAATGATTGATTTACTTCTCGGCGTTCACGGGGGCATATACAGCGCGTCTAGGCCAAAATACGCTGACTTGGGGTATCTCGTGGCTATTCATATCATTTCTTTCCGTCTCAACGGTATCCCCCGGCGTCTTGGGCCGCCGCAATTCAATAAAGAATCTGATTTCCCCGCAAGTCAGGCCGCACTATCCGTGGAAACCATTTCCCTCACCCTCACACATTCGCCGCACTCTCGACCCTCTTTCTCTCTTCCGCCCCGAAAATACTCTCTCCTTGCTTGAGAGCGTGGATCAACATCGGCAAACTGCGATTCGTGAAATCGTTCGCCTCACGCACTTTGTCGAGATCATCTGCTAGCTCGGTGGTAACTTTGTGTAGATAAATGGATGTGAAGTCTTGTTTTGGGCGTGCGGTTGTTGGCGTTGATTTTGCCGGTGTTGGCGGGGTGTCGACTAGTTCCTCTCCTTGTCTTGCTGTGGTGGCATCTTCGCTATTTGGCAGAGGAGATGATGAAGAAGCGTCGGATTTTGCCCTTTTCTTTTCCTTCTTTCCTTTCTTGGCTATCTTCTCTGGGCTCGATCCCTTCACATCCTAAACGGATATCAGCCTCAATCACTACTCACACATGTACAACTTACTCCACTTTTCTTTACACTCTCACCCTTCTCATTCCTGCTCTTCTTGCCCGTGTCAACATCACTTTCGCTGTCTGATGACAAGACTTTGATATTGAGTCAGCGGCAAGACAAGTGAGCATGTCAATGCTCGGGTGAGTCATACCTAAAGTTCTGGATTTCTTTTTCTTTGATCTCTTGCGCTTTTCTAAGCCGCTTGAATGGTTTGGCGCTGCCATCCTGTTGTTTCGAGGAAGTTTGGTAGACGATTCGACGATGCGGAAAATGCTTATCTTATCGCCACGTGGTTAAAGATGAACCGGGCTTAGCGCCCATGCAGGTGCTCAAAGCGAAGACTAACATTCACTCCATCAAGCATGTCGGGGGCGGCCTTGAAGGCTCTTAGAACTTCACCACCATCTCTAAGTTCTCTAAGCCTTTCCTCCAAGGGCTCTCCTTAATTTCGTTTCTTTTCAGCTTCTCTAAACTTTCTCTTGCTATTTAGAGCATTTCCTTCGTCTACTTCCTTTTCAACTACATAGTTCGCGCTTCCCTTTCAACTACTCCTGCGCATATCAGGAGGATTGGGTTACAAACTTATCTTAGCTATTAATTTCTTCTTTCAGCAAGCCAAAAAGAAATTATCTTGGGCTTGCGAAGGGTTCCCCCTCGTGCGGAGGGCCCATGCAACACGCCATGCTTGCGCGCCGAACCAGTTCGCATCACCCGAAGTCGTTCTTTATATCGACAGCTTTTGCCCATACAATTTTGATCCATGCATAATTCAGTGAGCCCAGGCCTCTTTATTCGTTAAGCATCTACATCTGGTCACTAGATATTCGTCCTTTACTAATTGAAACCAGGTTACATCCCGCGTTGCTCCAGCTTCGCTCCCCGATGCACAAGGCTACCGAATGGCATCCCAGAGCAGGCACACCTTATTTATCTTCAGTCAGCCAATCTCTGCGCCTCCCTTTCTACCTTCCACACTGTCTGGCATGGAACATGGAGGTGCTACAAGGCTGTGGCGTAATCAACGCCACCAATATCAGTATGACAGTCTGGAACGGCAATGCCAACTTTGGTAGTAGGATGCCATCCTCCCCTGCTATCAGCTGGAGCTCAAATCACAATCCAGTTTCCTCGCTGAGATCTTGTTTGACATGTCCTTGGGGATCAAAGATCCGGCTCGGCTCTCAGGATTAAAGAAGCGTGGTGATCTCCCGCTCAGCCTGGTAATCGCGCAGAACTTCTACTACTTCACCTACTGGATCATACTTCTTTTTCTTTAGCTCATCACACTACGGGTACGATTGTATCCGCAATCTCAATAGCATCGCGCAGAAGGTGTCTTGCGCCGGTCACACCATGGATAATCGTTTACCTGCCCCGTCTCCGACTGCGTCCAATGCCGGGGGACAGGACGCGCCTCCCATATTACCAGATTCAGCCTATCCAAACGCGCAAGCACAGCCGCCAACAACTCATCGACTAGCCGATCCCTATCCTCCTAATGAGAATCGTTCAATGGCGAGACCGGCTGTCCTACCTCTCACCACAAGAAGGCCAACGGAACCAAGACCAATCGTAGGTTATTCCTATTGTCCCACATCCCAACTGCTAACATCTTATAGTCTCCAGCCGTGCGGGATAAGTGGAACAAGGTATTCAAGCGACTAAGAATCGTAACGCTTGTACGTAGCGTCGTAGCGTTCTTCAACCAATGCTAATCCAGATATAGCCTCGACGAATCATTGCTGGCGGATACAAGAGTGCCGGCGCTCCATGTCAACGATGTGCGTCTATGAAACTAACTGAAGGAAAATTTCTTATCCACGAGTTTGGCAAGCATCGCCGCATCGAACGGATGAAGGATAGCCCACCCGACCATATCACTAACGATAGCCTTGGCCCAGAAGGCCTTGAATTTGGGCCGAAGGAATTTGAGTTTGGTGTCTTACGCGATATCTATTCCCGACAGGAAACCTGCACGCTATGTCGACTGGTTGTCAACTCTCTAGGTGACCAAGTCAGCAAATTCCTACGTGAGACTTCTGGAAACACTGAAGCAAAATTCTACGATTCAGACGCATCCTGTTCTATAAGTTGGCAGATAGATGGAAGGATTCTCCTCCGCGATAAAGCTGGCAGCATCAAGGGGGATCGCGCTTGCACACGGCGTCTTCGGCTAAGATGGAGTGAAGCATCATGGCCCGATTCCTTTGTCGTGTTGATGGAAAAGAAAGGCACAACCCAGAGTTTATTCCTTGCGAGGTCTCTGGAAAACTTTAAACCGGATGCTGCTTTGGTGCAACGATGGCTGCGATTCTGTGATGAATCGCACGGCAACAAATGCAAACCATTCACCCCCGATACTCTCATCTCTAAACCATTTTTCGGGGTCATTGATGTTAAGGTAATGTGCCTTACAAAGTTGCCAAAGGATGCACGGTATGTGGCTTTGAGTTACATGTGGGGTAGGGACCAATGGCGATTTCAGACCAAACGTAAGAACATCAAAGACCTCATAGCTTGTGGAGGGTTGAACAATTGGCACGATAGCCTTCCCCGTACCATTCGCGACTCGATTCGGCTCGTCACCGAGATTGGGGAACGATATCTTTGGGTCGATGCTCTTTGCATTATTCAGGACAGCGATCGCTCGTGGGCATTGAACTCCCGGCTCATGAATATTGTTTACGGAAATGCGTACTTCACTATCTGTGCTGCAGACGGAACACATGCCAATGCCGGTCTACGGGCGCTACAAGACCCTCCTCGCTACCAGAACATCGCCTTCTACGGGGGAGGGGTCCGTTTAAAGTGTCTTCGGCCCGCTGAACACTACATTCGCAATTCGACTTGGAATACTCGCGGCTGGACTTTCCAAGAACGACTTCTTTCCCCAAGGACTTTGATATTTGCGGATGGCCGAATGTTCTTTCAGTGCCGGTGCACGGCTCGATCGATGGATATCATCACCGAAGATGAAAACGCCGGGTGGTCCGTTGAATTCCGCGACTCACCTTCCTTGATACTCCAAAAGCTATACTCTCAACCACTACTCGTTTACAAGGAGGCACTTCAATTGTACATGAAGCGAAAATTAACCTTTGCAAGCGATATTCTTGCTGCATTCACAGGTATTGGGAATCTAGTATGTAATGCTCTTGGCGGAAGTCTGGTCTACGGGTTACCAACGTCACACTTCGATTGGGCCTTGCTGTGGGAGCCTCAGGATGCTGCTGCTCGTCGTCCGCAAGAGGACGACGAGAAGTTTCCTAGCTGGTCTTGGTGTGGCTGGAAGAATGAGAATATGGACTTCCAATACAAAGACCGAATGCTTGCAGGGGTCGAAGACAATCTCCACGACTGGCTTGTTAATCACACGTGGATTACCTGGTATATCCGCGATGGCAATGGAAACTTGAGGCTAGTTTGGAATGGGAAAAGTGGACAGGCAGCAAAGGCTGAGTTGCCCTGGAAAGGGTACAGATGCCCTGAGGATGAGAGCCATGATCACTACGGCCGTGTGATTAAAGACACAGAAAAACGTCTCAATCGCGACAAAGACTTCAAGCTCATCCTTGATGAATGCCCTTTCGACGTAGAAATTGTAGAAGCAGTCTACACCGGCCCACCGAACAGCACTGAGAAAGACATGCCATTCCTGCAGTTCTACTCGTGGTCCGCATTCTTCCGCATCCGCGAAGACAAGCGATTCAACTACCCGAACACCCAGAACTTCCGCAGATACGACATCGAGGACTACAAGGATGATTGGTGTGGTACTATCATGCTAGACTATGTTTGGGCGGTCAAGAAAACCATTCAACTTGAAGATCCAATGGAATTCGTGGCGATCTCTGATGCGAAGCAGTTCCACTCGGATGAGTACAGCGATTGGGCGAACTATATTCCTATGGAGCGGAATGAGTCGACGTGGGATTTGTATTATGTCTGGTTGATTGAATATCGTTCTGATATTGCATATCGTGTAGGTCTCGGGAAGGTTTACAAGGAGGCGTTTGAAAACTCGTGTAAGCCGGAAGGTAAAAAATGGAAAGAGTTTATTCTGGGTTAAATGGCCGATTCCCCTCACCTCCTGACAATAGATGACGGCCTCCAAGGTGGGTGTTGAGAGAAGGTTCACGCACCACGATAGCCGCCACCACCACATGTAAAAAGAGACAGTTGCATTATATTAAGAAAAAGAGATATCTAAACATAATTTTATCAATGCGTATAAATAATTACTTCAAGAATAGCTAAGGGGGCGGCTATTTACTTTTAGACAGGCGAGAAATGGGGTTAAAGGGGTGGAACGAGACAAAGGACGCCTCGAGAGCACGAGAAGTCTTCTTACGGGAACTTTGCGATATAATTGACATAATGAATTAAAAGGTCCTTCTATTTCCTTCCCCTTTCACAAAACTTCTCTAAACTGAATATCTACTCTACTTATATCTTATTAAGAGATTCCTTACTCTTCTCTTTTCCTCATTACTCGTCCTAACGAGTCTCGCCCAAAATCTCGCATCCCCCGACCGTTTCGAAATCTTCACCCAACTAAGCCACCTCCTAAGTTGTACACTGCCTCTAATGGCCCAAAGCCCCCATTTGCGTCATCGATCTGGATTGTGACATCACCTTCACTGGTACTACAACCCTAAGTTAAACTACAACTATCATCGTCCTCATATCATGCTTGATCCACTGCATTAGTTCTTTTGAGATAGCCCTAGACCGAATCCAAGTTAAGCCAGTGTGCATTAGCAGTCGAAAGTCGATTGGCGGGAGAATAACAAGGTGTTGTCGGCACGGGGATGGATGGAAATGTTTTTGAGAAAATTCAGGGCCTTCAAATTGCTTGAGTCGAGTGTTGAGGTATAATTTTAATTGGCTGTTATGATTGTTTCTAAATTATAACACGAGAGTATATGACGTTTTGGTCTTCTGCGGAGATATGTAGGGGGTTTCAGGAGCCCACGTGTCCTATGAAGCTCATCTGTACTCACTCAGCACGGGCATACAACTGTTCTGCGAAGTTTCAGGTTGGGAAGCTGACAAGTAATATCTCGGCCAATTTTGAAAGGAAGATTGGCTAGGCTGAGGCTCATGTGAGCTTCTCTTCTGAGCGAAGTGGCCAGATGTGGAAGGATATCTAGCCTAAATTTGAGGAGCAATGCTGTAGCTGGAGAGAGAAGGAGAAGGGGGAGAGGCCATTTAGATCGAGTCTACGGCCATTGTACAAATATTTAGTCTTCTGAAGGTAATTTTATCCACTTATCATGTGGAATAATAGGTTAGAGAATAATATGTTAAATACTTGCAGGTGCATATCTTCTGGATTCTAGACAAATATTAGCAGGTGGGAATAGGAGATGAGAAAGTTTGAAAGAGTCGAACAGGAGCAGGAAGCACTAGCATGAGCAGCTTTGCAGAGAAATATGCTTTTTAAACCTGAACAGCTAATACTGGCGCGCCTTTTTTTAAGATGAGGAAAAGCTAATAGAGCATATCTGAAGCATCCACCCTATCTTTGGCCTTCTCTCAGACCACATTCTCCTTGTTACCCCATATTCACCTTGAATACTCTTCAACAGATGGAGGATATGAGACTTCTTCAGCAATGGCAGTGCCTCGGATACCGCATGGAGCTGTTGCTTCTCACTATGAAATTTCTCACGACGCTACTCCCCACGACGCTGCTCTCCGGGATGCTACCGTCACAGCCGCCCATGGACACACCTCAAACTTCTACTGCAGTGCCCGCTCAGGTCAATCCTTAACTGAAGCCAGCGCAGAGTTTTGAGCAACTTGTTGCAAGTACTTGTAGAATTATCATTCAGCACACGCAGTGCCCATGCCTGGAATGCGATATCTAGGATTGAATCGAGATTTCTTAGATTTCTATTTCTTTGTCGGATTCACCCCACGCCACAAATTTATCCTCTTAACAAGTTACAGATCACAGATTCTTTATAAATCAGCTCGACACTGTCGGAGCAGCCGCTATTCGTAGAGTCTAAGATTACTGTACTATAACGCGATGCACGCCTAAACTTGCTTCACCAAAGCAGATGAATACTTTACCACTGCATTATTCGCACCCTCTCACGACTTTTAACTAATTGTCCCTCCTCCTCTCCATCCTTCCAAACCTCCCCCTCAATTGCACCTCTCTCCACCCCGCCGTACCACTCCTCTTAATCCTCCCGAACCTCTCCGGCAAATGCCCTTCATAATCTAAATCCAAGAAATACTTAACCCCACTGCCCACACTAGTCGCTGCTGAACTACGGCTTTGACTAAGATCTGGGATATGCCCCGCCCCTTCAGATATTAGATCATTCGCATCCTTGATCTTATTTGAACGATTAGTGCTTGAAGTGCGTTTGGCCGGCGCGTAGAAAGCTTTATTCGGGCTTTCCCCTTCGCGGCGGAAGGGATAGAGGAAGCGGGTGAAGCGTTCTGGCTCCTCGTTTTCATCCTTGATTGATCCAAACATTTCCTCTTCGCGCTTTATCCATTGCCGGAACATCCAGGATTCCCATTGCGTAGGTGGGTCTTCGAAGAGACCACGGGAGCCGGTAACGTCGGTCCATGCGATGTTGCGATTGAAGCAGGTGGTAGACAGGTGGGAGAGGAGGTGGCAGGGTTCTTTGCGGGCGGACATTAGGATGCGGAGTGTAAAGTGGATTGTTGGCCAGGATGAGTAATGACGTGGAGGTGGGGAGGGGGAGGTTATGGTGGATGCCGGGATAGTAATTGATGGGATGAGGTTTGCGCTCGTGTTTGACTCACTGGTGTAACCTTTATCCACGAGATCCGTGTGGGCTGTATCGATATTGTCGTCATTAATTGGAGAGATATCCAACTCCTTGTGGGAATGCGTAGCGCGGCTATTGGGCTCAGGAGGTATGATGGACTTCAGGACTCCCACTTTTAGAAATGTTTCCCGAGCCTTTTCACTAGTCTGGCCTGGCAAATTCCAGAAATTCGTGGTGAATGATTCGGGTCCGTGCACGTTTCCTACTCCTAGAGTGAGCAACTGTATTTCACTCTCAATCAATAAACTATCTATACCTCTTGTGTAGAAATGGCTTTGTAGCGCATACTCTTCTTTATTAAAGAACATCCCATCCTCCCAATCAAAGAGCGAATTCTCTTGCCAATGAAGATACAGGGGTGTCATGCAATCCAAAAGCATAACATCTTCAAAATCTGCATCCGTATATTCTCGGAACTGCGCTACCATCCACAGCAGCGACACAGTCGCCAACCCTGAATCTGGATGTCCACCGCCAATATCCGAGTGATCGCCGGCGAGCCAACACTGCTTCACATTCGTAGAGCCAGCGTTATCGGTATTCCAAAGAATGGGTGGGAATGCGACCCGGGTTTCATGAAGCGATAGTGCTTGGAAAGCGTGTCTGAGGTTCCGAGGCACTCTTGCGGCCACAAAGGCAAGATCTTTGGCTGGAAACATGGCGCTCACGGTGTCCCATGCTGCGCAAGACATTATCTCAACATTTGTATTCAAATGGCCTTTCGCTTCCCATGTCTTTATGTGTGTCTCGAGCCTTTCAAAGCTCTGGGTTTTCCATAATTTGTAAACCATAGGAAGCAGAGCGAGTCGAGTCTTGTGTAAGATCCCTACGTCCTCGATGAAGCATGCCAGAGCACGAACTGCGAAAGCACCACGCGAAAAGCCTAAGAGATGGATCTCGTCGCCGGGGTTGTAGTTCAGACAGAGAAAGTAGTACGCGTCTTGGATCACGGTGTGAGTACCTAGGATGCATAATAAGTAAGTAAACAAATCATGAAGCAGAATAGTCTGGTCCACACGGGAGAGCAAAGAAGTCACCCCCTCACCTTGACCAGTCGCAGCCTCCCGAAACAAGAACTGTCCTCCATGCATAGCAATACCCTCGTGATAGGATACGAGCTGAAGGGTGCCATCCTTGCCGGTTCCCTTCAAACATCTTGCGAAACGAGCAACGTTAGTGACAAAGTCGTTTCGTTCTCTTATTGCGTCTCGTCCAGTGCCATCACAGCAGATAAAGATTCGTTTCTTCGACGTCGGTATGACGATGTCGGGATGGCTAGCTAGGGTTTTTCGAAGAGGTGCGTTTCGACTTAGAAGGTATAAGGAATACAAAAAGCCCCACGCAACTGCGAGTTGCGCCATGACATAATTGAACTCGGAAATAATTAAACTTGAAGAAGATGAAAGGGAAAGGAATGAAGGCATCTGGATAGTGTTATCATATTAATAATAGGCCCATGCCCATGAGGCCGCAGCCACGAGGGCGAAATGAATGAAGAACATCTGCGGATTGGAAATGGAACAAATCCCATACATTGATAGATGATACACATGTGGAATATGCCCGGAAGCTGATTCGTGCGTTCATGTGTACAGGTGTTGAGGCTGAGTGTGGCAGATGACCGTCCGATCTCTAAGGCTGAGCTCAGTCCGAGCCACACACGTGTCTGAAGCCGTGACATTGTATACTTCGAATTTGTGGGTTGAAGGGAAAAAAATATAACGACTAAAAATAGATAACTACCACTAAGGTATTATTCAAGCAAGCTGCTATCCCAAGCGAGCTGCTAGCAATTACAACCAAACGTGACTTGTTAGTTTTTAACTACTAATTATAGTTCACTGTTACCGTTAGCGGGCACTAAGAGCCAAATAAAGGCGCAGAGAGGGTGGCGAGGCTTCCAGAACCACGACAACGCGCAGGGTTAGATTAGTCAGCACAGGTCATGTGACGATGGCCACGATGGTTACAGCTTTAGCGCGTGGGCAGGAAGGGTAAGCGTGCTGACTGCGCTTACAGTGGTCAGGAGCGATCAGTGAGAGAAGAGAGAGCATGAGGCTTGCACGTGTGAGGAATGGGAATACATATACTGGGAAGATTTCCTATGTTTGGTTTCTGATTCCTCTTGGTCAATTCACCATAGATATGCAATCGGTCGGATATCTTTATCTAGATTGACAAGATTCTTTAGATATACCTTCTGTGTCTCCCCTACCCACAGTCCTGTTCAAATTTGGGTTCCCTCGTCATGAATATAAGCTTTGGTTTCCTCCTTCCAATAAATTCTTCTCCAACATCAAACCTCATTTCTTCGATCTCTGCATGTATGCCACATAGCTCATAGAGTCGTCGTGCTACTGGTGTTCCCTCAACAACGGCCTGCAGGATTGGAAAATTAGTCACCTAACAAAGACAAGAGAGCTCTACTTAATATTTCCTCGACGCCCCGTCGTAAATATTTAAAAGATAAGACAAGAAGGTGGAAAAGCAAACGGTAGCACTACCTTAAGTCCCTGTGCATCTGCGGCTTTAGTTCCCCACTTGACAAGAGCTGTGCCTGCACCTAAACGCTGGTAATCGGGATGAACTGCTAGCAATTCGAGAACTATATTCAGGATGTAAGAAATCCATCCTAGGGTGTTCGCCACTGATTCCCACTTACCATAAACTCCTTTGCCATCAGAATCTTTGATAGCCTGAGTACGTGGTATCACGTAGTCTCTCCATAGGCGAACCATAAATTTGCGATCGTCTTCATTTGGCCAGACTTCCTCAACATTCTCCACCTTGTCAAGCTCTGCAGGCGGGGCTTCCTTCATATATGTCCAGATGGCGAGACCGATGATATGTTCCTGATCTCCCTGGCTAGTTTGTGTGACTGCTTTCAAGAATATGGAGTTCTCCGAGGTCTGTTTCCATACCATCAGGCGCTTGGAGCCCTGCTCTTGCCCAGACGATGTGTCATGATCTGGAAAGTATATATCTACAAACGGTGCATCATGGCCGAAACTCTTTGAGAGAACATGGAAACATGCAGGGATGTCTTCGTCTGACAGCAAGGCAATGCTTACTTTGTCCGCACGCCCCATCATTGCAATCAATTGTCAACGGAGCCGAGGTGGATTCAGTGTGGTCTGAGCGAAAAGCGAGGGTTGGAGAAGATGTTGAAAGAGACTCAATGTTCGAAAATTAGAAAATAGGCCTGGGATAAAATGTTGGCTCACTCTTTTACCTGAAATCCTGTTGAAAGCATGAGCTCGTTGGTAATTAATGATTTGATATTACGCCCGGCGGAAGCGGGGTAGGCAGGTGACACTTTAAGATTCACACTTTAGCAGCCCCCCTTAAAACTAGTCCTGTACTACATAGCACAAAATTTTATCTGCGGTGCTTCTCTCCTGATAAGTCCAGATTGTAAGTCCCTAGGTAGATCTTTGGGAGTCTCTATTCCAGCCGATCTACTGCTAGAATTGCTCTTAAATCTCTTAGATGCTTCGCTGGCCCTCCAAGCTTGGCGAATCCTCACTCCTTTTGACGAATAAGTTCATATTTACACCTAATGGTCGCCACTCCTTTGCTGCTGATGATATTCACGTTTAGAAATATTGTTCCTCGCGACCAAGGAGGCAACCCCAAATACAGCCATTTGCAAAACAGGGTTTACACTTGGCACAGAGGGGGTTTGGCAGAATCCTTAGTTAACCTCACTACTAAAATTAGTACTATAGGCTTAACAAACTGTTCCTAATTATTTAATTAACGTATTCTATTACTAAGCTAGCAAAATTACCAAGGTAGCTAAAATCTCTTAGCATAACTAGCATTATATATAAAATTTATAATTTTATTTATTATACACTACAGGCAAGATGCTTACACACCTAAGTTGCTTACTTTTACTAAGACTACATTAAACTACTCTTTCTATACTAATATATTTCTAATAACACTACTTAAATGTGTTAAAAGAATATTAGATATAGCTTATACTTTAAGCTTTTAAATAAAATGTAACACTTTTAAAGTAATAAGTTAGCTATAAAATTAGCCTATAAAGTTAGTTAGTGCATTAGTTATTTATTATTTTTTAAAAAACTTTATACATAGCTATAGTATATTACTTTAAAAGTGTTATATTCTATTTAAAAGCTTAAAGTGTAAGCTATATCTAACAATTTTTTTTAGCATATTTAAGTAGTGTTATTAGGATTATATTAGTGTAAAAAGAGTAGTTTAGTGTAGTCTTAGTAAAAGTAAGCAACTTAGGTGTGTAAGCAACTCACCTGCAGTGTACGTTATATACTATTCTGTACGCAGAATTAACTGTTGGTTGATTATTCTCACCTTTTAGTTGTATTAGCGCAGACCAGAGATATTGTCTTGTACGGGCGCTTAGGGATACGGGAATGGCTCACGTACAGAAGCCTACAAGGCAAAGCTCGCGGCAATGCAATTGAATCCACACGGAGTATATGACGCAAGCTCATGGAAAGAGCGGTATGACTTCGTCATCAAAAGTGCGTACTTTACTCTATCGTCAAAATAATCATACTAACTTATTAACTTATGGACTAACAAGAATTGTGACTGCTCCCATCAACAGTAGCATATATTTCAACTCTACAGCACCCTCAACATGCGCGACCGGGAACACATATACCACCAAGTCGGGCGATACCTGTAACACCATTGCACAAGCGAACCAGGTTTCTTCAGGCAGTCCCTACAAGATCAACACCGCTCTCTATAATCGCAACAATCCTGGTGTAGGCCTTAAGCTTTGCCTTCTAAAGCAATGCAAGAAGCTATATAAAGTTAAATCTAGCAACAATTGTACAACAATCACGGTAGTAATAGGGACGCTATGGCTGTCTATTGTCGACTAAAATGGAATGATGAATGAGTGGTGCTCAAATATTGGGGCGCCAAACTAAGTTGGGGCATACCATTTGCGTATCACCGCCAGGCGGTGCTTTCTACCATACACCAGGAAACAACACGTGTGGAGGGGTTGGTGGACCAAAAGGTTGTGGTGATGGCTATGCGGATACCATTACCCAGCTTCCTGCAGGGTCCACTCTGGAGCCGATCAGTACCAAATACTGTGGGGAGTTTTACACCGCCAAAGGAGGTGACACCTGGCGAGGCATTCTTGTCAATGCAAATACGCCCTCTGACCTCTTCATTACCGTTAATCCATTGATTATGTCGGCAGAGGCATGCAACGCAAACATGAAGGCGGCGTTGACGTACTGTCTGTATCCTCTTCACAATTGGAACGAGACGGCGCCGCCCTCAAATGGGACAGGGCCGCCAATTCCGTCAGGAAGCCGGACGACCTCTGTCAGATCTACCATTAACGCCACCGCCCTCTTCGACTACTGTGAGTAGGGCATCAACGACGACTTCGACTGCAATTCTGACAACGACAAGCACGCCAGGCACGAACCTCATCTCGCCCAACGGCCTCTGTGGGTCGAACTCCCCCGTAAACGCTACATGTGGCGGAAGCAGCTTCGGTTCCTGTTGCTCAAACTACGGCTTCTACGTCACAGTATTGTGCAGTGTGTCTCTGCCAGCCTGCATTCGGGTCGTGCACCAACGAAAAAGCCCCGAGCCAAGATGGAACCTGCAGGTGGCCATCACCGATTGGGGCGACGTGCAAAGGAAGTCAATTTGGCGATTGCTGCTCTTCCAGCGGTTACTGTGGAAGCTTGTCCTTATATTGTGGCTCGGGGTGTCAGAAGGAGTTTGGGACATGTACTTAGAAGTAGTATTGGCCTTCGGGCCATTTAGCAGCTCCGAGGTCTAGGTCGTCCTGATTCGGGCTGGCACTGCTATCCTCCCTAAATTTTAATAGTGCTTGTCGCATTCTTGATCTTCTCCGTAATAGCGTTCAGCTCTTATCCTTGATTCCGTGTTTTGTGCCGTGATCGATGAGTGCCCGTACCACATCTTGCCTCCCCAATTGACTCGCGAGATCAAGTGGCGTTTGCCTATTGTTGTTCCTCGTCGCAACGTTCGCACCCTTTTCCAAAAATAGCTCCGCAATAGCTGCGTTGCATGCGAGGTGTAGTGGAGTGTTCCCGTCAAAGGTGTCCGTGACTCCAAGATTAGCACCAGCAGACACGAGTTGGTGTACAGCCTCATCGCTTAAGTAGTGATAATTAAGAACCCAGATCAAGGGTGTTGATCCTTCATGATCTTTCGCATTGACATCCGCGCCGCTCTTAATCAGCAACTGAATAAAGGCACTTGGTACATTGCGATGTCGAACAGCGCGATGTAGCGGCGTGGAAGGAGGTATCGCGGTCTCGTGGAACTTGTTGACATTCGCGCCTGCCTGGATAAGGAGTTTGGCGACGGTGGACGCTCTTTCCCAGCTCCATGCCGGTTTCGGTTGGTAGAGGTCTATCATAAATTGATTATTCGTGCATGTTGCGAGCAAAGCAGAGTCCAGCTCTTGCTGGGGAAGCCGCGGGCATTGCTGAAGGAGAAGTTGAACCATTTCGGGCAACCAAAGCGCTGCAGCAGTCTGCAGAGCCTTCGCGACTATCTCTTGTTGTTGGGGGTGGCCCACGGTGTGGTCGAGAAGGATTGTAGCGGCGTCCAGGTTTCCTTGTGAGGCAGTAGCCTCCAAAGCATCGCTCGAGACGGGTATGCCACTGTCGAGGAGAGCCTTCAATGCGCTCGTTCGGTTGAATCTCGCGGCATCCTCCATGGCGTTGTCCGGTCTGGATTGTTCGGCCTGGAGACGCTGAGACGGGTCAGCGCCTTTCGCAAGGAGCAATCGCACAAGTTCCGCATTGTTGGCTGCGACCGCCCGGTGGATAGGTGTCTCGCCATTCTCGTCGTAGGTGTTGACCTCGACGGCGGTTGTAGCCGCCATCACAGGCTGCCTGCACACGTGATGGAAGGGCGGCGTTGAGAACGCGCCGTGGTCAGTGCTGGCGATAGATCGATCCGATTCGTGGATCGATCCGAATCCACGCTATCCTAAATCTGGATTAGATCCTTAAATTAATTTATAGTCTTAGCTAAAAATTTACTTCCCTATTAACAAAACAACTTTAAAAGTCTTGTATAACGTACCTAACAGGTTGGCCGGCCACACAGGTTGGCCGGCCACTTTTGCCAAGCCCCCACTAAACTCTACCTATCTACATAATGCCTTAACAACAACACTAGATTAAATCTTCTAAAGAACGTTAGATACAGCTTGCTTTTTAGGCTCTTAAATAAGACTTAAAACTCTCCTTATAACATGCTGCAGCTATCTATAATGTCTTTTACACAACACTAAGCAATTAACGCGCTAGACAGCCTTTATAAGTAGAATGCTAGCCTAAATTAAGGAATCTAACTAAGTTTAAAAAAAAGGTAGTTGTTAAGTACATACTTAAGCTTATTACGCGCAAATTTCCCTCTAGGCTTACAGCTATAGCTAATATAGCTAATTCCTTACGCACAGAGTGTAATCTAGGCTAGGTTAGCTTAAACTAGACTAGTATATAAGTTAAGCACTGCCCTAAGTTTATAATAAAGTTTAATTATAAGTATAATTATAAGAGAGTGCTTTATAAGAATCTAGAGGTTATCTAGGGCTAGTTTTGCCTAGTAGTTAACATAAAAGCTAAGTATAGTATTTAAGATAAAAATAGGTATAACTTTAACAAGTTAGGCTTTATAATAAGCTAGATATTAACTAGAGCAGTTATTATAGCTTTAGAAAAATAAAGACAGCTAAAGGCAATATAGTAAGGTAATAAAAAGTAGATAACAGTTATCTAAGGCATTAATATAATAAAGTAGGCTATAAGATTATAAAGCTTTAAGTAGTAAATAAGGCTACTATGTAATATAGATTGTATAAAAGGAAGCAGATTTAGGCAGAAAGGACTTTAATAGTTAAGGATAAAGCTTATTTAACTGCTTTAAAGGAGTTTAGAGCGCGTAGTAATAGGAAGAAGCTAAAGACGCAGGTGCGCGCTAAAGAAAGTAAGCTAAGTTAAAGGTAATGCAGGCAGTGCAATTAGACTAGGCATAACTTGCGTATGTGTAAGCAAGTAGTAGAAGTAGACTCTAAATAATATCTTATGTTGTATTACTCTATACAGGGCTAAAGTGGGCTGTTTTGCGAGAGAATAGGGTGGTTTTGGTGGGGGCTTAGCAAAAGTGGCCGGCCAACCCGTTAGGTACGTTAATAGAATCCTATAAATTAAGCTTAACTCTAGTGCCTAAAAATAAGGGCAGTAACATTAAAAACTTTGTATAACTACTAATGTCTAATAAACCTACTAAATAAAATAGCTGTTTTTTTTAATACTATAATTTCTATAATTGCAACTACACTTTAAAAGTTGTTATAAACTTTTAAAGGCACTTAAAATCTAACTACTAAGTTTTAGTAAAAAGTACTCTTTTTTTTATATAATAAGCAGGTGCTATTAAACTTTAAAAGCTATAAGACTGCGCAGAACCTTACATAAGAGAAGATATACAGAATGCTGCATTTAAAGCCTATCTAGACAAAGATATTATTTAAAAGGCTTTTATATAACTAATTATTTAACAGTATTTTACTTTTTTAGTTATTAAATTATTGTCTTTTTAGGCTTTTATATAAGCATTAAATCTTGTTGCTAGAAAGGCTATTTTAGTTTTATACTTTACTATTTATATAGTAATCTAAAGCTATTAGTATAAAGAGAAGCTTATTTTTTAGCGCAAGATTTAAACAGCAACTTTAAAGATTAATATTATACTTAATCTTTAGACCTTTTTAAACTAAATCTTATTTATTATAATTACTAGACACTTTATATAAAGCTTAGATAATACTATTACTAAACACTTTTTTACTTTACAACTAGTCTTAGGCTATTTTAGTAAAGAATAGTTCTCTGTACTTTATATAGTACTTAAGAAGTACAAGATTACTAGAAATCTAAAAGTAGTTATTAGAGATAATGCTAGCATTAATAACACTTTTTATTATATAATTAGTAAGTAGTATTCTAACAAACTTAATCTATATTAAGATTCTAAGAATAAAAGAGTTTACTATCTTAGTTATATTATTAATTTTATTATGTAAGCATTTTTATTTTTAAGTTTATATAAAAGTTATCTTAAAAATTTTAAAGCTGTAGACCTTAAAAAGGTAAATAAATTGCCTCTTAATTCTATATAATAAGATATAATTAGAGCTATTAGTCTCTTTAGTAAACTTTATAACATTATAGTCTATATTTATAGTTTAGGGCTTTATAAAATACTACGACAGTTTATAAATAATCTGTAAAAGCAAAGCTTGCTTAGAGCAATAGTTAGCACATTAAGGTAGGTGTAAGGCTAGATGTTCTAGAGCGGGCTAGTATGGCCTCCCCTGACCTGTTTAGAGGTCACATGACCTGTACTTTGTATATAAGCATAAATTCTAATAAGTAAGGCTTAGTAGTAATTTGTCTCTCTTATAATACACTTCTATCTTTCTTTAAAAGCTTACTTTTAGTGCTATCTATGCTACTTACTATTCTATTTTTATAGTAAGTTATTTAGGTTAAAGAATAGTTTATAATAATTTTTATAAATTATTTTAT